TTATACTCTGTACTCCATATTTTGAGTTTCCTCCAGAGTATCATGCTCGCGAGGCACAAGGTAACACCTCTCCCGGGCTAGTGAAGTCTTTCGAAAGACTTTGGGGGAATGTCCTTCATATAGGTTAGCATCACCATCGCCCACATCACAATATACTTTGTATGCACGTAATGAAAAGCTGACATTTATTCTCGCTCAACGATGTATGGTGTCGACAGTTGAGTCAATTAGTATGAAGACTACTAGCTACTTGATTAATTTGAATTGATCGTCTTCTAGTTTGGGGGGTTCGGTCGTTTCAGGTGTAAATAATAGCAGCTAATATCACAGAACAAGGCTAGAGTAGCGAGCATCACTTTTCTCTACGCAGCCTTTTAATACGCCTTTTGGGCGTTCATTATGAGGCCAAGCCAATTTGCGCCTTATGATGATCGGCAAAGCTTTAATGTCGCCTTATAGGCCGGACTTATGTCAAGCTTCACTAGAGGGATGGTCTAAGAGTCTATATGCTGCACCCGGGGCCTAAAAAGGCTCTCACTTCCTTGGTACTGCAAAACAATATAACGTCACCTCTCCTGAAGGATTGGAAATTTATAAGCCATTTCATGCTAGCTTCTTGCTTTCATCGAAGGTGACTCAGTTGTAAGGACGGATTTCCGAAGGATTTCGCAGTCTCGCCCAATACATTCCTTGAACCTTTCTTCCAGAGTATAGCAACCCAACTAAGAGCTAATCGAGATGGGTACTGTTCTTTCCTCGTAGCATGCTCAAAATATTCATATATGGATTTGAAAATGTAGAGGGTATAAACATCTGGCCAAGTTATTTCTACTACGCTATGGCACAATTTCTGCTTCGCTGCAGGGCATTTAATTATCAATATTCATGCTTTGCTCAGCAAACACTGAACAAAACCACTAGGCTTCACCAACCACTCGTAAATCGGGATGCAATAGCTTGTTGGCAATGTCTCAATAGTGATACCTTCTGATCACGTCGTCGTTGAGTCGAAGATTCGCAATCAAGATCCTGCTCTGTGGCCGGGTCTTTACTTCCTGTTGTTCGTACAGAATCATTCCCTTTGCGCTGATGCATCATGGCAATTGATTCTCAGATTTAACAATCTATAATTAGCTTTTATATGATACTTGGCGCACTTCCATGTTATTAAAATGAGCATCGTTTATTGCAACACACCACATGGTGAGGGATATTGATGCAATCTGGTGTTGCTCTGTCTCGTAGCAGCGAAAGTACTTGTAATGTCATCGCAAGACTCACAACCATAGGAGCTAGGTGCATGTAAAACTGGCCTTAGATTTTTGGATTTTGATTATATGGTTGGAAGCCATTGATGACCTGTCAGTTCATATTCATCTTCCAAAAGGGTTTTGGAATGTCTTGATTGTGAGCTTAATAGTCCCCTTTGAAGATATTCCCACGTGAGGTGTTGAGTGATTAGTGCCAACCTCATATCAGGCTTCTTTGCCCGTTGTTTCCATAAATGAACTAAAATCACTGTCTGTGAATTTGTCTATTGGATACGGCCCTGTTCGGGCGAGCTCAGGAAACCTGTTCTTTTCATTAGTTTAATGGTAGATGAACCTTGGCATCTTTCATTCTCCGAGAGACCTCAGATCGTCAGTTTGAAGAAATATCGAGATATAACTGATATCTCCGTCTCTCTGGTGTCTACAAAATAGTGGTTCACCGAGGGGTCATCCCCTTAGTCGCACTGAATCGCATTTTAATCCCTATCAAAAAGCCAATCCTAAAACCATTGATAACAGATAGTAGGCCCCACTCCCTTGATTTTATAAATAGACTGACACCAAAGCCATATTTGACGGCTAACGGGTCGGTGGGATGTTACCCCTCAATCGGATGAAACAACATGCTGACAGCCAGCGTTTCAGACATTGGATGTCAACCAGAGATATCGTCTGCAAGTGATAGAGGATGAGCCGGTGCCAACGGTTAAACATCGGGACCGCAAGTAACGGGACATATTCGGCACCAGTGGAAAGAACATGATGATCGAGATACCTTGGCGTTGGGGCCTGGAACTTTTTCGGGTGTTCACGAGCTCGGAATTGCCGGCAGCATGTATGTAGGCTTTGATAGATTGTTGATAATTGTTGAGGCGCGATATTACGTGTAGAGCAACGGAACAACGAAAATGCAAGCAAACGAACGCAGAAGATGCGGCAAAAGAGTGTTGGATTAGCTATCTAGGTGCTTCTAATAAACAAAGCGAAGAGGTCCTTTGTGTGGACGGCCTGAGTGCCAGGCACGTGAGTACGCATATACAGGTACGTAGTCGCCTCAACAACAATTAACAAGATCGACCAAAAATAGCCTCAAAAAGCTAAAAGATTATTTTGATCGACGTGTGTGATAGTATTTCTCGCATGTCAGGGCAGCTCAACCCGTGGTTAACTTGCGATTGTTCTTGCTGCCACCGTGCCTCTGAACCATGGACGGACCGAACCATGTTCCTGGAAGAATATATCCACAGAGCTAGCTCCATAATCAAGTGCTAAGGTAGGATGACAGCATGCACTGAAAAGAGTATCACCGCCGATACTTTGGCATGATCTACGCAAAGTATTCCCGAAATAGATATAGTACCTATGACGGTAGGGGCCGATTTTGTTTAGCCAAACTGGACACTGGAAATCGGCGGGTTCAGCTGGTCAGGTCGGCACCATGGAAAGTAGATGGCGAACTACAGTGCGATCGGAGCTCTAGCTGGGTTTGGCAAGGCGTCTAAAATCTGAAGCCTTAGGTGGGCGGTTAGTCTTTGGGGCTAGACATGTTAGCGTGAACTCCTGAGCTAAGGCCCTAAGCGAAATGAGAGATGATGCTAAAACTGTCGAGTCTCCCACACGAAAGACCATGTCAGCTGGAGATTTGATGGGCGAGGTGTACGTTGATTCTGACAAACGATAGGAAATCGATTATCTGTCGTGAAGAATATGCCTGGGAGTAGCTAAATATGTTACTGTTGTTGCGGAAATGTTGCAGTGTTCCATCCTTTTTACTACTATTGGATCGGCAACATCTGATGCCTGGACAGGTGTGGGGATACTGGGGCTGGCTTGCCGAACGATGAAAGGGCAAAGAGGGGGAATCTCGGCACGCACGGGTCCTTCCTTCCTTCGACACTTCGACTTCCGTGCCGTGTCCAGCGGGAGCATCCATTCTGGCTACTCTACGCCCTAGGAGTGCTTCTTCAAAACGTGCCCGGATGTGACTGATTAATTGTTTCCTGGTGCTATGGACACCCTAGGCATGGAGGGATAAGAAGAAGGAGGAGGAGGAAGAGGAAGAGGAGAAGGAGAAAAGCAACATGCTTTGTGCTACTTTGTAGCTATTGCAACCAACATTTGCTTTTTCCCGTAGACTAAATCTTCGGGAAGGACGGATCTAGAAATTCTAGAGCCCAGAACAAACACATTCTGTTCCCAGGGAGGCAAGTTGTAAAACAAGCGGACTGCGCTGATCACCATGAGAACAATGAGATCCCGGTCAATCATTACTCTTTCGAAGATAGGACAAAGCCCCGGCTCTTTGAATCGTCGGATTCGCCCCTATCTTGATTCTATCTTGATTAACATCGTGGTCATCGGCAGTGAACTGGAGATCCTTTGCCCGTTAATGTAAAGCGCAGCAGCCATGAGGGATGCTTTTCTGTCGTTTCGAGTTTGGTGATTGTGGGCGACATTATGTGCTTGCTGTGGTGATCAACGCCCGACTTACACGCTATAATTAATAGTCTAGGCATGATGACAGGGAAGTCCCTAGGAGACCAATAACCTAGATGCATAGCAGGGAATCCTCACGCGGCAGGGTTTTTGAGGTAATCTCATTTTTCTGCCGAGTCCACCGGAATCTTACCTTCCCTTCGTCCTCGCAGGCTCAGTGAGGCCTAATTGGCAGGGTCCCAACAGAGAAAATGAGAGTTGTGGTTCACTGTCTATTGTTTCTGCGCAAAACACACTACAGTTGCCAAATATTATAATGTAATCTTTTCTTGCTATTCATCGCGCCCAGGCCCCTTGGGGCAAACGTTGCTGCGGCAGTGTGGAGCCCAGGTGGGCTAAGTCCCAAAGGGCCAAAACATGTCACGCAGCCCACCTGCTCTCTTGTGCAGTCGGCATAGCATATAGCCGATTATTCCTCTCCTACATGAATTCATTTTTCGATTTTTCAAACGGAGAGCAAGTGACTGTCACCGAAAACCCACCTAGGAACCAAGCACCCACTCTGTCCCTATGGACTCCGCTATGGCCCAGGTACATTTGCCGTTACTGGCAAAGGCACACAAAATGGCTGCTTCAAGCTGCCCAAGGGTCGATCTAATGGATCTTGTTTCCTATCCTATAGGATCCAATGTCAAGGCTCCATACGATGATAGTATCCAGATAGACTAATATGGAATCATGACGAGCAAAAGTGCCAGACAATCCGCCTGTTGTTCAGTATTCAGCGTCCGCCACTATAGACCTCGGTACCAGATCACAGGCGGCTACTGACCCGACAGCCGATATCTCTGTCCCTCCTACTAGTTAGTTCTTACATGAAAGTCTAACCCACGTACTCCGTAGCACCAGAACATATGCCGTACATTTGGAGTGATCCTCAATGGCAAGCAGATAATCCAGTCCTCTCCACATGGCAGCACCAAGACTTAGACCCGGGCTCCATCGGCATTTTCGGAGACTATCAGCTTTCTCGTCATTGGGCGGTTGTGCTGAGCAGACGGTACTTTGTTAAGAATCTTATGCGTGGACCAGCCTTTTAGCGTCAAACCTTTTCCCCCTTCCAGGCTACCCCTAAAACGGTTGCCAGTTGGGTTATATATCCACTTAAATGACAGTTACCCCGGCCTAGGCTGCCTCACACTCTCTTCCTCCCACACCAGGGGAGACAATGTCACCCGATTCCAGCCTGCGACCTTCGTTGATTGTAGCACTCACGCCGCTGTGTGCTCCACCATGATCGAATTCAAGGGCCGCAGTGAGTCAATATTCATCGTTACTGTGGTTTTCTTGGGGATATCCTTCATTGCCGTATGCCTACGATGTTTCGTTCGGCTGCGGCTGGTGCGCGCATTTGGGTGGGATGATGCGCTGATGGTTTTCGCTATGGTATGTACTATCGGCTTCTTTTTAGAGAGTCTGTTAATGTTAACTTTAATTCACTATAAGGGATTAAACATCCTGTTTGCGTTATGTGGTATTACTGGCTCATTGTACGGCATGGGCCAGAAATTCGAGCAACTGGAAGACGGCTATCTTGAAACCGCCCTTTTTGTAAGAACACTGACTATCACGTCAAATTCTCTCGCTTACATTTGAAAAGTGGTGGTGGCTAGGTCAAACGAGCTACGTCGTGACAGTTGTTGTCGCCAGGATTTCCATTGCGCTGGCCCTCCTCCGTCTTACTGTTTCCAGAGTACACACCATCCTCTTATGGTGTGTGGTAGGCGTGTCGATCATCGTGGGCCTCGTATTTTGGTTCATGTTAACCTTCGAGTGCAAACCGGTGTCACACTTCTGGCAACGCACCAAACCCGGACACTGCATGTCTATTGATAAACTCCTCGATATTGCCTACGTATACAGTGTCACTGCGATGCTCTGCGACTTCACCCTTGGGTTGCTACCTATTTTCTTGGTGTGGAAATTACAAATGAGTCGCCAAACCAAGGCCGCGTTGGCGGGTATCCTGAGCTTGGGGTGCATGTAAGACGGATTGGACATCATCATACATACACGATCGCTTGCTAACACTCGCAATAGTGCCAGCGCAGGTGTCATCGTCCGTATCCCTTTCCTTCCCACCTACAAAGACGCCGAGTTCCTCTGTAAGTTTGACAGTCAGCCACTCTTACCAGGCTTCGTAACGCTAATGAGAGCAAAGACGCAACGACTCAGATATCTATATGGTCTAATGTCGAAGCGGGCCTCGGGATTACAGCAGGTTGCCTCGTCACCCTTCGCCCTCTCTTCCGCTGGTTGGGCGGAACCAGCTACTCTCCTACACGCAGCAAGAAAACCTCCGGAAGTATGCCGCTCTCGAGTATGAACGGTCAACATGCCTCGCGAAGCGAACATACCACAAACTCGACCAAATTCTGGCGTCCGGATCTGAACCCTGACGACACTAGGGCTATTGTTACGACCGTGCAAACAGCTCAGGGAAGCCCGCACAGTAGTCAGGAAAATCTCAATCCAAAGCCAGGCGCATGGGACGGGGTCAATGTACATAAGTCATTTGTTGTCACGACGGATGAGGCCTAGAAGTTGATCTTCTATGCTATTTAATCTATAATCTTGATAAGTTATAGTATTTTCATTGTCTATATCGTATGTGGTATTCGCGTCATCAGACAATTACTTGAAAAGGCTATGCGGCATAAACCATTCTCAGCTCCGGCGCAACCATCTTGACTGCTTCGCATCATGATGTTAACGGTAGTAATCTATCACATGCCATCGTCCCGAACTGGATCTAACAACAGAGCCACTGAAACCCTGGCGTTCTATGTTGAGAGGCAAACGTCAAAACCTCTTCATTTGGTGTGTAAAGAACCTATGACAACTCCGTGCAGATCTTGGCGTCTTCATATCTATAGCTACCAGTGCCTATCACGAGTATTAGCTAGGCCTAAAGTCCGAGGCTGAAGTTTCGGTGACTTTCTACGTAGCACCTCAGCGCCAACTCGCTAAGCAAAGACGGCGAACTTAAGTAGCGTAGGCTCGATTTGCAAAGTGGACAAAATAGTCAAGTCCTCACCATCTGAACGGATCACTCTTATCAGCATACGGAGTGAAACTCCGTAATCATTAGTAGTTAGTTGCTATCAGGATTGCCTGCTTATCGGAACCAGCGAAAGTCGGGAAAATCCAAGCTCCGTCCCGGCACGTGGCGGCGACCAATCGCGAGCAACGGGGCCTTCCGTACGTTCAATCCTCGGCGGCGAATCCCAAAATTATACTGTCGAGGTGGCTTCTTCGCGCTTTCCTCTTCGACCTGCACTTCGGAGATATACTGGTGGCTTCAAGGCTTTGGGCCCTTTATTTCCTATGGTCTATTGAGGCTTTCTTGGTTTCTCAAGTTCGCGTCGTCTGGCCCGCGTCGTGGTCATTCGAGTGTCACCATGTGAGTCGAGACACCTTCGCTGTATCGCGTGCATTGACCGGCCGCTTACTGACAAGTTGATGATGCCCAGGCCAGGACTCGTCGAAGATCCCCAGATCAAATACTCCTCTCTCCATAACCCCCTTCCCACTCAGTTGCACACTTATGTATGGCCGTTCCTGATCATCTGGCCTGCATTCTTCGCCTTCTATCTCTCCCCTGAACGCTACGATACATACATTCAAGGTCAAGAATGGACCTTTGTGTATGCTGGCTCCATTATCACGGTCCAGTCGCTTTTGTGGCTGATGACGAATTGGAACATCGATATCCAAACACTGTTCACCACTACTAAGGCTAAATCGATCGACTCCGCTCGGCTTATCAAGGTGATTCCCGCAGCTAATGCTGGTTCGGCTGAGGTCTGCCCATTGCTCTTCGACACCAGGGGTGGAAAGAAGACGGTCTCGTTCCTGTTTCAGAAGCGCCGCTTTCTTTACTACCCTGAACGCCGATGCTTCGCCCCCTTGTCCTACGTCCTCGACGCTGAGCCCAAGCCTGCCCTCAAGACCTTCCAGAAGACCCAAGGCTTGACCACCAAGGAAGAGGTCGAACGTATTCAGCACCACTATGGCGATAACACGTTTGATATTCCCGTGCCGGGTTTTGTTGAACTTTGGAAGGAGCACGCAGTTGCGCCTTTCTTCGTTTTCCAAATCTTCTGTGTTGGTTTGTGGATGTTGGACGAGTACTGGTACTATTCTCTGTTTACCCTCTTCATGCTTGTCATGTTTGAGAGCACGGTGGTGTGGCAGCGCCAGCGGACGCTCAATGAGTTCCGCGGAATGAGTATTAAGCCGTATGAAGTCTGGGTCTTCCGGGAGAAACAATGGCAGAAGACTACCAGTGACAAGCTCTTGCCCGGTGACTTGATGTCGGTTAACCGAACCAAGGAGGACAGTGGTGTGGCGTGTGATATTCTCTTGATCGAAGGAAGTGTTATCGTTAACGAGGCTATGCTCTCTGGTGAGAGTACACCACTTCTGAAGGAGTCCGTCCAACTGAGGCCCGGCGACGACCTGATCGAACCGGATGGATTGGACAAGAACGCATTCGTACACGGAGGAACCAAAGTCCTGCAGATTACTCATGCGAACACCACATCAGACGATATTGCCAAGTCTCACGATGGTTCCGGTATTCTTCCCACGCCCGATTCTGGCGCGCTTGGTGTTGTGGTGAAAACCGGTTTTGAAACAAGCCAGGGCAGTCTCGTGCGTACCATGATCTACTCCACCGAGCGGGTGTCTGCCAACAACGTGGAAGCCCTGCTCTTTATTCTATTCCTGCTTATTTTCGCCATTGCCGCCTCATGGTATGTTTGGCAGGAGGGTGTGGCAAAGGATCGCAAGAGGTCGAAATTGCTCCTGGATTGTGTCCTCATCATCACTAGTGTCGTACCTCCCGAACTTCCTATGGAGCTCAGCCTTGCTGTCAACACTAGTCTGGCTGCTTTGAGCAAGTTTGCCATCTTTTGCACTGAGCCTTTCCGGATTCCTTTCGCCGGCCGGGTCGATGTTGCCTGCTTTGATAAAACCGGTACTTTGACCGGGGAGGATCTTGTTGTCGACGGTGTTGCCGGTCTGACTCTTGGTCAGGCAGGCGCAAAGGTTGAGAAAGATGGTGCCCACACTGAACTCGCCAAGAGCAGCGATGTCGGACTCGATACATCTCTGGTTCTTGCCAGCGCTCACGCACTAGTGAAGCTTGATGAGGGCGAGGTTGTTGGTGACCCTATGGAAAAGGCCACGCTGAAATGGCTTGGCTGGACACTAGGAAAGAATGACACCCTGACCGGCAAGGTCTCGGCCACGGCTTCTCGGGTTCCCGAGTCCGTCCAGGTTATCAGACGTTTCCAATTCTCTTCCGCACTGAAGCGTCAGAGTACCATCGCCACGATTGTCTCCGATGACCGCAGCACGCACAAGAAGGTCAAATCAACCTTTGTCGGTGTCAAGGGTGCCCCCGAAACCATTAGGTCTATGCTTATCGACACCCCGCCGAACTACGAGGAAACTTTCAAGTACTTCACTCGCAACGGCGCTCGTGTCCTTGCCCTCGCTTACAAGTATCTCTCTCATGAAGCTGAACTCACTCGCGCTCGTATCAACAATTACACCAGGGAAGAGGTGGAATCTGACCTGATCTTCGCCGGTTTCCTCGTCTTGCAGTGTCCCCTGAAGGATGACGCCATCAAAGCCGTTCGTATGCTCAACGAAAGCAGCCACCGTGTCGTCATGATCACTGGTGACAATCCTCTGACTGCCGTGCACGTTGCTCGCCAAGTTGAAATTGTGGATCGTGATGTGTTGATCCTTGACGCTCCCGAACACGACACGTCAGGGACCAGACTGGTCTGGCGCAGTATCGACGACAAGCTCAATATTGATGTTGATCCTACCCAGGATCTCGATCGCCGTATTTTGGAAACCAACGATATCTGTGTCACGGGCTACGCTTTGGCCAAGTTCAAGGGCCAGAAGGCACTTCCTGACCTCCTTCGTCACACTTGGGTCTATGCTCGCGTTTCCCCCAAACAGAAGGAGGACATTCTTCTTGGTCTCAAGGATGCTGGTTATACGACTTTGATGTGCGGTGATGGAACGAACGATGTCGGTGCCCTGAAGCAAGCCCATGTCGGTGTTGCACTCCTGAATGGCTCCCCTGAGGATCTCACAAAGATTGCTGAGCACTATCGGACAACGAAAATGAAGGAAATCTACGAGAAGCAGGTTTCCATGATGCAGCGCTTCAACCAGCCGGCTCCGCCCGTGCCTGTGCAAATCGCGCACCTTTACCCTCCAGGTCCTAGCAACCCGCACTATCAAAAGGCCATGGAACGCGAAGCGCAGCGTAAGGGTACCACCGTCCAGGCTGCGTCGGCCCAAGCAGAGGCGATCCCCACCATCACATCTCCTGGTGCACGTGCTCTGCAGCAATCGAATTCCAACTTGACTCCTCATCAACAGCGCCAGCAACAAGCCTCTGTGGCAGCTGCTGGGTTTGCCGATAAGCTTACTACTTCCATGATGGAGCAGGAGTTGGATGAGAACGAACCCCCGACCCTCAAACTCGGTGATGCCTCTGTCGCTGCACCCTTCACCAGCAAATTGGCAAATGTCGTTGCTATTCCCAACATTCTGCGTCAGGGTCGCTGCACACTGGTCGCAACGATTCAGATGTACAAGATCCTTGCCTTGAACTGTTTGATCAGTGCCTACAGTCTGAGTGTTATCTACTTGGACGGTATCAAGTTTGGTGACGGTCAGGTGACTATCAGCGGTATGCTGATGAGTGTCTGTTTCCTGTCAATTTCTCGTGCAAAGGTAGGCGATCAAAAATCACATTAGAGATGCCTGACACTAATTATCTACTACAGTCTGTTGAAGGTCTGTCGAAGGAGCGCCCTCAGCCAAACATCTTCAACGTGTACATCATCGGCTCCGTGCTCGGCCAGTTCGCCATCCACATCGCCACCTTGATCTACCTGTCGAACTATGTATACAGCATCGAGCCGTGAGTTTCCATCTGCATTGGTATAGGTCCTATATTGTTCATAACTGACTCGGTCGCAGGAGACAATCCGACGTTGATTTGGAGGGAGAGTTCGAGCCGTCGCTCCTCAACAGTGCCATCTATCTTTTGCAGCTTATCCAGCAGATTTCGACTTTCTCCATCAACTACCAAGGCCGCCCCTTCAGAGAGTCTATTCGCGAGAACAAGGCTATGTACTGGGGTCTGGTTGCGGCATCTGGTGTCGCCTTTTCTTGTGCAACCGAATTCGTGCCTGAACTGAACGAGAAGCTCCGCCTGGTCCCGTTCAGCACCGAGTTCAAACTGACACTGACTGTTCTGATGATTATCGATTACGCGGGATGCTGGCTCATTGAGAATGTGCTCAAGACGTTGTTCAGTGATTTCCGGCCGAAGGACATCGCGGTACGCCGGCCTGACCAACTGAAGCGGGAGGCGGAGCGTAAGCAGAAGGAGACTGGGCAGCAGTAGGCCCATTAAAGGCAAGAGATATAGACCATGGCTGGTTAGAGTAGTTGCATTTCTTGTCTAGATATATAGGTGCTGTTGGTTGAAAGCAAGGCGTGTGAGACCTTGCTAATATTGAAGGATGTTCATAGAGAGCAAGCTGTAAGTTTAGGTTATCTTTTATAAAGATAGAGGGTGTCAATGTCAAAGACAATTCTCGTACATGCAGGATGGCAGTAAAAGTATTCAATCAGCCGCGACTAGTGAGCGATCCAGACATGCGCAAACTGAACTGTGGGGATAATCATGATGGCCGGTGTTGATGCCTCAGGTGTACAATCTGTAGGCGGGCGATAAGCTGCGGATTAACTCCTGACGCTGGGCTGGTTGCTTGTCTGGCACTCTCGGCTCCCTTCCCTTCTTGTCTTTCCCCCCTCTTAAGCTCCACCCCCGGGCAAGGCTGAAGTCGCAGACTCCCCTTTCATCCGCCAGTCCCCTGATCCTACGGTCTGTGACCCCTTGTGGGATTCCGATTCTCATGCTCTCTTAAATTCCAGTCATCATGCCCCGGAGGACGCTGGGTGGAGGTCGTGTTCTTGGCCCCGCGAACGCTCGTTCTCCATCGGCATTAATCCCGTCTCCGCAGCCCAGCAATCCAAGACACCTTACCTTATCACCGTCCGCCAGCAGCGTTTCCCTGAATTCACAAGCCTCCGCATCCCAGGTTTCCTCCGAAGCTCAGGATCTCACGTCGCGCATTTCCCTCGAAAATGGTTCTGCCTCCATCCCTGCTGCTCCGGCAGCTGCCGGAGCTCAGTTAGCCTGTCCGATCTGCAGTGAGGAGATGGTATGACCTGTCCTACACAAGTCTCTTATCGGGATTCCGTTCCTATCACCACCAGACATACTGACAGAAGCAACAGGTGACACTGTTGCAATTGAATAGGTACCTCGCTTGACGCTCGCGATATTTGTTTCCGTTTGTACGTGCGATTAACACGATTTTCAGACACCTCGATGACGTCCACCAGAACCTGGAAGACGATCGGCAAGATGAAGTCAAAGACTGGTTCAAAACCCAGATGGATAAAGCCAAGCGATTCCAACCACTTGCAGTCTTAAACCAAAAGCTCAAAGGCTTGGACGTGTTCGAGTCCAATGAGAATATACATCCTTTTGCGGGTCCAAGTCGGCCCCCTGGGCCTCTCCCGGCGCATCCGCCTGAACCTCCGAGAGCACTCGACCCGGACGACGTTATAACGAGGGATCACTGGCAAGGTCGCACCCTTTACGATGTGTGCTTGGAACCGTCGTGTGGAAAGCGACTCAATGCTACAAATGGTTGTGTCAATTGTCGCAAATGCGGAAAACTATTTTGTGAGGATCATACCATGTATCAGATGAAGCTATCCAGGTCGGCCCAACATGAACCCGTCAGAGGACTCTGGTGCAGGGTTTGTGAAACTTGCTACAAGTCGAGGGAGGGGTACAACGACCACAGTGGTAAGGCCTCTTTTCTACTTAGCAAACAATAATGGGCATGAGGTTAATTCTCTTCCAGGGCTGGTAAGAGACCGCATGAGTGAGTTCAAAGCGATGAGGAAGCAGACAGTCGACAAGGACTTGCTGGAAGTTTCTCGCTTGGAGAAACGCTTGACACGACTCACGCAGCTGCTTGCAAGTTTGCCTGCGGAGCAGATTCAATCGAGCACGAATAAATTGTGGTCAATCTCATGGCAGGGTGATCAACGAAAAGCCCTTGAGCAAACAATAGTGAGTTGGCAGGATGACTCTAGTGTTTCCCGGTGTCCGTTTTGCCAGCAAGACTTTACCAGCTACACCTTCCGAAGACACCACTGCAGGACTTGCGGGCGAGTCGTATGTGGTGATCCAGCAACTGCGTGTTCCACGGAGGTCCCTTTGAGCATTTCACCTCGTATGTCAGCTCTGGGAAATTACCTTGATTATTCAGTTATTAACCGGACATAGTTGCAAAAACACCAGCAGAGAAGTCGCCCCGCACGGGCGTGATTAACGTCGATATTAGACTCTGTAAGGAGTGCCGATCGACCTTATTCGACCGGCGAGACTTCGAAGCCGACATTATGAGGAGGCCGCCAGCTGTGCGAGCATATGAAAATCTCACTCAGTTCGAGAGAGGCATTCGGATTTTGCTCCCTAAGTTTCAAAAGATACTAGGGGCCTTGCAGTATGTAATTCTTTGCTCATGAGCGCACAATAGGATCCAGCGACCACTGACAACCAATCACTCTCACAGAGATCCTAGGCGGCCTCCATCCTCTGCGCAGATTGCAGAAGCATCAAAAGTTCGTAAACGATTAACGGATTCGTTTGCCCAATATGACGTTGCTGCTCGCCGAGTCCGCGATATGCAAACAGACTCCCCAACCCAACAGCGACTACAGAAGGCTATATACCAACAAGCCAGCAATTTCCTCCACCTTCACATGCTCCCTCTCAAATCCTTACCCAGAGTCCTCAAGCATGCATCTCCCAACGGGGGACTGTCTAACTCCACAAGCTCCCCCGCTAGCCCTAGCCCTAGCAACGGTTCACTCGGTGGCCCTCGACGGCAGGGATCCGCTCTTGCGTCGATCAAATACGGCAATCTTGCTGCTAGCGGCAGCAATGCCAGTCTCGCTAGTGATACCAGCAGCGCGGTTTCCGCACTGGAAGCCGAAGAGAAGTCCCTTCGGGAGCGGCTGATCGTACTGGAAGAGCAGAAGTTCTTCGTATCAGAAATGATTGCGGATGCCAACAGACGCCGCAAATTCGATGAGGTTAGCAGTCTTGCTATGAACATCGAAGATCTCACCCGAGAGATTGATCGAGTCAACGGAATGCTGGACGGCTTGGACTTTGAGGGCGTCTACACCGGTGCTCATCAGCAAGCCTGAAGATTCTGATGAAGGACCGGAATTCTTCTCTTGACATTCCATTGCTCGCTGTTACCAATTTGGCTGCAACCACAAAGTAGGTCCCTTCTGACAGCATTTTCTTATATATGATCTTGGCCACAGCGCGGGCGCGGCGTTTGCGGATTGGTTCAATGATGAAAGTTGCATAGCATGGGCGTTGCGTTGTATGCATATGATCGTATATACTTATGATCCCTTCAATTCCGATTTATTTGCCCCATCAATCTCTTTTGACTGCCTCAATTTTGCACTATCAAACGACTTGCTCAATACTGGGAAAAGCAGCATCGTCTTGGTTCTCGTAGATAATGTTGCATTCGAAATCGCACAAACAAGATGCCGTCGACAACCTTCTTACCGAATTATTCGGTACAGCCCCAATGCTGAAAATATTGTTTCCATCGGGTTCGTCATCCGGAATGAAAATGTTACAATATAATATATCACTTTAAATTGGGAAACAATCGTGGCACTAGGAGAATTCGACATACCCGAACCACACCATGCAAATGCAAGCGCCCCTCCAATGCCCAGGAGGGGTCCCCGGACTATTATACTACATGAAGACCAACCCACATAAAGCTAAGAGACCAGACCTATGACATACCAGACCAATTTCATCATACAATCAATACCAGAGCACAAAAGCAGTCGCACCGTAACACAACAAACACGAAACCTCCTTCCCGAATAATGATGACCGAGCTAGTCTAGTTTCTTCCATGCAACGCCAACGCGGAGTAACCGGCAACCCAACCCAACCCAGCCCAACTTTGGACCCTCCCCAGCAAATCAAGCGGCTGGAGTACGGGAAGGAACTTCAAAAGTACCAATCCAATCCAATACCCACTTCCCAACCCCCTCCCTTCTCTTCTCTTCCACCCCCGATCCTAGCCAGCCAGTCAGCCATAATGGTAATGATAATAGTAATAGTATGATGGACAAATGCAGTTTCCACACAACCCCGGTTTGTAAGTAAGAGCAGGGAATGTCGCTGTTAGGTGGTGGCCAATTTTCGAATCGGAGACCCAGTGGATCGTATACACGTGGCATATGTGGTTTGTGCTACGCCGTGAGGTTGCTTTTTGGGGTGGGAGAGAGAAGATGGGGAGGGAATCTGGAAGAAAGGAGCGTAATGTCTTTGTTGATAATTGTCGGATAGCCCACGGGTTTTTTTTCTCGTATCTATTATGTGCTGCTTCTCTCTTTTGCTTCCTTATCGGACTTCTTTGCACAGTGCACACACTGTGTACCCCAGTACATACCCTTGGTCGGGTACCTGAGTGGGTACATACATGGTTTAAGTGGGTGAACGATTGGAGTGAGTGGGTTTCGTTCGCCTTTTCTTTTGCCCCTCGATAGTGCTAGACTATTAAATCGGCGGTAAGGCACATTGATTGTTCTGCCTGATTGTCTGTCTGTCTGTTCGCCCTATTCGCACATTTCTTCGTGTATTTTCTCTCGTCGATCAGATACACAGTGCTGTGGGCAGGTAAAAAGGCTTGTTTGTAATGAAATATGTCATAAGGTCGTGAAGCTTAGGAAATCTTTCTGCTGTTAACAATAACCAACCCGACTTAATCTCCCTTCCATTTACTCATCTCGAAATCTGCAATTGTGCGCGCTATCATGGCCGAAACCGAGTCCCCACCTGGCCCCAAAGACAAACTAGAGGTTGCCTTGTTCCTTGCCGCTAGCAAAGGGTATGATACCATTGTCACGCTGCTCTTAGGTACCCCTGGCGTGACTCTGGACTGCAAGGATGAACTAGGTCGGACGCCATTCTTCTGGGCCGCCGCCGAGGGCCACGACAAGGTCCTCCAATTGCTCCTGGGCACTGGCGCTGTGGACCCGAACATAAAGGACGCTAAGCGTGGCCAGTCAGCAATATGTGCAGCTGCGGAGGGCGGCCACGAGAGCGTTGTGGCTCGATTGCTTGGTGTCGGGGTGGACTGCCATGCTTCGGACTCTCAAGGGAAGACACCATTGGCATATGCGGTCGAAAGAGAGAGTGCATCAATCCTGAATATACTGCTGCAAGCGGGGGCAGATCCTAATGTGAAAGATGAGGGCGGCATGATCCCGTTGTCGACTGCGGTAGAGAAAGGCAATTCTGATATTGCTGAAATGCTATTGAAGGCCGGGGCTGATCCCAATGCTGTCGCTTCGAATGGGTGTCCGCCGTTGTTGTCGGCGGTGCAGGCTGATAATGAAGTCATTGTGCAGTTGCTTCTGGAAGCGAAAGCGGATCCTAATCTTAAGAGCTCGGAAGGGAAAGCGCCCCTATCGTGCGCTGTCGAAGCAGGAAATGAAACCATGGTGCAATTGCTGCTGAAAGCAGGAGCCGACCCCAATGAGAAGAATCCAGAAGGACAAGCACCGTTGTCATGCGCCGTCGAAGAGGGTAACGAAATAATCGTGCAGATGCTGCTGAAGGCAAAAGCAGATCCCGACGTGAAGAGTCCAGAAGGAAGAGCACCACTATCATGCGCAGTGGAAGCGGGAGACGAGGTCATCATGCAGATGCTGCTTAGGGCTAATGCTGACCCTGATGTGAAGGACGGAGACGGGAGGCCTCCGTTATTTTGGGCAATCGAAAAGGGATCCGAGGAGGTAGTGCGGTTGTTAAATGCGTCTCGAAGAGTAGACCTCAATGCAGTTGATGACGGTGGTCGTTCTGCGCTGTGGTGGGCTGCAATGTCTGGGCAATTGAATATCGTCCGGCTGCTAGTTCGATATGGAGCAGATATGGAGATACAGCCTTCCTCGGGAGAAAAGTACGAGCAATGTGGCACGCCTTTGTACCAGGCTGGCCGTCGGGGCCACTTCGATGTGGTCAAGTATTTGATAAAGAAGGGGGCGAACATTAATGCTCCGGCTGGAGAACCGGGTCTGTCGTTACTGATCTCATTGGTGCTCTTTGACCGAACGAAAAGGGGCAGACGGATGCTCGAGCTGCTGCTTGATAGAGGCGCGGACATTAACTCACAGGACGCCTCTGGGAAGACGATCCTGGATCTTGCAGCAGCAGCCGGCGATGTCGAGCTGGCCGAGCTCGCACTAGAGCATGGAATAATGTTAGAAGCCACCGCGAAGGACGGCATGACGGCTCTGCATCGCGCCGTACTACATCAGCACGATATCATTATGGACATGCTCCTGGATGCTGGCGCTGATGCCGAAGCACAGGATGGTAACGGGGATACACCACTACACTTTGCGGCAGCCAGTGGTCGCAGGGGTCTCTTTGAGCTCTTTCTGGAGAAATCTCCCGACATCAATATTACTAACTTCTCGGGTGAAACTCCACTGCATAAAGCAGTGCAACGGGGTCGTCGAAAGATGGTTGAGTATATGCTGCATAATGGAGCGGACGTCAGCATGCGCGATGATTATCAACGAACACCACTCCATAAGGCCGTGGGGTCAGAAAACAACGTTATGAGGTTATTGGTCAATCGGGGGGCGGATGTTCATGCAAGAGACATGTTCGGCCAGACTGCTCTTCATATGGCAGCAGAGGCCGGGCTAGCGGAGGATGTTTACTTCCTTTTGGGTCACGGAGCAGCCGGGGATTTACCAGATGATCGTGGTCGAACGGCACGGGACTTGGCTGTAAAGGCAAAGAAGAAGAACGTGATCAGGGTGTTTGAACGGATGGAGTTGATGGTTGCGAAAGATTCGGAAGAGTCCTCTTCTGATGTTTCGTCTGATGAATGAACGCATGTAGATATCCAATCCCCGAATTTGATTTAGAGACCGATCTTGAGGTCCCGGTACATTTACTGGTTGTTAAGTTTCTGAGGGTTGGCGATTTGTTCGAGGCCTTCAAGGTATATGCTTCTTTCTAGACCTTCTTAGCTGGGTCTTTCCCAATCTAGTAATTGGAAAGACTATAAACCCCCCCCCCCCCCCCCCCCCCCCCTCTTTTTTCCTCCATTCTCTCTCCCTCTTCCCTCCCATGTCCCATCCCTTTTCTCTCGCCGTTCTAATCAGGTGGTTTAGAAAGACTGGCTCTAATTTCTAATTGTAAAAAGCAAACTCGACTCCACGAACGATAGGCACGCAGAGTGCAAAGCTAGAGGGAGTAGGTCAATTAAGAGCGGGATTATCTTATACGAGCGTCGGTGATCTCCATCAAAACACCATGGACAGGCCTAGCATTAAGTTATTATTCTCTAGACCACAAGATTTCTGAGTGTAGATGGGCTCATGGGCTAAGTAGTTGCACTATCCTCATGAACTTAGTCAGTTTGCTCTTTTTCGTTTACACTCATTATGATACGAAAATTCTCATCCGAGTCTCACATATACTTCATCTTCGGCGGGCTCCCTAAGCCGTGGCGCCATCTTCCTCCTTCGCCCCATATCTTGTACGAAGAGTCTCTGTAACCAACTTGGCGATGTTGCCAACCGTTCTCGCCTTGATGATGTCCCCGAGCGGGACCTCTACCTCCACCTTACGGCGCAGCCAATGTTTAATCTGCAAACCCATCAGGGAATCTACCTCAAGACTACCGTATTGGTCTAGGCCCATCTCCTCGGTCAACCCATTATGCGTAGCGATCTGCTCGCCGAGCTTTTCGATGATTAAGGCCTCACATGAGCCGTCAATTAGGGGTGTGGGGTCGTCTCGAAACGACAGAAGTTGCCGCTGCAATTGCTCGTCGTCGATATCCCCGGTGGTTGATGCGTCGGCCCCTGTTGGAAGAGTGGAAAACCGCGCATCCTGTTGGAGCCATGGATCACCCGTCATAACGGCCGGAGAAAGTCCAGAGACCACTATTGCCGGACGCGTGGGGGACAAACCATCTGTTGCCGAGAGGAGAGCCAGCTGGAATGCCTTCAGCACATCTCCTTCCCCCATCATGTGGTGGGATGCTTGACGTGCTTTAGACAGAAGCTCCGGCTGTTGTGACATAAGACCCATTTCATCGACTGGCCCAAGACTGACTAGCGAAGCAGGTAGGCCTAGTCCTCGACGATACTGAACAAACCCATCTAAGAAGGAATTCGCAGCGGCGTAATTGGCCTGCCCCGGGTTTCCAATCATGCTGACTGCGGAGCTGAATACAATGAAGAAATCTAGGGATCGGTTCTTAAGAGCACTGTGAAGGTTCCAAGTCCCTTGGACCTTGGTTGCTAGACTTGTGGTCCACTCTTCGTATGACATCTTGTCGAATAGTTGATCCTGCGTACTGATTTAACACTCTACAATCTGTTGGGTTTGGGATAGCTCTGGTTACCTTCAGGACAGCTGACATCTGAATAACACCGGAGATTAGACGTCCGTTGTTTTGAATAGCGCGCTGAACGGTGTCCGCATCTGTTACACTTCCGGCCACCATCACCACGCGGCATCCTTGACTTTCAAGCTCTTGAGCAAACAACTGATCCTCTTCGCGGGATCCGGCAGATCGAGAAAGGAATACGAAGTCGCGAGCTCCATGCTCCACCATCCATCGGACGACAGCCCGGCCAATGCCTCTCAAGCCACCAACAAGCAGGTACGAGGACGTCGGCGAGAAACTGAACCGGGCCTGTGCGGGAAGTAATGGATATTTGCTCTCATAGTCAGGCATTTCAAGCACGAATTTTCCAATGTGCTGCCCCTTCTGCATCTGTCGCATGGCTTCTTCAACCTGGTCCACTTGGAAAAGTGTGTGCAGAGGTCGGTGCGCTGTTTCATCTAACTTCTTGATAGCTGTTTCAAGGGCCCTGGTAAGATATTTAGTTTCTGGAACACTTTGAGTATTGAGCAGGTACAACATACCACCTCGCTGTTGCAGCATCGTCATAGGCCACACTATACAAGTCGAAGCCACAGTATGAACGACACCCTTGAAAGCCATTCAGGTCCAGCATGCCATGACCCAAGATGTCTCTTTTCCCAATCTCGAGCAATTTGCCGAATTGAGCAACACATTTCCATGACGCTCGCAGAAGCTCCCCAGCTAGTGAATTGAGCACCAGATCGACGCCCCTGCTATTGGTTTCCCGCATGATCCCAGAGAGAAATGAAACACTATGTGAATCGAAGATGTGCGAGCGTGGAATCCCAAATGTCTTCATCAGATACTCGACTTTCTCGTCGCTACCAACCGAAGCAAACACCTATTCCCTTATTATTAAAGCATAGCATACGGGGGGTAAATGTGTTGACATACCTCGGCGCCGATGCTCTGGCAGATATGCACTGCCGCCAGTCCGACTGCACCACACGCGGAATGAATCAAGACAGACTGATCCTTCTGCAGCTTTCCAATACCTATCAGTGTATATATAGCCGTCAAATAAGCACTTGGAGTGGCGGCAGCTTCTGCCAACGTGAGACGCTTGGGAGCGGGGATCACCCGATCAGCCGGAAAGACTGCCAGGGTCTTCGTCGGTTGCGGGTCAAAAACGACGACTGGATCACCGACTCGGAGTGTTGTCACCTCTGATCCCACGCGAGTCACAAAACCGCTTCCCTCGAAGCAGAAATCCATTGTTTTAGTTCGTTCCACAACACCCAGAGACATCATAAGGTCTTTGAAGTTGAGCGCCAAATAACTGGCCTTGACTTCGACGTCTTGTGGACCGACCTCTTCCCTAGGAATGGGTTTCCATCCAAGAGAGCTCAAATCTCCGATAGTTTGGATATCTAACAGATACGAACTTGGATTTTCTGTGGCATGGAGGTGATCTACGACCTTGGTGAGGGCTGCACGACCGGTGTGGCCTGCGCCCCGATATAGTATGAACTCGAAATCGCGGACTGACTGTCCCGGAATTGGCTTACCCAGCTGCTTGTACGCTTGAATCACCATAGGAGTTGCGGTCTCGTCAAATGAGTCAATCTCACACGTGCCAATATCGACATTCAACTCACACCGCAATGTGCGCATGAGGCCCAGGATGAGGCAAAACCGAGGGTCCTTGCATTCCATCTGCATCGAATGAGTCACCCAGAGGAGACGCTTCACTGAGGACATCCAGCCCTGAATTGTATTGTAGGTAGATTGGGACATGTCATCTAGGAATGGGCTTTCAAAATCGAGTAGTGCGATAACATCTTCAGTGGGGAGCTCTTCTCCAAAAGTGCACCAACACACATCATATCCTTCGGAGGACAGGCAACCCGCCAGACTCTGTATCCAAGAGTGAGACCTTGTCTCTGATCTGCAAAGCAGGTTGATAGATTCGCGTGGAGGTTCTATCTCGGGGTTTGTTGTTAGCATCAGTGCCTGCCAGTGGAGTGGTGCCGGTGCATTGTAACGGACACCGTCGAGCCCAGAAAAACCTGCCCGGCAAAATTCCTCTTCCCAGCGCTCCACAGAAACGTGAGGCTTGTCCCCCCGGTAGTCGCCCATGCCCAACCAATAGCCTGGAAGAATCCCCATGATGGCATCAACATGTGGGATTTCGGAGCAGGGCTCGTACAAGAGCAACCGCCCCCCAGGCACAAGTAGAGAGCGGATCTGCGTCAATGACTCGATAAGAACAGGTGTCTCATATAGGACATTGCACGCAATCACTAGATCGTAACAATTCTCTGTGAAGCCCTGGTCTGTCACCCTCTTTGAGATATCCAGTGTTTTGTACTCCACTTTTGGTGCACTTTCAAAACGCTCTTCCAATTGCTTGACCAGCCCAGGTACGCTGTCGGTTACCGTAAATTGACTAAAGAGACGATCACCGTGATCAGTAGTCAAGCTTTTCAGGATTGTGGCTGTTGCCGAACCAGCCCCAGCTCCAACCTCCAAGACGCGCAGATGAGGATTCGCGTGGGCAAGAGGACCAAGGAATCTGTTCCAGTCGTAAAGCTCAAGGCCCCACTCAACAATCCCCCTGATGGTCTCTAAGAGCGAGGTGTCTTGAAAGATGCTTCCGCTTATCAGCTGGTCCGGATGCTCACTGGCATACGCCCAAGCGTCGTTATAGCATCGTTCAACCCTAGCATCGGGATATTGGCCCTGCAAGGATTTGAACAGGGCCTTGCGTTGATCCTTATCCATGTTCTTAATCTGCTTGACACCTGGAATATGGTCATATTCCCCCTGGAATACTTTCCTGCCTATGTCCATACTGAGTTTTCTGTAATTCTCCAAGTGAGAGGGTAGCGAAGTCTGAGATCCCAGAGCATCTATCATCTCGAATATTAAGAGAAATCCGGCTATGGCCAGAGATTGAGTCTTCTGTTGGCTTATGTCAATGGGCGATGGTACTTGTTGGGCCGCCGGCAGGAACCTAATATCCGGCTTCCATTGGATATGTGTTGCAAACTTCGATCCTTTCGTTTCTTGGCCAGCTTCCGGTATAGGCAATAAGCGCAGTCCCTTCATTTCTAGAACGACGTCACCCGTTGACTCAGAAACTACTTTGAAGTATCCACTTAGACTTTCTTTTGTTGAATCAGTCGTCGTCGCCTCGACGAGCATTGAGCTGCTTCCTGGGGCCAGGTACACCCGGTCGATATACAACGGCATGCCCGCCTTGTCAGGATAGTGCGAGACCCCCTTGTCACTGGCAACCAGCATTACTTGAAGACACTGATCCACAATTGTTGGGTGTATTGCGTAATAGCTGTCATGGAGTTCGCGGTCATCCTCCACCCGCCCACGAGCTGCATTCGTTAGTGGACTTGCAGTAATATCCTGCAGTCCTTCGAACCGGGACCCATATTCAAGGCCTTTTTTCTCGCATCTGCGGTACCATTGGTACGATGAAATATGTCTGGTGAATGGCTCTGAAATCTTTTTAGACGGAAGGGGCTGGTCTGTGCCTCCTCTCACCTTCCCAGAGCAATGCTTAGTCCATCCTTGACCATTGTAAGAACATACCGTGAACTCATACCAGTCCGAGTCCATAGTAGCATTCAATGTCATCTTTCGTAGCGTTGTCATTATTTCAATTTCATCCTCATCTCGAACGAGGGCTTCCATGAGCAGAACTTGCTCTATTGTGCAGGTAGTTTGGCCAGTTATTTGGCGTATGGCTTCCGATGCCAATGCCACGTATCCAACGGCTGGAAATACGACAAGGCCCATCATGCGATGGTGGTTAATCCAGGGAACCTCCTCACCCTTCAGGATATTTCGCCATGCAGGCTCGAAGTCATTGGATTCCAGGCATCGCGCTCCGAGAAGCTCATGACGGGGGAATTGGCGCAGGCGCCATTGTTTACTGATGCGAGTTTCCGCCCAGGGGATTTCTTCGCGCTGCCATGGGTAGGGAGGAAGGTCAGTGAGTATTTCGCCCTGATACCCACCATTGACAGCGAGAAGATCAACAGGTAGGTGGTTGACATAAGCTGTTCCAGCGACAGAGAGGATGCGAGACAGGTTACTTTCGTTGCTTCTCATTGTCGCACAGTATGTAAAGCTCATGCTGACCGAGCGGAGTATTTGCTGGATTGGCCCCCGGAGTGCTGAGTTAGACCCTATCTCTATCACGACCTGGTGTTTGCTCTGCGTGGATGTGGCTAAGTTCTGAAAAGCAGAGGAGAATAAGACGGGAGATTCCAAGCTTCGTCGCCAATACGCCGCATCAAGCTCACTAGGCTTTGTGATTACTGTTCCAGTTACCGTTGAGTACATTGGGGTCATTTCCTCGGGATGGCTGACTAGGTGATGCCGTGAGAGCTCTTCGTACTCGGCACCCACGGAAGCCATAAATCCTGGAAGCCCATTTAGCAGGGAAGCTGACTGCGTATGTTTTATATGACTCACCGGAGTGATACGCCCGCTCAACCGGTAGCATTTTCAAAAGAGTGTCCGGCTGTTCATTTTGGATTCGAGTTGCCACACATTCCAGCTGATCACGGCTCCCAGCAAGGGTGACGCTGTTCGGGCTATTTTCGCATGCCAATTCCACTGCGTCGCCCAGATATTGACTGATACTGTCTCTGCCAACCCCCACTGCGAGCATGCCTCCCTCGGGAGCCATATTGGCAATTATCCCGCGAGTATGGGCCAATATGATTGCCGTAGCCATGGACAAGGCGTTGGCTGCATAGGCCGCTGCGAACTCTCCACTGGAATGGCCTATGACTTTGTCTGGGGTGATTCCCCATGATTTGAGAAGATTTACCAAACTAATCTGAACCGCAGTGCACAGAGGCTGTGCTATATCGGGTCGGTTAATGTCACTCTCGGGGTCTATTTTAACCAACTCCTCTTCAGGATGGCGCTCTCAATCGTCAGTGGAACCGCCACGCAAATTTCGGAACATTGGGGCCTATACCGTGCATCCTCCACGTGGGTGCGTTGGGCAGACTCTGCAGTACCCGGTCCATGTATTCTACGTCCTTCCTGAAGGACGTAAAGTTTTTCATCAACTCCGCACCCATTCCTGCCCACTGAGCTCCCTGGCCAGGGAATGCAAATGTCACGATTTTTGATCCATTCTTTGTATTGTCGGCTTTGGTGAATTCAATAGAATCAAGTGAAACTTCTCCACCGGTAACTGCGAATGCCCTGTGACGAAGATGCTCTCGCTTTGCATAGAGGGTATAAGCCAGATCGGGCACTGCCTCACGATGACGGGAAATGTATTCTTTTATGTCCATCGCCCGCTGATCAAGGGACTTAGGGCCACTAGCTGACAATGGCAAGAGTCGCAGACTATTGTTGTTCGTCCCCAATGCCGCTATTGCCTTTGGGGGCATCATCGATGCGGCTGAATCCACAATGACCTATTCTGTGAGCCTTTGGTTCCTTCCAGGTGCGTAAGGTGACCTACATGGGCATTGGTACCACCAACCCCGAAGCAATTGACACTGACTCGTTCTTTGCGGTCGGCTGGCCAGGGGAGAATATCAACAGGTACCGTCAAACCTGCTTCGTCAAACGGAACTAATGGGGGTAAGCAACTAAATATAGTGCAACCAAATAGAAGGAATCGTACTGTTTGGATTTGGTGTCGAAAAGTTGACGTTGGGAGGAATTTGTCTGTGCTCCAGAGCAAGCACTGCTTTAATCAGGCCTGCGAGACCCGCTGCGCCCTCGGTGTGACCAATGTTCGATTTCACCTGCAATGTAATATTAACAACTGGTCATTCGCAGGTTCGTTACAAGCTTACCCCTCCGATAATCATGGGATGGCGTCCGAAGGCATCGGCCACGGCAGTGGTTTCAACGACATCCCCCACCCGGGTGGCCGTGCCGTGACATTCAACAAATGCGGTCTCTGCAAGATTTTCGAGATGGGCCTTTCGGTAGGCCTTCCGGATCAGCGCCTCTTGTCCGGCCGATGATGGGACCGTGATGTGGTTTGTTCGGCCATCAAAATTTGTCGCAACCGCTCGTATGACGCCACGGACTGGATCTTTGTCACGGATGGCATCGTCTAGCTTCTTTATATACAAGGCGCATACTCCCTCCGCTCTGGCGTAACCGTTGGCTTCCGCATCGAATGTTTTACAGATCCCGTCAGGAGACAATGCCCCGGCCTGTGACATATTGGTCGTCATTGTGGGAGTGAAAATCAGGCTGGAACCTCCAACTATCGCTGAAGGGCAGTCGCCGAGAGCAATTGCCTGACATGCCTCGTGGAGAGCCACAAGCGAGGATGAGCAAGCAGTTCGACAAGTCATGCACGGGCCCTTGAGGTCGTATTCGAATGATACTCTGTTGGATACCGCATAGTCCCCAGTTCCTACGACGTGGAGCGGGTTCAGGTTTTGGGTGTCCTTCGCTGTGAGATCTAGCCAGTCCTCCCCAAAGGTGCCTACAAAACATCCAATTTCCTTGCCTTGCCAATTGACTTGTCCGCCGCTCTCCATGCACTCCCAAACCACTTCCGATAGAATAGTCTGTTGGGGGTCTACAAACCCATGCTCGTATCGATTGTTATGGAAAAAGGAAGTATCAACTTTTCCCAGATAGTCGCCGTCAAGAAAAAAGCCGTGCTTGGCAATTACCGATTGTGTATCCACGCCAGGAGTCCCGTGGAAGGCGTCCACATTGTATCTCCCCGCAGGAACTGGAGCGGATGCGCATCTCTTGTCAATCATGAATTGCCAAAAGTCTTCGGGGGATGAAATGCCACCAGGCAGCCGTGCAGCCATTCCGACAATGGCGATGAGAGGAGGAGCCTCGTGAGTCCATTGATCTTCTGAACTCTCGCGGAATTCATGCGGGTCGACGGTTGTCCAGCCCGGAGAATTGCTAGCAGTATCGCTGGATGCCATGTCGTAGAGTAAAGAAGGGAAAGCGATTCTGATGGTGCAGGATACTTGGCTCTTTGGACTGGTTTTTGTGGCAGGGTGCATGAAGCTTTATAAGATATTTCCCACTAAGCAATCACAGAGTATTTGCTCATATCCATCGTTCTCGGTCAGTATTCACTCCCTTGCCGAGCTGGCAGGCATGACGCCTGTATGAACTCGCAATGCCCGCCAACCCACCGCTCTTTCCAAAGTATAATAAATCCGCAACCAATACAGTCTTACATAAATGACAAATAAGACATGCGTCTGACTGATTATTGGGCACCCGATCAAGCTCAATGCTCCTCCTGGTGAATTCTGCGCCAGTGCGTGGAGGCGGGTGCGTATGAGCCTGAGGTGGTGATGTTTTCTATTCATTCCTCGCCATTATTATAGATAAGAGATTAGGTTTCACGTGGTATCTGATTACTTGTTGTCGCTAAGATCATTTATTCCGAGGATTAAATCTAATCTCAAATATGGGGCTCTATTCAAGAGCAAAAGAAATATGATCACCGATAAGGGCGATTGACTACGTCCCACGCATCAGCTGGTCCCTTGCGCACTTCAGAACGAGTTCAGCTGCGCTCTTTTTTCTTTTTCTCCAGAATGACCGACCCAATCACTGAAGTGCCCTCTTTCTCTGCACAATACACCGCTATTTCGAAGAGATGATTGCTATTGTCAAAGAGGTAAAAAGCAATTCACACAAGAGCTGCCATCCTTTATTGCTTCTTCCGACCGGTCGGTACAAACCCAAAGTTTAAAAAGTGACCGACATGATGAACATCGCACAGCGGTTGTCATCGCTGGAGTGGCACGACAGGCTGAACATGGACCTCAGCATCCTAAGAATTTATATATGCTTATCGGCGGCTTTCATCGTCGTCTTCATTTTCGGACTTGCTTTCTATCGACTCTACCTCAGCCCCTTAGCTAAATTCCCTGGTCCTCGGTTGGCCGCTGCGACGGGGCTCTATGAAACTTACTATGATGTTGTTCGTGATGGTCAATTTTCCTCGCACATCGAGCGTCTGCATCAGACATATGGTCCGATTGTGCGCATCAAGCCATGGGAACTTCACGTGAAAGACCCGGACAACTACAACACGCTGTACGCAGGAGTAACGCGAAAGCGAAACAAGGACAGCTGGTTCTCGTTTGCGGGATGGCCTGATTCAATCTTCTCAACCAATGGACACGCGTTGCATCGCTCCCGACGAAGCGTGTTGGCACAGTTTTTCAGAAGGCAGGCAATCCTGGATGTGCAACCGCTTATTCGGGACAATATCCAGGCTTTGTGTCGTCATTTTCGCAAAGCGCAAGCGGGGTACCATAGTTTAGAGCTCTATACTACGTTTTTTTGTTTTACGAGTGATACTATATCGCAATATGCTTTTGGGAAACAGAATGGCTTTCACTATTTAGGTGAGGCCGAGCTGGATGTGGCTTGCAAGTCAAAAGCGCATTCTATCTTTGAGCTTTCTCAGAAGACAAGACATTTCCCCTGGCTTTGCAAGCTGGTGCACTTCTGCCCTTGGCCAGCATTACTTATGAATGCTGATTTTGCTAGGGTCTATGCCCAGGAAATGGTAAGTGGCTTTCGAGTGGGTATTTGAGATTCTAAAGCTAATGGGAATCCAGGAAGTTCAAAGTATGGTTCGCAAGGCCATACTGGGACGTGGTAAGGGGTGCAGCGAGAAGCCCAAGCCAATCTATCCTGCAATCCTGAATAACGAGAAAGTACCTGAGGATGAGAAAAGGCTCGCCCGCCTAACTGATGATGCGATTTTCTTGGTACAAGCCGGTACCGATGCGCCAGGAAGAGCATTGGTTTTGACTTTATATTACATTCTGCGAGATCCAGAGGTGCATAAGAAGCTTCGCTCTGAGTTGTGTGCTGCTTGGCCAGATGCGACAATGGAGCCAGGACTTATAGCTTTGGAACAGTTGCCTTATTTTGTATGGCTCTCTCCTTGGAACGATACAACCTCAAGGTGAAACGGCTAACCCAGCATCAGACTGCCGTGTTGAAGGAAGGACTTCGATTATCCTCTCTCGTCAGCACACGTCTTCCACGTGTCGCACCGGATGAGGAATTGCATTTCCATGGATACGAAATCCCACGCGGAGTAAGCCAGGATTTCCTCTCCCCCCCCCAGTGCTCTAATCATAGCTAAATAGAAATCTTAGGTTCCCGTGAGCATGACCACCTTTTTTATCCTCCGTGATCCAAAGATCTTTCCCGAGCCGTTACAATTCATCCCCGAGCGCTGGCTTCTGGAGCCAGAGGACTTGCGAAAGTTGGAGCGGTACCTAGTTCCATTTTCCAAAGGGACCTTGGGGTGTATGGGCCAAAGGTAAGTTGCCACCAGGAGGCGATCTACAGAGGCAGGTCGAAGCTAATGGGGCGCAGTATGGCTTGGGCATGGCTGTATATGGTGCTTGGGACACTCCTGCGAAGGTTTGAGATGAGACTCTATGATACGACGGAGCGTAACGTAACTCCAGTCAGGGATAAATTTCTCTGGCAGACGGAGCCTGGACTGAATCGGGTTCAGATCAAGGTGTTAAGGGAGTATTCATAAGCATAAGCAATACTGGGGACAATGTAGTGCCTGCGAGTTAAGGCCTTTTAGCAGTATGGTATTGTATAGAGGTTGTCCATCTAGGGTATATACAGGGTAATAGACAGGGCGAGTCATAGAAGAAAGGATGTTTGACTCACGGTCTCGACATTAGGTCGAGAGTTAGATAACTGATAACAGGGTTAACAGAAAGATCCGCATTTCTTTTCGAACCTGCATTTCGGCTCCCTCATCTCATCAGGGCACGGTACTGTTAATGTTATAGCTGTACAACGAGATCCAGTTCGAATTTCGTAAGTTTTATTGGTCAAGTCTAATCAAGTGATGTCTGGACTGGCTTCTATTGGACTGCACATGGTAGGTGGGCATCTCATTTCTGGTTTAGCAGGGTAGTAGGTAGCAGGCGTAAAATGCTTCTCGCATGTTCCCAGGCCGTCCGTCACTAACAAAAATTTCGATTTCCGCCTGCATGCAGACCCCAGGTTACTCGAACAAAAAGACTAGGTATATATCTTTCCATCTGGTTACTGCTGAGATACCTAATCGAGTCGATCCATTCAAAAATCACAAAGGTAAAATGTAAAAAAGAAAGCCCAACGCGGGGCTCGAACCCGCAGCCTTGAGATTAAGAGTCTCACGCTCTACCGATTGAGCTAGCCGGGCTAGTTCGGTGAAAGAAAGCAGCTCTGTATGCTACATATTCCTTAGAGTAATGAGCTGGTAGGCAAAGCGATTTACGCCGTCTGCTGATTGAAGTAGCCCGGCAAGCTTGGGCCTGTCACCTCTTTCGTAACGACTGATAGTAGTAGTATGTGTATTTCCAAATATATTGACCCATAAAAAGGCTTCTCACTGGTATAAATACGAATTCATGGTGCTATGGTTTTAGACGATGTGATTGGCGAGCAGTTGGCTTGCAGCGCAGCTCACCGGAAATATATATCAATTGCTGGTGAAGTGAGACCTCAGTCATCCTAAGTCGCATCAAGTGACTTATCAGACTACTATGAGAGCTGAGTACAGCAGTAACTGAAGAGTCAATTCAAAAGATAACACTCATTAATTAAACGAGAAGAAAGAAGCCAAGGTGTAAGGAAGTAAGCCCCTACAAGGATGGTTATCCACCTTCTCCCAGGGTGTACTTGAGGGTATCAATCATAGCGCCAAGATCACCGGAAATCTGCTGTTACACGCTCACACCACTTCTCCAATCCTACCGCATTGCCATCATCGCCCTTGCTCATTTCCTCAATCAGATCCCCTCGGGGACAGGGATGCCACCGGCCAAACGGAATAATATACCTGCCGCTATCCGCAGCCGTGACCTCTGAACTGCAACCCGCCCACAGCAGCGAGTTGGCCCCCTCCCGAGCCGTGTAGAAGATGGGCTTGCACATCCACACCACCAGCTTGGGCGCGTCATCGTAAATTCCGGTGTACGCGTTGGCCGGGTTGACCGTTACGCTAACCACAGCCTTTTCATCTTTGCCGGCTGCAGCAGCGAACTTCTTAGCAAACCGATCCGCCAGGAACCAGTTGCCCGTTTTGCTGATCGCATAGTTGCGGTACACGTTGCTCGATGGGTTATCGAGTTCCTTGGCGGGTACGCCGCCGCGCGGCGCCAGGGTTTCGACGATCATGCTGCTCGACCAGATCACCCGCACGCTATCCGGGGGTGCATGGGCGGCGGTGCGGGTGAGGACATCTGACAGCAGAGTGGTGAGGAGGTAGGGCGCCGCGCAGTTGATACCGAGCTGCGGCTCGAGGTTCTGGGCGGTGCGCTGCGTCAGGGGCTGCAATGCGACACCGGCGTTGTTGAAGAGAAGGTCGAGACGTGATTCACGCTCGAGAAATTGGGTCACAAAGGGACCGATTGTGGTGAGATCCGAGAGATCAAGGGGCAGAAAGTTCAGTTTGCCGGAAGCAGTGGGGTCTTCTGCTGTGAGGGCTTGGATGGTGGCCTGGGCTTTTTGTTCGTTACGGGCGGCGATGTAGACAGTGGCGCCGGCGGAGTACAGAATGCGCGCCAATTCCAGGCCGATGCCGGCGGTGCTGCCGGTGATGATTACCACGCGATTGGATTGCGGAGGGAGATTGGCAGAAGTCAGGGTCGGTTTGGCAGGGAAGGTTTGCGGCCAGACGCGGCGCAAGAGATTGAGGACCATGTTGTTTATCCCGAAGAGAGGATAGTGGGCAAGCAGAGAAGAGGAGGTGTGATGTTTTTGGGGAGAGAAGTGACGGGACTGAGGACATAAATAAAAAATAAAACCCTTGACTAGCTACACTAATGGCTTAGTTTTGATTCTTATAGTCATGACCTGCGCATCACTGGTGGGTGGTTAGTCGTTTTACATGATATATCCCGCAATTCGTGTAATATACACCTAGGGTAACCATAACTTATCGGTTACACTCAGTTACAGCCCCCGAACGGAATACATACATACATACATACATTACATACAGATCTTTGCTATCTTTCAACACACATAATGTACATGCATCCATCAGCCTCTTTCCCCAACAGTGGCATCCGCATTCTCCAGCAACCGACTCAAAATTCTCTCACACAAGGCACTTAGTGTCTTGGCCCCGACCACCTCCAACGTACTGACCACCACTTTCAACTCCTGCCGCAGCCAGTTCCGAAAGTCCACCGCCGCCAGCGAGTCTAGTCCGTACACTGACAGCGGCTTCGCCGCCTCCATCGGCTCCGCTAGCCCTAAACTGTGCATGAAGTGCCGATTGACCACCTCGATTGTGGCCGCCAGCTGCTCTGATCGATCCGCTGTCGACGTCTGCAGCAGCATGAGCAACGTCTGCATCTCCTGCGACAAACCGCCGTGCTTCCCCGCCGCCGTCGCGGCACTCCCTTCTTTCGCCGCTAGTGCCCCGAACCGCGCATCGCGCAACAGCATTGCGCCCTCCGGCTGGGGAAAAGGTATGCCAGTGATGATCTGAGCCGTGGCTGTCGGGTCTCCCCTCGCTTGCACATTATGCTGATCCAGAATCGACGCCCGCAGAATCCGATGCAAGAGTGCCTCATTGATGGGCGTCCAGATGTTGATGTCCAACCGAGTGGCAATCTCCTGGCGCTCGCTGATGTAGCCGACGTCCTCAATAACGCCCAGATCCACAGCGCAAGCTGCCAGCCCACGATCGCGCCGGTACGTGGCGAAAGCGTCCTGGAACGCCCCGGCCGCCGCGTAGTTGGCCTGGCCCTTCTGGCCCACCAGCCCGGAAATGCTGGAAAGGAGAGTGAAGAAGTCCAGGTCAACGCCGCCCTGCTCCTGGGCGACCGCGTGAAGATTCCACGTGCCGGAAACCTTGCAGGGGAGGACGTCGCGGAAGCCGTCGACTGTCATGGAAGTGTAGATTTTGTCCTATATGGAGTACAGGGGTTAGTATAGTGGACGTTGGTTGGGAGGGGGGCAAATGGCTGTGAGTTCAAGGGCTCAGTCACTTGCAAATAGCTATGTCCATACCTTCAAAACCATTGCACCCTGAATGATCCCTCTCACTGGTTTCACGGCTTGTCGGAACGCACGCCGCACATCCTTGATGCACGAGACGTCGCCCTGCACCAGTTCGATGCGAGTTCCCAGGGAGATGAGGTCGCGGATTACGCTGCGTGACCGTGAATCCTCGAAGCCACTGCGGGACATCACAGCAAGGTGCTTGGCTCCGTGGCAGGCGAGGTAGACAGCCAGACTGCCGCATAGGCCGCGGAGCCCTCCCACGATGAGGTAGGTGGCATCGTCGCGTAACCGAAGCTGCGTGGGTGCAGGCACAATCTGTTCCTGGGGTGTCAGTGGCCACCCGTAATCGAAAGAAGAGGAAAAATGATGGGATTTGGTGTACTTACCGGCACGTTGGGATCGTTGTCCGGCGCCTCCCGCGAGATAATGATCTTCCCTATATGTTCGCCTCCTCGCATGTACCGGATGGCCCCGGCGATGTCCCGGTAGGGGAAGACAGTGCGGGGCTCGATGGGCCTGATACTGCCAGAAGCAAGCAGCTCAAACATCTTGGTCATGAGTCTAATAACCGAGCTTGAGGTTAGTGGATTGCTGTTCTTTAACATGACCTTAACTGTGGGAAGAAGATTGGACTTACTGCGCCGTGATCTGTGGCGTCACACTGTCATGCGACATATCCAACGCGCGATAGGAGGCATTGCGATTGAAGGGCTCCATTGATAACGACCGCCGGCCAAGTATATCCTTCTTGCCAAGCTCGACGAGACACCCGCCGGCCGCGACAACGCGCCACGACTCGTCCAGCAGTCGGCCGGTCAGTGTATTCAGGATGACGTCCACGCCACGGCCGCGTGTTGCCTCCCAAATGCGCGGCGCAAAGGCCGCCGTCCGCGAGGAGTATATACGCTCCGGTGGGATGTTATACTGCTGGGTCAGCACTGCGCGTTTTGCGTCGTTACCCACTGTGGCATAGATGTCGGCACCCATGGCCTGGCAGATCTGAATGGCGGCCTGCCCGACGCCGCCAGCTGCGGAGTGGATAAGCACAGACTGGCCGCGCTGGAGGTTGGCCAGGTCGAAGAGGCCGCGGATCACGGACAAGTAGACGACCGGCAAGGAAGCAGCTTCCTCGAAGCTCATGCTGTCTGGGATGGCGTGCGCGCCCTGCACGGGGCATTGGACCTTGTTACCAAAGCTACCACGGCGGTTGACGAGGACTCGCTGTCCGACGCGAAACGAGGTGACTCCCTTACCAAGCCGGCAGACCACACCAGCGCCCTCGAGGCCCAAGAGGTAAGGATTCTCAGGCACGATCCCCAAGCAAGTCGCCACATCCTTGAAGTTAAGCCCCGCCGCATGCATCTCGACTTCAATGAAGTCATCTGGGAGAGGGACGGGGGAGCTGGAGACTTCGGCGAAGCAGAGCGATTGGAGCTTGCCCGGTTGTCGGCAGACCAGTCGCACACACGAGGGATGTTCGTGAAGGTTCTGGGTCTGCTGAGCTGGCGGAAGAGCGGCGGCGGTGGTGGTGATGGCGTCTTCTTTTTCGGCGTCTGCGTTCATCTGTGTGTCTGGGTAGACCCTGCTGACGTGCACCACCCCATCGCGCTCGACGAATTCGTGGTCCTGCGTCTGATGGCCCTGCTGAAGGGAGAGAATGGTCCGGCAGATTGCTTCAAGGGAGCCAGTGCTGACGGCGGATTCGACATCCAGCAGAGTGAAGTTCACGCAGGGGTCTTCGGCACGGATGACCCTTGACATGCCGTAGGCCAGGGAGCGATCTGGATGTGTCACATCTAGTTGGGCGCCGCTTGTCACCCACAAAATCTTACAGCCCGACGCAGTGAGGTGCTGGATTGCCTGCCATTGTATGGGTGTCACCTCAGTCAGGGTCGCCGAATAAACCTCGTCCACGATCACAACGACTGAGCTGGGCGCGATAGTCGCAGCGGGAAGGGGGAGGTGTTGCTCGCTCGGCGCTTTCCCGGCGATGGCCAGCTGTTTTACTAGTGGCTTATCTTCCGGGGTGAGATGAAGTACTGTTACCTCTGAAGTCGTCGCAAGCGGAGGGGAGACAATGGTCTTGTCCGATGAAAGCTGAGCGAGAAATACCGTGTCCTCTGACAAGCTTTCCTGTGCAAGGGGAACCACTCGCTCGAAGCCTTGGCCACGCAGAAAGTCAAGAATCTGGGACGATGATCCTCCGACCATCGACCAGTCCGAGCTGCCAGAATCGCTGTCCTCACCGCTGATGACTGACGCGCTGCCCGTATCCTCCGTGATATCAACCAGGGACGTTCCTAGAACCAACAGATATGCTGTCGGTGTCATGGCCCGCCTGACATTAGCCAGCGCATTCGCCAAGTCAGCGCTAGAGACGGGTCCCAGCTGAAGGATCGCCAAATCAAGCATGTCAGGTAGCATGGACAGATCTACATCAGGCTTGGTCACATCGAGCATGTTCATCTGAGCCTGAGGGTATGTTTCCGACAGCAAGGCCTGCGAGGCACGCATTGAAGCCAGATTTTTCGGCATAAACTGGTATTTGCAATTTCCCTCTGCGAAGGACAGATCGCCGTCGAACATATCCCGCCCGACACTTTCCTCAAATGGCAGCGTACTGAACTCCGCCACTTGTAGGAAATGCTTCTCGTGAAGGAGGAGCTCCATAAGGGTCCACTGCTTTTGTGATGGCGATGATGGATCGTGGTGTGGCCTGGGCTTTTGCAGCGAACGACGAGCCTGAACCAGCGCACGCACCTGCCCGTCGCTCAATGTGGACATCTGCGGCTTCCAGTGCAAACGCATGAAGGTATGCTGCCTTTCAGGGGACTCAGGGCTAGCGTCGAGATTGTGGTACCACAAGCCCGTGACCTTAAGCAGTAGCCGTTTACTAGCCGGGTCAAAGACCTGTATATGTGAATGGTAGTTGTGGGCTTCCTCGGGGCTGCCCACTCCAGAGAACGCAGCTGAGGCTGCTGCAACCGCAACTGGCACTGCCGCAACGTCTCGGGCGTTGATGAGAAGATCATCTACCACGGCAGGCACCAGAGCACCGCCCACGGCGCTGCGGATGCCCTGCCACAGCGAGGCAGCTCCAGACTGAAGGCAGCCATCGATCGCCACGGGGTGGATTGAGTAAGGCGACTGAGGATAAGAAGACGGGGGCTCTGAAAAGGAAACCAAGCCTCGGTTGGTTCGCTGACCGGCCACGGCCTCGACCTCCAGTTGTGACTGGAACGAAGGGCCAAAGGAGTACCCAACATCCCGGAGGGCCTTGTACCAGGCTTGTGCGGGCATGGGGTACTCCAATGGCTTAATAGCCTCCCAAGGAGCATCTAAGATGGATGGCAGAAGAGGGTTAGAAATGCGACCGTCGAACATCAGATATAGATGTATATGTATATATAAACAGGGAATAATTCAGAAACCAACGAGTAAACATACCTTCATCGTAAGGAGTCTCTAACATGATCATACCAGAGCAATGACGGGTCGTGGTAGCGTCCTCATGTAGCGTTAATACAGTAAAATGGTGCCATGAATCCGCGCTTTCGTCTTCCGGGGTAAGGGTGAGCATGATGCGCTGGTCGGTGCCCTCCTCCAGGACCATCGCTTTCATGAAGGTGACATTGCGAAGCCGGTACGCCACGTTATGAACCTGCAAGTTTTGGTCGATGAACCCTCGCGATTGACCCATCTGGAAGGCTGCCTCGACCGCCATGGCGATGTAGCCCGCTGCCGGGAAAAGCACCTGACCCCCGATTCGGTGGTCTAGCAGCCAAGTAAGCTCAGGCAGGCGCAGTAGCTTCTTCCACACCGGGGCCGTCCATGGAGTCCCTAGGACCTTGCCACCGAGCAGATCGTGGTTTGGGTATCGGCGGAAGCGCCAATCCCGGCTGGCTTGGCTTTCCCACCAGTACTTAGTTGCATGGTTCCACATATAGTTCGGGAGATCAACAAGAACCGCAGGTTTGCTGTCGCGGGCACTTTCGGCCCGGGCTGTGGCATTGACTTGATTGATATTGATCGGGCCGTCAGCCAGGAAAAGCCGTCCAGCCACGTCGAACAATGCAGTTGGCTCGAAAGTGTTTCGTCTGCAGGCAGCGTGGTATTCAATGCCAGCACTATTGGATGGCAATGCTTTGAGTATCTGCTTGATGGGTCCAGCCAGGGCCCCGCTGGGTCCTACTTCGATGAGGAAATCCACAGGATCCGCATCGGTCAGCATAGCTTCTACTGCCTCGCTGAAGCGCACTGGTAACCTCATATTCGCTTCCCAATACGCGTTGTCCACGGAACCCTGCATCTCGCACCCTGTGACGGATGAAAAAAACTTAGCACCGCGGCGCCGCGGCGAAGCTGGAGACGACGAATCCGGCCCCCTAGCATCTAGCAAGCTTTTGTAGTGGGCTGCAATGTCAGCCATAAAGGGAGAATGGTACGGAAGGTCCACCTGCAGCAGACGCGCAAAATGGCCGTGCTCATGGAGCTGGTGGCACACGGTCTCAAGAGCTGAAACGTGGCCCGATAGAGTCACGCTTTGCGGAGAGTTGATACAGGCCAGAGCAACGGCCCCAGAGTGACGCTGGAGAATCTGCTGTAGGAGAGGGCTCGTATCGCTTAGACCCGCCGCCATCATCCCCAGCTTCGGTCGCGAGTCATCCCGCAGATCTACAGCGGCTTTGCCGCGGTAATATGCAATCTGGATTGCGTCTTCAGGTTCCAGCAAGCCAGCCGCGACGGCAGCAGCAATCTCGCCGGACGAGTGACCAACCACACTGGCGGGTTGAACGCACCAGGTTTTGAGAAGATCGATAATCAGCAATTGAAGGGCTGTCACCAGTGGTTGAGAGAGCTCTGGTTGGCGCACATGATCCGATGATCGGGGACACGTCAACTCTTCTAGGAAGGGTTAGTCTGGCCATATAAAGCGACTCCTGGCTCTGGATGACCCGCTAGCCGGGCCATTCTGCAAGGCACGAAATAGACATACCATACAAGCTCCACTGGGGAGGATGGGGAAGTGCCTGTAGCACTGCGTCCAATTGCCGCAGCAGTCGTTGGGAAGACGGGAACGTGTCGACCAGCGCCTTCCCCATCTGCGGCCATTGAGATCCCTGACCGGTGAAGATGAAGCCTACTTTTGGGACGTTGGACCGTAGCTTACCGTAGATCAGGGCATGCTGATCGACTGTGGGGGTATTAGAGACGAGATATGCGCGGTGGAAGTGACGAGTCCGACGTTCCGACAAGGTGTAGGCGAGGTCCGGTAACGAGACTCGTACTTCCGGCCTGACCAGGTGCATCTGCAGGCGCTGTACCGTTGCTTTCAGCGAGGCCTCGTCGTTGGCCGAAAATACCAGCAGGTGGAAGCTTTCCTGCTCCTGATCCGCAAACAAATCGTCATCATCTGTCAGGTATGACGATTTGAATGAGGCCTCTGATGGAGGCACCGACGTACTAGCCTCATCCAGGATGACATGGACATTGGACCCGCCGTATCCATAGGAGTTGACACTGGCGCGGCGAAACGGCACATCCGGCCATTGGATCGTTCGCTGAAAGGCACGAGTTTTGAGGGCCTCGAAGTTAACTGAACTTAATGTTAGCTGGATACCGAAGCAGTAAGTTCGAATGTTAGAATAGAATCAAGGGTTTAATTTCAAATGGCGCCGCCAAACTTACTAGCCGGGTTGGGTGTCTCGAAAGTAGGGTTGCCGGGGATACAGCCTTTCTCCAGGCTCATTATCGTTTTGATTAACCCAGAGAGTCCTGCAGCTGGCTCTGAGTGACCGACATTACTTTTGATCTAAGCAACCACCAGCGGTTAGCCGTTGTCGAATACAGATACTGTAGCCAGACTTACTGAGCCGATGAGTAGGGGCCGCTCTGCCGTGCGGGTGGCACAAAAGACAGATGCTACACTGTTGACTTCAATCGGGTCCCCCGCGCGAGTGCCCGTACCATGACACTCAACATAACTTGTATCATTGAGGTTAGAGATGCCTGCATTCCGGTACGCCTGTCTGGTCGCGGCGGCCTGCGCCTCGGGGCTGGGACTAGCGATGCCGGCGGTCCAGCCGTCACTGTTCGTGGCGGATCCCCGCACAATGGCGCGGATGGGGTCGTGCTGGCGTAGGGCATCGGGTAAGCGCTTGAGAATGACCATGTTGACTGCTTCAGCCTTGATGTAACCGTCGGCTTTGGCGTCGAAGGTATGGCACCGGCCCGAGGGCGAGGCGGCACCTGACAGATTGCTCATGTCGATGCAGTGCTCGGGACTCATGTACAGATTGCAGCCGGCTACAATGGCAGTATCAATCTCACCGGTCTGCAAGTATCGAGCGGCAATGTCTAGACTGACTAAACTGCCGGAGCAGGCTGTATCAATGGTCATACTGCGTTAAAGGTCGGTCAGTTACACCCGTACACATCCTTGGCTTTCCAGTTTCCTCCCTGCTCGTAACCGTGCGACCAGGTTGCGACTACTCACCTCGGCCCCTTGATATTCAGAAAATGGCTCAGCCGGTTGCTGAGCATGGCACGCCCAACACCAACCGTGGCATTGGGGACGCGGTCCTCCGGGTCTCTACCCTGCATATCACCCCAGTCTGAATACGAGCGAAGTCAGCAACTCATGTAATAACGAGCGTTATTATGCCCCACGTTGGAGAGGTTTCGGGGAACCAGTGCTTACCGGACGCATACGAGCCCACGAAGCAGCCCACGGGCTGATTCCGGAGAGATTCTAATGTGATACCAGCATTCTCCAGCCCTTCGTATACGACCTCGAGCAACTGCCGTTGTTGGGGATCCATGGCGGTGGCCTCGGCCCGTGAGAGACCAAAGAACTGAGCGTCAATGTCAGCAGGGTCGATGTTCTCTAAGAACATGCCTCCAGGAGAGCGCATGGTACGGATTCGCTTGGTGCCATCCTCATGGCCGTGGAGATTGAAGCGAGAGGATGGGGGCTCGGTGCTAGCGATGCCGCCTTGTTCAAGGAAACGCCAGAGAGCGGTGGGAGAGTTGCTATTGCCGGGAAGGCGACAAGCCATTCCCACCACTGCTAGTGGTTGTTGTGGGGACTGTGTGGTCTGCATTATGAAAAATAAGAAAAGGATAAGTCCGACGTTGAAAACATCTCCCGTGAAATGGTTATTGCATGCATGGCATAGCAATTGCCCCTTTATATAACATTTGACATGCTTTGATATAGTTGTATTAATTCGACGAGAAAATACCAAGATAATCCTTACTGTATTGTAATAACGGATGTAATGTTATTACCGTGTAATATTATTGAATGGAAACCGGGTAGTGCTCTGACATCCCCATTACGATCCTTCTAGACCTAGTTTGTAGACCACTAATGAGTGTGTAGCATGATCGAAAAACTTGGTTTACAGTCCACCGTATTAAAAAAAGGGAAGGACAAATAAAAATGGCCCCCAAACTGCACCCCAGCCGCTGCCAAATAGCCTAGCTGTGGGTCCAGGGTGCAGAAGGGACCGTGGGCCAAGATAACTAGTATTTAGTGCTGACAGCTCCATTTTATTGATCCTCTGCGGGAGTCCCTTTTCATTGAGACACTCGACATGTGCTAAAGTTGAATGTCATGTCATTTCGTTTACATTTAGCTAAGCTTAAAGAGGAGAGAGAAAGGCAAATGGCCCCCAACTAACCCCCAAACGGCCCTGAAAAACGGCCCTCACCCCCCACCGCAGGCTGATCAAAGCACTGCTCCATAGAGAGTCACTAATGTCTGTATGCGGTTGTTGTCCCGCCGGCTGTTGCTGTTCAGTCGGAGTAGGGACCCGCAGTGAGGGAGTAAAAAGAGACGGGATGATAACGACCGTACAACACTTGTGCTAGCTTCTCCAACCATTGACAGTTGGTCTTGGTCTCCCCCGCATCTCCTAGTACCTTGGCTCACCCAATGGACCTATTGGATAGCACGCTATATTACACTGTCTCTGATACCATTATATCTCAATAATCTAAGGAAAAAAATACGCGAACTGACTAACTATTTAGAAAGCTCCATAGTTTACTAGTTGCTTACGACGTTTGTTTCCCTGGAGCAGAGCTCAAAGAGTCTGACCCTACGCCCATCATTCTCAAATAGAAGAATAACTCCCTCACCTTTCCCCATTGCCACGAAGAGCAAAATCAATAGCCCAGAATGACCCTAACAGAAGAATCCGTTTCCTTTCCCACGCTGGATGGCGTCACCCTCCGCGGCAGCCTGTATCCCGCGCCAACCCGCGGACCGGCCATCATCATGACCCCAGGAGTAAGCACTGATCTGCCCTGCCATCTGCCTTGCCTACGTGAACTAAGCCTATCCAAAAGTTCAACTCCCTCCCTAGCATGCTAGGCCTTCCGGACGTGGCGCACTACTTCCACCTGCACGGCTACACGGTGCTTCTCTACTCACCTCGCAACACCGGTGCCAGCGACGGCAGCCCGCGCCATGAGATCGACCCGTCCCAGCAGACTTCTGACTACAGCGACGCCATCAGCTTCTTGTCCACACTTGAACGGGTCAAGCCAGCAGAGATCTTCATCTGGGGTATCTCGTTCTCAGCCAGCGTGGCGCTGTGCACCGCGGCGCTGGACAAGCGCATCCGCGCCGTCATCGCCGTCGCACCGCTAACGGCCTTTACTCTCCCACCGGACAAGCAACCTCAAGTGCTGTCGCGGTGCATGCAGGATCGCACCGCCCAATTGCACGGGAATGAACCCTTCTACCTCCCCATGCTGCGCAAGGACGGCACCAACCCTGCCGGGTTCGGCACGGGCATCGATCGTGAGCGATACGGGCGCCTGGTCACCGCTGGCCGCGAGCTGGCCCCAGGACATGTCAATCGCACGACCATTCAGAGCTACTACAAGCTGATCATGTGGCAGCCGTTCCCTCTGTGGGAGACCATGGTGGCTCCCACGCCGTGTCTGTGGGTGATCCCCGAGCTGGATCAGCTAAGTCCGGCGGAGCGCCAACGACATTACTTCGACAAGATGAAAGGGGAATCCAAACAGATGTGGCTGCAAGAAGGTGTCGGGCATATGGATGTGGTTCAAGGGGAGCATTTGGAAGGGTTGATGGGGGTAATGTTCCGGTTCTTGGAGAATGTCATTCAGGGGACACTGTAAGGAAAAAATATGATTGATGATTCCCTTATCCTTAGGTAAGATAAAGCTAGTGTACTGCCCCTCCAGATGTAATAGTAACCGAAGACGGTATATATTCTAAATAGTATGATACCCAACTAACATTCGATGTGTAAATTGCGAGATGATCATTTGAAAGATATATAATCATAGTATAGGAAGCTGCACAGGAAGTCTATATTTGAAATAGAAAGTAAGAACGAGCTATTTGCTACCTCTTAATATCACTATGTAGCACTCTGTCAGTGACATTCAAGATTTGCATTCAGTTGTTGTTATCATCTTTAGAATAGAAAAATGAATGTTGATACCGATCTTTTTTATTTGTAAGGAAACACATATATCAACAAATCAAAGATACATCTGCAGCCTATCTTTATTATGAACTACTAATTTAACACAAATTAGCAGTACAAAATTTGACTACTTATCAAAAAACTCGAACTCAGCAACATGACGAAAAAGCCTGCCACAGAGCTGCCTGCCACAGTGGCTCACCTCAGGTGAAAAGGAAGATCGGTGGTTGGCTTGACGTTATGGACACGGGCATATATAGTGTAATTCTTCAAGTGTATCAATTCAGATTGACAAACATGGCCGAGGTCCTGGTTGATGATTGACAGTTATATGTATCCAGATATGTATATATTTGTATAGCAGTCTATTCTCTCACCCCCTTAACCTGCAATCGCACCCCCTTGCTGCCTGGTGCAACGTCCATTCCCACCATATCCCGATAGCAGTCTACATCCCGTCGCGTTGTCTCGTACAGCTCGAAGTCCAACCGCCGGAATAGCCCTGCCAGCATGATTGTCATCAACGCGTATGCCAGGTTGAACCCAATACACATGCGGGTGCCGCGGCCAAACGCCGTCAGGTAGCGGGACAAACTCTTCTGGCCATCCGGCCCGCGCGGATTGCCCAGCCAACGCTCAGGCCTGTAGGAAGTACTGTCCGGGAAGATAGCTTCATCGTTGTGGGTATGGTAAGTGTCCATGCTAACCATGACATGGGGTGGGATGGTCCAATTTTTGTACTGGATGGGTCCATCACGGGCAATACGCTGCGAGCGCATCGTGACGCCGTAGGAGAGGCGGATGCCCTCCTGTATGCAAGCGGACAGGTATGGGAGTCGCTCCAGCTCATTCAAGGGTAGCGGCTGCGCAGGGTCGGGCATGGCGGCCGTCAGCTCAGCCTGCAGACGCGCAAGGATCGGTGGGTTGGCCAAGATGTGGTAGACAGTCACCAAGTTGGCCATCTTGGTAGTTTCAATGCCAGCGCCCACGATACCGACGCCCTCATCGCGCAGGCGTGGAAATGAGGTCTCCTCGACGCGGTTGGCCAGCTCCGCCGAATGCAGCATCTCAAAAAAGACGGTGCCACGCTGGTTGAGGTCATGGCGCCCTCGCATATGGTTGTCGCGCACCTGACGGACATGTTCGCTAATCTCCTCCTTGAAGCGTGCGATCGCTTTCATGTCAGGATTGATCAGGCCGACCACCGACGGTGGTAAGGACTGCGCCAGCGCTCCAATAATGGGGAACTGCTGCGCAATATGCACAAAGTCCTTCAGCCCCTGAATCGCCCGTGTGAACGCTGAGGTGAAGTCAGGCCGCGACAGGAAGTTGTAGCTGCGGTTGAACGCGTAGGTCATGATTACGTCGGCCCCGTAGCTACTGAACAGGTCGTTGGTACAAACAATCCGATCTGTGCCCGCATACTCGGTAGCTAATCGGTGTGTGATGCGGTCCACGTGGGACTGAATCATAGGCGCTTGCTCATAGGTGCGCCGCTTGGAGAAGAAAGGAACGATGGCAGCCCGCCGGCGCTTGTGCAGATTGTGCTCCGGCGTTGAGAAGGAGGCCAACGGGCTACCAAAACGGTTCTGCACGTGCGGCGATTTGTCCAGCCCCCGTTGTGAGGTGTAAAGGGTCTCATAGTACTCTGAATCGTGGATGTGCAGCTCTGTGGGACTAATGCGCACAATAGGGCCTATATTATTGAGAATAGAAACAGTTGGACACAGTCTCTCGCAGACGAATAGTCCGAGGTCATGGGTTACTTACCATACTTGTCATGCAGCTCGCGGATGTGGAATGTGAATTGCCCTCCTCCTTTTTTGATTAACTCAAAGTAAGCCTCATACCATCCGGTGGCCGCAGCTAGTTTGGGCCCTGGGAAGGGAGCCAAAGGACTCCACCACAGACGATAAACTACCAGGCCGGTAATATAGAGCAGACAGCCGGTGACAGTTAGTGCCAAAAGGTTCATCTTGTGGATTTTCACAATGTAGGAGAGTGTAGGAGAAGGGGGAGGAGACGAAGACGCAGGAGAGTCACGTCGGTGGTTGAAGGTCTGGCAAAGTGAAAATGTCGGATGCGATCAACCTAATATTATAAGTTCATGGCCTACATCCAATTACCATACTAATGCAGGTCGTCCTAATCAAATACTAGTTCCATCCATCGTATATGGTATTCATTAGGTAAGCTTATCAATTACAAGATCGTCTATGTACCGTACTCTGAAATACAGATACAAGATACTAATTGTAAGATAATGGCGGATAGCGTGAGACATAAAGTAATACTATACTAATTATTATAAGGCTTACACTCCTCCTCATCACTGCCTCCACACAATGCAGTGTGACGGACCTAAGCCGAGCCGGCCTGCAGCGGACTAAAGCACACAGCCCTGGTTCAGTTACGCGATGGTTTCCGCCCCATTTCAATGTTCCAGGTATCGACCACGTAGATATTTTCCTCATCGGTCCTCGTCGCTGCTAGGTCGCCATGTTCGCTCGTCACCGTTGTCCGGTGCAGCTTCGATGTTGAGTCCATACTGGCATTGAGACGCTGAAAGTCCTTGTAGTTACGGGTGCTGGAAGCGGTCGTTGTATTGGGTTCGATGCTCGAGTGGTCAGCCGACTTACCCGTCGTGCTGCCGCCGCGCAGTCGGCGCACGCTGCTAGAGGAAGTGGCCAGGGTCGAAAATTTCTCCATTGCCGGTCGCAACGTAGGAAGACATGCAAGGATCGCTCCAAGCAGGGTCTCCAGGATCATGAATGTGCACAGCGTGGTGGTTGAGTAGGTCAAGTCTGTGCCCATCAAGTCATTGATGAGGGTGATACGGCAGATGGTGATGATGCAGATCCTACGTTTGATTAATCCACGTAAGATACGGCGAGAGGAAACCTGACTTACGCGATTCCCAGCGCGAACATGCACGATAAACTGATCTTCCGACGCAACTTCAACTGGAGCGTCCATAGGACTGGAATTGGTAGCAGGCCGACCATGACATCGAAGATCAGATTGGTGATGTGCAGTGACAAGTAGGCGCCTTCCTTGCTGCCACAGTGGCCCTTTGCCGTGGCATCCCAGTTCAGTTGAATCGGCTGGCAGAGAAGCAATGAGGCGAGGATCACGCCAATGCACCAGATCACCTGCAAGGCGATCATGGCATAACAGCATCGGATGAAGGCCTTGCGCCGGAAGATGCTGATGTAGAGTAGGAGGATCGAGATCTTGACTCCACTGATGGCAACTCCCCAGATGGGTGAGATGGCAAGGTAGATCTGGGGTGTGACCATCACAGGTCAACCAGTGATCCAAGCTGAAGGATTGCTGATGGATCTCACCTTGGCAAACCTGACTAACTGCACCGTCGGATTTGACAGTTCAGTGATATGTTGACCGAGACCTCCCAAGACGGTGGCTGTGTGAAGGAAAATTGCCTTGTTAGATTCGAGTGCTGGAGGAGAGCATAGGAGTATAGGCATCCACCCGTACCTAGAATGAGACAGATCACTAGACCGGTTGAAAAGATCTAGATTGCCACAGGATGTCAGTATGCTTTGCTGGGCAATATGATGCAGTCTAGTCAAGGGACTTACCAAGGCGACCAGAATAGCGAAATCATGAGCCGCGGTGCTCACTCGCTTCAGTCGGTGTGAGTAGAAACGCAGCCCCACAGCAAGAATAGCCAGCACCTCGAGAACAAGCGAAACTACCACGGGGGCGACTGCCCGGGGGAAATCAGTCCATGAGGAAGGTGCAACAGCGGCCATGATTGCTTCTCTGCTTCTCGTCCCAAGTGTGTCTTGACAGAAAGACGAAGAACGTGGGGTGGACACGTCAAATATTCAGTAAGCAGTGGATCTAGAGGATTCAAATATCCGGCCTGGTCAGCCTTGGAAGGAAGTCCCGAAGGAAAATGTGAAGAAAGGTACCAAATGAGGGACAGGAGTGAGGGGGGCCGTTTGCACCGCGGGAGGGGCTGGTTGAAGCCTGGACGTTAGCCAAGTCAGCTCTAACTCTGACAGGGAGCCATATCGGGCCATAATATTATAGGAGGTGTATGGGGATGTGTGAGTGGTCAAGAGTGATTATGCATGATGAGGACTAGACAGGGACGGCACGTTGTCGGAGGTTACCATATGTGCATACATTGGGGGCTGTGTGCAGAATGGGACTGCCGTATTGGGGGCTGAATTGTCGGACGAGGTGGATGCAATGCAGGCCAGACCCTTATCTTCGAGGTAAGACTCATACACATGCCAAATCGATCCCCGGCTATGCAACGCAAATGAGCCTGTAGCCCGACAAGCTGACACCTGCCCTACGTTGCAAGTCATTTTCGCCCCCATACGCTAGTAGGGTCAGGGTCTGCAGCCTTGCTAGAATCCCCAGTATTTTTGGTATTTTTGGTATTATTTGTACTGTCAGTATCGTCAGTATCGTCAGTATCGTCAGTATCATCAGTATCGTCAGCAGTGGTCGGTCATATGGTAGTAGTACTTGTTATACCGCGAAATAATTGGTCAACATGTCAAGTGGCTCCAGGTTGGATGTCATTGACAAGAGGCAGGAACACGGCTTGGACTCGGCAAATAGTAGTAGTGCTAGGGTTGGTAGTATCGCTGAAACCACATAAATACAGAGTCATGAGAAGCAACCCTCTGTCAAAGCATCCTTCCTCTACCCCCAAGCCCTCCTCCTATCGCCATGGTCCGTTCCCTTCACTGGCTAGCCACTTCGGCTGGGCTGGCTTTGTTGCCCTTCAGTCAAGCCATTCCCGCTCAAGTTCAGGGGTCTTCGACATGTCGCTACCTCCCGGGCGACTCCGAATGGCCATCGGCTGCGGACTGGCACCAGTTGAATACCACTGTGGGCGGCCGACTCAGCGCGACGGTTCCTTTGGGGGCGCCTTGTCATGAACCACATTATGATGCTGCCCAGTGCGCGTACTTGGCGGCCGAGTGGATCTATCCGGAGCTGCACGCAAATTCCTCCTCCTCTTTCAGCAATCCTTATTTTCAAAATCAGAGTTGTGATCCCTTTACCTCCAAAACGAGTCCCTGCCTTTTGGGTAACTACCCGGACTATACCATCGATGTCCGCGGTGCCGCTGATGCAGCGGCCGGGGTCACGTTTGCTCGCGAGCATAACATCCGGCTGGTAATCAAGAACACCGGTCATGAGTAGGTTCTTCCCTTCTGATTTGAATGTGTGACGGACATTAACTCCATGCCAATAGTCTTTTGGGTCGATCTTCTGGTAAAGGTTCCCTTGGTCTATGGACTCATCACATGAAGAACATTTCTATCCTGGACTATCACCACCCACGCTACACCGGGAAGGCCATGAAGATGGGGGCGGGAGTGCAAGGTTTTGATGCCTATGCAGCAGCTCACAAGGCAGGCCTTCGTGTGGTTGGTGGAACGTGCTCCACGGTGGGACTGGCAGGAGGATATACGCAAGGCGGCGGACACTCGATGCTTTCCACCCTGTACGGACTGAGCGCGGACCAGGTGCTGGAATGGGAGGTGGTCCTGGCAGACGGACGGCACGTCGTCGCCACGCCAACTGACTACCCTGATCTCTACTGGGCCCTCTCTGGGGGCGGTGGGGGCACCTACGCGGTGGTCCTTTCCATGACAGTCAAAGCCCACGCCGATGGGATCGTGACAGGGGCCAGCGTGACGGTGACACAGACCAACTCCAGCGATGCTTTCTGGGAGGCTGTCACTGCCTTTCACACTGCAATGCCTGCGTGGATCGCAAAGGGAGCAGCCACCGCCTATGTGATCATGGACGGCAGCCTGTATCTTATGCCGGCGACATTTCCGGGCTACAACGCAAGCGAGGTAAACGGCTTCATGCAGCCATTTGTGGCCCAGCTGCAGCGGCTAGCCGTCAACTACACGATTTCGGTGAACTCCTTTGATAATTACTACACCTTCTTCGACACCTTCTTTGGCCCCTTACCCGATGGCTCCTACACCAATGCACAGGTCCAGGGCGGCCGGCTGATTCCACGCGAGGTGCTAATGTCGGCGGACTCCAACCGCGCCCTGACGGCGGCGCTGCGCGAGATCAGCTCCAACCGGGCATTCCGAATCATTGGCGTGGGCACAGACGTATCGCGTGGAGGCGATGTACCCAACGCGGTCTTCCCCGGCTGGCGCAAGGCCATTACCTGGATCGAATTAACAGCCGACTGGGACTTTACGCAGAGCTATGCCACCAACGTCGCAAACGAGACGCTGATCACAAACCATTACGATCCGCTGCTGACGCAGGTGACGGGTCTGGCGAACAGCAGTGGGGCATACCTAAACGAGGGCGACTTCCAGCAGAAGGACTTCCAGACACAATTCTTTGGGGGCAATTATGCCTCGCTAAAGCAGGTTAAACGCCGATACGACCCCGAGGGGGTGTTCTATGGCACCGCCCTGGTAGGCAGTGATGATTGGGAGGTCGCCAGTGATGGGCGCTTGTGCCGGAGTAGCGAAAATAACTGAGAGATGGATAGGTTACCTTGTAATCACCATATGATGCTAATAGCCTAATAGACCTAATGCAGTGGGGTGATGATATGATATAGTATTTATCTACCAGTCAAAATAGATCTCTGCGGCGGTCCCTTCCGCTAGCCAAAATACAATACAATTCAATACCACCCGTACAGATAATACGAGCCCTATGTATGCCCTCTGTATCCGCCCCCAAAACCCCAAGAATCACTAGTAATAAGTATCACCTAACAGTCAACTCTCCGATGCAGTGAAGAGGGGCTAAGTACAAGTGGGCCGCGAAATTGAATCTCACCCAGGGTCTCAATACTAATCCTTCGATCTAGTAATCATTCCTCGGTTCGCAGTTTATTTTACTTTATTTGATCCAAGTGTTGTCCACCCATCTCACATCCACACTACAAGAAGAAAAGTTATCTACCAATACTACAGCAGATGTCTCTCCCTCCTCTTATTCAGGGCCACTGTGCCCCTCCCTTCTCGCCCCTCCGCAATACCCTGACTGAGAATCTGCAAGCCGGGGAGGAGCTAGGTTTCAGCCTCAGCGTGACCGTCGGCAACGAAACGGTGGTCGATCTCTGGGGCGGATATGCGGACGCTGCGCGCACGCAGCCCTGGACTGCTAACACCGTCACGTGCATCTTCTCCAGCTCCAAAGTCATCACCAACCTGGCAGCAAACATGCTGATTGACAGGGGTCTGCTGGACCCTTCGGCGCCTGTGGCGCGCTATTGGCCCGAATTTGCCGCCAATGGCAAGGAAGCCATTCTCGTCAAGCATGTCCTGAGCCACACGGCGGGCCTGCCGGCTTGGGAGCTGCCCATCACGCTGGAGGAGATCTGCGACACCCCCGTGGCAACGGCGAAGCTGGCAGCGCAGCAACCGTGGTGGTCTCCGCCCGGTAGCCACCTGGGGTATCACCCGGCCACACAAGGCGTGCTGGTAGGCGAGCTGGTGCGCCGCATCACCGGCCAGTCGCTAGGGGCCTTCGTCCAGTCTGAAATTGCCGAGCCGTTGGGGGCCGACTATCGTCTAGGTGTACTCCCCGCCGATGAGGAAGGGGACCCCGCCCGTGTTGCTGAGATGGTACCGCAGCCGCAGATGCTTTCACTCGAGGGACTGGACCCGGCCAGCATTATGATGCGCACAACCATGGGGAGCCCCATCCCGCCCCAAGCTGTCAACGGGGCAGGTGCGCCGCTGCGTCGCACTGAACTGGGCGGTACCAATGGCTTCTCCAACGCTCGCGCTATGGCTCGCATCGGCTCCATGGTCGTCAACGGAGGTGAGCTTGACGGAAAGCGATTCCTCTCCCCCGAGACTATCAATCGCATCCTGGAGCCACAAGTTGATGCCGTCGATTCGGTCATGGGCAAGCGAATGTCCTGGGGACTGGGCTGGGCACTTCCCACCTCGGGCAACTCCTACGACTTGGTCACTGATGGGCGCGTGGCTTACTGGGAAGGTTGGGGCGGGTCCATCTTGATCATGGACCTAGATCGAAAGATGTGTATTGCATATGCAATGAACAAGATGGGCGCCAGCTTGGAGGGCGATAGCCGTACCCAGGCCTATGTCAAGCAGATCTACCAAATTGCCCGTGACATGCAAGATACTAAGGAGGTATAAGACTTTGGTATGGATTTAATTTAATATGATATCTCTCTCTCCTTAGACTGGATATATCATCCAATTCCATCTAATAGCAGTATTTTCAAGCCACTGGAACTCTCTTCACCTTGTCAGTCATCAATAAAATGCCCAGAGAAGTGGATATTCCGTACTCTAGACTAGATAACTTTCATCCTGACCTGAAACTAAGTCTATATCTATAGATCACTATGAAACCTTCAAAATTTGACTATTATATTAATCGAATTACTAGCTAAATATATATAAGAAGCAGTTACTGTATTTTTCATATTCAATGCTCCCTTTGTATATACTTACATGATATAATCAAGCAGATTTTATATAATCCTAACCTACTTGGGGTGGAATACTGGAGGTACAGTACAGATATATAAGTAGTCTATATAGCCGGATTTCATAGTAAAGAAAATGTGATAGAATGGAGAGGTCCGTAGCAGTCAGAATAATTTGAAGTAGTGTATTAGAACCTACGTGGGGTGGTCTTGTAGATGGCGCGCAAGGGAGAGTGAAGTACAGAAAACCCTATCCCGAAATGATACATCAAGTAGCGGCTACAACAGCAGCACATGCAAGTACGCATGTCACAGAACCACCCTGCGACTCTATTTTCCAATTGCACCATCAGCTGTACTTACTGGGTGAGTGCATAAGCGGGGAAAAGAGAATGCGAGTATAAATATTGCCTGTACGGATATTAGGACGGAGAGAAGTACCAGCAACAATACCATGGCGTTTAGAAATATATACTTCAAACCGAAGGGTATCCCTAGAGTGGCAGGTGGGTCAGCATAATTTGTCGTTGTAATATGTAGCAATAGGAGCTGCCTTCTTTCACCGAACTAGCCCGGCTAGCTCAATCGGTAGAGCGTGAGACTCTTAATCTCAAGGCTGCGGGTTCGAGCCCCGCGTTGGGCTTTCTTTTTTGTTCCCACATGTCTACTTCAGGATTCGCATGGGATCTCTCTCTTTTCATTTTCTCCTTCATTTATTTTCTTTTATTAATTACCCATTACCATATGTTAATAATATAGGATTATTATCTGTTAACTGGAGACAGGTCCGCTATGATGAATCTTATTCTATTTACCACTTTTGGAAGCCACACCTTATGTCGGCGTCGACATACGACAGTTATAACTCCTGGTGCTCATGATACGTAGATGTAAGCATTGATATACATACCTAAAAATAATTTCGAGCAAAATACCAAAGGAAGATCACTGTCAACAATGCACAATACTTGGCGAAGCGTATAAATCATAAATACCAAGAACCAGAAAACAACTGGCCCTCCCTAAATGGACACTCATTCTGGATCCACAATGGTTGAGCTTGACTCCCCCATCATCATACTCCTTCCAGCCTTCTCCTCGGCCAAAACTCTGACTGTTTCGGTAAGCGAAATAACCTGCTCCTTCAGCCGCATAATCTCCAAGGTGGTGCCGTCCACTTGAATGTTTGGGGTAGATTCCCGTACGGTCTGAGTCCAGCTATCATCGAGATCAAAGTCAACTTCCTCGGCGGCGTGTTCCCATTCCTGCACGTCGTCGTCGTCCTCTTCACCGCGCCGACGGTTCCACCTAATGCGTCTTGCATCACGCACTTCGAAGAACGCTGTGATAACGAGGATGGGTGAGTATATAACGCCCATGATGACATCGTTGAGCTTGGCATAGTATTGCCTTGGTAGCCACCACTCAAACGGGAGCACTAAGAAGATGATCTCCAACAGATTGAATGCTAGTTTAGGCGTTAGTCGTAGCTATCAGAAATAGTGCGTTAAACATACGAGGTATGAAGACATTCTCATCCGGTGCGCGAACGAACTGCATGGTCTTCTGAGCGAAGATGGCCATGTACTCATCAATAGCATTTCCCGAGATATCCTCGTAAGCACTGTTGTAGAGTGCAATGAGAATGTTCAGCAGAACTGGAGTGGATTCAATTAGCTGCGCAACCAAACATTAAACTCGAGGAATACCCACTTGTCATTACAACAAAGTTGAAAACGTAGTAGAGGATAATTCCAAATGGAAAGGCAAAGTCCTCAAACGTGCTGAATTCTGGGCTCTGCATGACGCTGTTCGCCATTCCTTGCACAATGCCTCTCACAATGGGGGTATCATCATCCACTTGAGCCATGCCGATGAATGCCTGGAAAAAGCCTGCAAGAACGACGAAGAGAAGGGCGAAGAAGATCAAGCTTTCCTTCATCATGACTCTCAAGACCACAAACATGGCACCGAAAAAGCGGAAGGAATCGAGATAGAGCATCATACGCATCCAGAACATCGGCCCCGCAAATGCCAGAAAATTGTAGCTCAGTTCGTTCAGACTTTGTCTTTCTGCATCGTGAACAGATTGAGAATGCGCCAAGGCGGCCACGCGCAGAAAGAAAGACACGGCGAGGATTGCGTAGAGCGTTGAGTTGAAGGCATTCCAGAAGTCCAAGTAGTGCCAGCCGACTTTCCAGAGTTTGGAAACTTCGTCGCAGATGAAGGCAAGGGTCATCACATAGAGGATCCCCTCCACGGCATCTAGGTCACCGGTGGGATTTACTGTGTTGATAACCTGGGTGTAGAGTCCGAGATAAACGAGAGAGAAGAAAATCTGGCAAATGTTCTGATATAGAGGCGTCCTCATCCGATCTGGGTGGAAGTGAACTGCAAAACTTGTGTTGTCCCTCTCCAGGTAGGGAACGAAATTGGTTGGATTGCCCTCTTGCTGGCAGAACCATCCATTCCACAGGTATCTGATACACTTTTGATAACCCGAGGAGCCAATGACCCTCAAAGCATGTAGATCAACAGCGCGCTCGATGACATTAGCCGGCATGGCCTCTCCACCATCAATGAAAATCGAGTACCGCTTAAGGAGGACATTGATGAGTAGATTGTCCTGATCTTCCTCGGTTTCAATGCTATATCAGCTGGATCAGCAAAGTCTCCAGAATCATGCTACGGGAGGATGTATTACATTCTCTTCGCTATGACCTCACAAGCAAGGGCTCTGCGCTCATGTAAATCAGAATCCCAGAGCTCTTCCTGAGCCTGAAGCTTGAACCAACGCAGACAAACGAGGAGACAGAATGGAACGCAGGCCTGCAGGTCTTCGCCTCCTGCTAGACGGGCTGTCTGAATCACATTCCTTGTGATAACCCGACTATTCGGACTGACAATATCACTCTCATCTAGCTCGCAAGGGATGACTTGCTCCAGCTGGTACTTCAGACGAAGAGCGACTTTTGTCACCTCCTTAGAGGGTAGGGTAGAAGAGACCTGGTCATCTGTAAAGGCAGGAAGCACTATGAACCCTGTTAGCCGAGAGCATGTTGTAGAGCGGCTCCGCAACCAGATGACGTACATCGGTGTTGTTCCATATGCAGGCGGTGGCGGGTCCGCCCCGCATCGGTGTTGAAGATATCTCGCCAGTGGCCCATTTTGAAAGGCCCAAAGGAGTAGATCAGTTGCTAGGATAATAGAAACGATCAGATTTTCACAGGCGCTGAGGGAGGACTCAGGAGGGAGACTTCAGAGCTACGGTCTACTTAGTTAATGTAAGTCTTTCAGCCAGGCCGCGCGCCCCACTTCTTAGCCGCTCACCCAAACCACCAATGAAGGAGCCATCTTCAAGGTTCAAATCATACAAGCGGTCAGGATACGAGTGTTACTGAGCAGCAGAGCGAAATGATCGACCTGCTCCTTGCAATTAATCCGGAAGAGAAGAGCTTATACATCAGTGTCTGAAACGGCCACTGGGGTTGAACCGTTCGTTGATCAAAGAAGCTTATGTACATCAGAAAGAGAGGGCTCCTGTTGGGCCAAAGCCACTCACCAACAGAGAGTCAAGCAACATCCACTGATCAACAATACAAGGGACAATGTGCATGTCATTATCACCTTATGGGAAAGAAAGGCCTCTGGATGGGATGAGGCCCTTCCGATCGTCTTCATACCCCGCCGATGATCTCGATTTCACCCGTCGCACATCGCACATTAAACCGTACTTGCGTCTCATAAATCGTGTCATGTCCAGAAACTCTATTGAACTTTTTCTCCACACCCTACCCGACACACTTATATGATCGCCTTCAATCTTCAGTCTGCGATAACCCCACAACACCAGTTCGTGAAGCGCTCTGCTTGTTTCTCATGTCGCCGCCGAGGCGAACTCTCAAGCTTCACACGCTGTCGCTAAGCTCGCGGCGGGCAGTTTACTCAGGAACGCCCTCATCGCTCTCGGACATGCTCTCGTCACCGCTGACTTCCATGTTCTCACGCTCACGCTTCTCCATGAGCTCCTGGAGGGCAGCATCATCGTGCTCAGTAACAGCCTTGGGAGCCATCTTGACAATGCAACCACCGCCAGACTCCTTGATCTTGGCCTCAATCCTTTGAATAGCCTCCTCGAGCATTTGAATACCAATGGCCTTGTCCAAGCACTGGCTGGTCAAGACGTAAAGTGGCGGGGCAACCAACTTAACCTTGATCTGGGTCTCGGGGGTGTTGTGGGCCTCGGCGGTGCGCAGGGCCTCCTTGACCGCATCGATACCGTCGTAACCGAAGCAAGTAACCTCAATATCGGCACGGACCTTGGTCGGGTGAGGAGTAAGTCTCTTGCTGATGTAGTGCGTCAACTCCTTCTTCACGTTCTCGTTAGGGAATTCAACCTCGTTCCACACGTCGGGGTTCCTGTGATGATATGAGTATGATGATTCGTGACAGTCTTGAGTCCAGTGGTCCTTACGTGATGGAGATCTTGAACGCATCGTGGGAGTGTCCATATTTGCGGTTCAAGGGCCATCCGATCTGCTGGTATAGGGTCTCAAGAGGGGTCTGAGTGGCCTCGGCAACGTGGCGCATGATGGAGTGGACAGCCTTGCTCTTGTTGTATCTTTCCTCACACTTGACAACATCTTCGGGAGAAACTCGACGCTTGGAAAGATCGATATAACCTAAATACGTAGAAGAATACGAGTTAGTAAGTTGATGCTGATGTTGTCATCCAGAGGACTCGGACTTGCCCTTCTCCTTGTCCACACGAAGCACGATGACGACCTCGTTACGGCCGATACGAATAAGCTTCTGGATACTGCGGATACGTCTGCGCGACAATTCGGAGAGCAGAATCATGCCGTCGATGTTGTCATACTCGAGGAGCTTAACGTATGCGCCCATTTCGGCGATCTGTGAGGGGTTGAGAGACGAGTGTTAGACAGCGTTTTTGAACCCCGAAAAGAACCAAATGACCTGTAGCAATGCATACCTGCTTCACGTTGACCATGACATAGCTGTCAACCTCCGGATACTTCTCCTCGTAGAAACGGCAATTTGTCAACGACATTTTCGGCGGGGTTGCGCCTTTGCTAGGCAAAGCTTCGGAACTGTTCAAGAGTTGATGGAAGGCTGGAAATCGATAAGGTATCCGAGACAAGGTGGCCTCGAAATAGTACCTGCGTAAGAGTGCCCGAAAGGATGTGAGGGAGTTGTGAGGTTGGAATGAAGACTGCCACTATTGGGGATCACAAAGCACAATTCGAAAAACCCACTTTCGGCCTCGCGGTTGAGTCATCACGTGCAGGGCTCAAAAGCCTCACCGCCCGGCAAAATGCGATAATGCATTGATAGGCCTATCCGTCTCCGCAGACTTAAGGTTAGAATGTGTATTGTCCCGACAAGACTAAAAGTAATTCTATCGCTAAGATATTCAACAACATTATCATGGAATTTTTATGGCAACTGCAGCGAAAACTGTGCCCGAGCAAACAGTATTGCACAATTGTCTTGACCCTTTGTCTCCGTACGCCTGTTTAATGAATGGCTTAATAGTGCAATATCCCTCCAAGACTAGCGCTACGAGATGCTTTCTATTTGTATATAGAATATCTGATTGAACCTCTCAAAGTGCAGCTCATCCATTCCTGTCAAGCAGCTTAGACTAGTGGTTTCGTGGATATTGGCACGAGTCCAAAATTTGTAGCTCTTCTTATTGACCAGACATATCATGCTGGGATAGGAGGAGTACTTGCATAAAAGTGGAGTATTGCGCAAAATGCTACTCAAATATCCCGTGCTATCTGAACTTTGCTTACACAGACTCAGCACTGAAGGTTGCTATTGATGAAAGCCATGGTCTTAGGAGGAAGACAGCATACGCTGAAGCAAACCAGTATGGAGGTGATCCCTGCTTCCACCCCCGAGCTGAAAAGGTTGTAGAAGTAAGATAGGTCAGCTTACAGATTGATGTCACACTGTGAAACATATCACTAGAGTATTCAATGAAAATGGTTCGTGAGATTTCAGAGATGCCTAAGCATGGCGCTTATGGTTGAATAGTATATCTATTTGGAAGACGCAAACGGCGTACCTAAGGCCATCATCTCCCAGTAAAGATAGTCGTCTCAGAAAACAATGTATAGATGTTTTCATTATCTTCCAGCGTAACACAGATAACCCCAAAACTTTGATGCTAATGCTACCAATATACCTGAACAAGTGACCATCTTGAAGTTCATTCTTTTGATTGAAGCAAGTGGTTAACTCTATATTCTGGCGTGATAGCATATCAAGAAAGTATGTGTGTACATGTAGAAAGAAAGCACCCAGGCTTCCAATCAAAGATCAACGATAGACGTGACAGTCAGTCATTGAATTTATAATCATACAACAGAAGCTGAGCTTTAGCTCAACCTCCAGGTTCAAAACACATCAAGATAGGAAACCCTGAAAGAAATCAGCAACCAATAGCCTTACCTGCCACTACAACTCTTTACGAAGCCGAGGAAACTGTTCATCTGACCGTGTCAAACAAGCATACCCAGACCCCGAACATTAGGCTGGGGGAAAACCGTTCATGACTAGCCGCATAAGTCGGGCAGGGTACCTAAGTACTATTAGACCAGATCAAACACTAGTGACAGAGTCTGCCATATTTTGGGGTAAACAAGGCCACTTGGGAAGCAGAGGAGACATGCGAGAAGGATCAGTGAAAGTCGTAGATGCCTTTAAGCACCCAGATGACTCAGATGCAAGGCTTAGTATTCTTCAAAGATTGTGTTCGCGCGGTAGCCGCAGCAGAACCTTAGTGCTGGGTCTATGGTGTAACCTAATTTATGTTCTGTATAGGGCCATGTGCAATGACATTGGTGGCTGTGAAGCTTCATGACCCATAGAAATGCCAGGATATGTGGATGCCATAGGTGTAGATCTACATTCACGACACGGTGGTTTGCTTTGCAGAAAAAGCCTGACGCTAAACAATCTATATCCAATCAATTTCTTCATCGGCTCTGGACAGTTGGCCTGGACTATACTATGTAAAGATGGGAGGATTACTGATGCTCTTGACAGCATTGCATGAATACTGATGAGTTATTAGTGCCCAATAAGTATCTTATTCTTGGAATAGATTACTTCATGATTTGGTGACCAGAAGCTTCAAATAGCTTATTTGCTTGTTCTGTTTGTTCACTAGCCATTGATCAAAGATTGCCTATTCGGAGAAAGCTTAAATAAATCTTACTAGACACCCTGACACGACGGTTTGACTCACATAGCATGTTCTCGCGGGATATCAGTAAGCCCCATTGGTCTTTGTAGAAGCACCCGACACGTAAAGGAGAATCAACTCGAGGCAAGTGGCACAGCCATCTTTCGTAACCGTAAGCCTGGATCCAGGGCAATACCAGGCTGAGTCTCAGCTACAGCAGGGAAGGTGTTCATGAGGCTCTGCCGCAACAATTTCACTGTGTATTCAGGCTTGACCAGGAAGTTTGATAGAAGTGTACTTGGGCAGCTTTAAGAGGTAGTACAGGCTTCAACCAGGCATCCTCATAGCCTTGAACACCTTTAAACCCACCCCCTGCCACCCGCTCCTGTCATGCTGCAGGTGGAGTTTTTCATTCTTCATTATAATCTTCATTTGATGTTTCCCCAATGACAGCCAGTTCTGCCTGGGATTTTTGACACGAGTGTACCCTTAATAGCAGGAAACAGCAGCTAGTAATTAGTCGTTCAACCTGGACTTCGATATGTACTAGCGGGGCATGGCCCTTTACTATACCTTCTCGGTCGTCTGGCGTTCATAGCCTCCGACATCATTGATCAGTACTCTCCCCACTTACCGCAATGGCCATCTTATTACGTACGACACTTCTACTACTCTGCACTGCATCCAGCTTTGTCTTCGCCCAGAACGTCACCACGGAGGCCAAGGCAACAGAACGGGTGGGATGGGTTGCTAATGATACGACCCGAAGCACTTCTCAGATTATCTTCTGTTGCGTATCTATCTTCCTTGTCTGCTCCTGGGAATGTGTGCACCTGAATATACCAAGTATTGAAGAGAGCGAAGCAGGCTGGTATATTTACAGGGGCTGGCTGTATTACTGGCCCACGGCTCCTCTACGACGACTTTGGTTTCGGAGAATGGGATGGGTGGCTTTGATTGCCATTGCCCCGGAGATCGGAGTGGCAGTAGCCTTCGAAGAGCTAATGGAGGCTAGGAAAACCTTTAGGAGATATAAGCATCTTGTTTTCACCATGCCCCACGCTTTTTATGCTTGTATGGGTGGGTATCGGGTGGCCATTCCCCGAACCTTTCTCAATCAGGATGGTGACACTCGGGATGGTCCAACGTTGATGGCCGGGACTGTACAGGGACATAACGAGAATCATCAAATTTTAGTGAAAGATACTATGGCCGAAAGGATGTTATATTATAGCCCTCAGCTGACCACCCTAGGTGAGAAACTAATACTTAACTGATTCGGAATCCGGGACACTTAGCCTGACATATTGAAGAGATACTAGAGTGAACTAGGAACCTTTCCGGCCACTGAGGAAGCTTGCTTACAGGACCGAGGCCTTCCTCTAATGAAGGAGGAAGACATTCATAATGTTTCGATATCAGATGCTGTTATCAAGGGGTTTGCTTGTCTTCAATGCGTATGGCTTATCAGTTTGGACATCACGCGTGCGGCTGCGGGTCTGCCCATCAGTGAGCTTGAGCTGATGACACTGGCCTTTATTTTCTGTGCGCTGATAATGTACGGCTTGTGGTGGTATAAGCCGTTCGGAGTCCAACGTGCCACCCTTATACTCCCTCCCAACCAGGAAAAAGCAAATATTGTGCATGATAGGCTGGGCCCACCGGACGCTGAGGGGAGAAGTCAGGGAATAGGTACTGTGGTTGAAACCTGGCTGGATTTGCCTCGTTGCTTCTTATTTGATCCTTTCGACTGGAAAAGAAGCGAGTATGATGAGCCAAGATCCATAATCTGCAACCTCACCTCTCTGGTATTCTCTGGTTTCCATCTTGTTGCCTGGGACTGGAAATACCCATCAGACACGACCCGCATGCTCTGGCGCATCTTTAGTCTGACTGCAACAGGAGCCCCCTTGGTCCTGATGAGCATTTCAGGAATCTTGCTTGTTTACTATGCGACGGGCTCCAGGGTGAGATATAGGGCGGCTCTGAAGGTGGTGATGTATGGGATGAGTATCATCTATACCATCTCACGAGTCGGCTTGATTATTTTGGTTTTTTATTGTTTCTCTTCGATGCCGGCCGCGGTCTATAAGACAGAGCAATGGTGTCATTTCTTTCCCCATTCTGCTTAACATAGTATCGAGAAAGATAGATTTAGACAACCAGCTCCATTCAAATCGAGACATCGACTAAGGCATAAGTCCAGCTTCATAGAGGCCCTCTTATCTCATTTGCCCGATGGCCGCTATTGTACAAAGTAAGTAGTTGTAGTCCACTGGGATCATCAGGCTGGATGGTCCGTGCTACAGGCCCACCAATCAGTTAGTAAGCGAAACCCCAAGATTGGCCAAATTCATCATCATTTGCAGAACAACTCATCTTCGAGGGACTGAGCATATTGTAGCGCACTCATCTGGCGTGGCCTGAATCTACTCCGGACACTTGTGGTCAATTACCAGAGCGTGATTTGGGATGGTGGTGGCCATTGAAGAACCTGCTGTTTAGGAGTGTATAACAACCGCCTTCTGGGCATAAGGCAACCAATTGTGTAAACATTACATGCAGATTGCTTGTGTAACATTCTCAATTGGATGCCCAATTACCCCAATGTCTGGCACTACTACCTTCTGAACCAGTTGTGGATTATTCAAATCAATTACAGACAGAGGGCATCATCACATACCGGAACGGGATAAAGGGAGAACAAAGAAAGTTATGTAAGCCATGAGGGGGTTGTTCTCCAGTTTTAGTATGTTTATCTTCAGGGTCCGAACGTCATCGACGCCTGTCTCAACTTTATGCCAGATCGGAGAGAAGACAGAGAGAGAGCTTGCAGGGCAAAAAACTCTGCCCGTGCATCAGCCTTACAAAATAAAATATCTTGGTATTTTGAACTTTCAGTTCCACCGCCAATCAGGGCCTGCTTGCCTCGTCCGAAAACTTACGATTCCGCTAACGATGGACTTATCTTAGCCAACAGCCACCGCTCCTTGCGCTAGCAGTCGTGTCTCGCCAATCGCTCAACCACAACTGTGCTTCCTTTTTCCCCCCAGCTTTTCTCGCCGCTGAAGTCGCCATTCCTTATGGCGTTTTCTACGACATTATAGCGTGCATTGTCTGTTTGATTCGATCGTGCTTTTCACCCCGGGTTTCTCCGAATCAACATGACGGATCTCAATCCGCAGGGCGGACACCTCGAACACCGCTCTTTGCGGGACTGGCTTGCGGGCTTCTTCCGAGCACCTCTGTCAAACAGCTCTGCAGACTCTCCACCTGATCGGATCCCCGAGACTCTAGAACCGAACGATAGAACTCGCTTGTTGAAATTGGACGATGGTCAAGGAGGTCCCGCATACGGTACGAGAGATGGTTTATCGACACCGCAGGTTGACGGTGGACCTGAAGGACATATTCGGAATGGGAATGGAAACCCAACCTTTGTACAAGGACCGGAGAACCTGCCTCCCAGGACTGGGTCAGGTCTGGCGTGGCCTGTGAAGAACCATAAGACGATGTAGGTTTGGAATATACAGTCTCTCGGCTTTGGATTCAGGACGAAACAACTGATTGAGATACAGGTACCTCTCATACTACATCCCGTTCTTCAACTGGATCACACAATATCGCTGGTCTTTCCTCCGAGGCGACTTGATCGCAGCCTTGACAATTGCATCAATCTACATTCCCATGGCGCTATCTTTGGCTTCAAATCTCGCCCACGCGCCAGCAATCAACGGCCTGTACTCATTTGTTTTCATGCCACTGCTCTATGCAATCCTGGGAAGCAGTCCTCTGCTCGTTGTTGGTCCGGAAGCAGCTGGGTCACTATTGACGGGAACAATTGTCAAAACTAGTGTTAAACAAGGCCACTCGCAGGAGGACGATGAGGCCGCAAGCGCAATGGTCGTAGGCATAGCCACTGCCATGGCAGGAGCCATGATACTAGTCGCTGGACTGACCAGGCTGGGTTTCCTGGATAATGTACTCAGTCGACCTTTTCTGAGAGGTTTTATCACTGCCATTGGCTTTGTCATCTTTGTTGACCAGCTCATCCCTGAGGTTGGATTGGCAGATCTGGCTAAAGAGGCCGGCGTCAGCCATGGCAGCACAGTGCAGAAGCTTGTCTTCTTCGCTCAGAATATCAAGAACTGTCATGGTCTTACAGCTGCTGTATCCTTCGGTAGCTTTGCAATAATCATGCTATTTCGGTATGTACCAAGACCCCATCAATCCCATAAAGGAGATGCATCATTACTGACCCTGCGCCCCACCTACCTCAGAACGATCAAAAAAGCACTCGAACCACGATACCCTCAGGTCGTCTACTTCCCTGACCGTATCCTCGTTGTGATCCTCTCGGCCATCCTGACCTGGCGTCTGGGATGGTACGAGCAGGGGCTGGAAGTTCTGGGCTCAGTTCAGAACACTGCCACTGGGCTCTTCGCATTCAGGTGGCCCTTCCAACTCAAACATCTGAAGCACGTACGCACCGCTATGAGCACCTCCTTCATCATTGCTATTCTTGGCTTCTTCGAGTCCTCAGTTGCCGCCAAGGGCCTCGGGGAGAGACGAGACGGTGTCCAAGGCATGTCTGTCAGTGCGAACAGGGAGATGGTTGCTCTAGGCGTTGCCAATGTGGTTGGGGGCTGCTTTATGGCTCTCCCTGCCTTTGGCGGATACGGACGGAGCAAAGTCAACGCTTCTACGGGAGCACGCTCCCCTATGAGCAGTATCTTCCTCAGTGTTATCACTTTCATTGTAATTATGGTGCTCTTGCCATATTTATACTATCTTCCTGTGAGTTCTTCCCCAATCCCCGAGTACTATTGGGTAAGACATGTGCTGATATCCACCACAGAAAGCTGTACTATGCTCTACGATATCGGTCGTCGCATACAGTCTTATAGAGGAATGTCCCCACGACGTCGCCTTCTTCATCCGGCTGCGTGGTTGGACAGAGCTTGCATTGATGCTTCTCATCTTCGTCTCCACTATATTCTACTCGCTGGAGCTGGGTATCGCGCTTGGCATTGGGCTCTCAATTCTGATCCTGATCCGTCACTCCACCCAGCCTCGCATCCAAATTCTCGGAAAAATAGCTGGGACATCCGACCAATACGACAACGCCGAAATGCACTCAGAGAATGTGGAGCTCATTGACGGCGCCCTTGTTGTCAAGATTCCCGAGCCGCTCACCTTCGCCAACACTGGCGATCTCAAGAATCGCTTGCGCCGTCTAGAGTTCTACGGCTCCAATCGCGCACATCCATCCCTCCCACGGTTGCGGCCCCCGGAATCGAACAAGAACGTCATCTTTGACGTTCACGGTGTCACGAGCATCGATGGCTCCGGTACGCAGGTCCTCTCCGAGATTGTGAACGATTACATCAATCTCGGAGTAAGCGTCTATTTCTGCCGCCTTTCGAATCGCAGCGTTTTCCGCATGTTCGAAAGAAGCGGCATAGTCGACCGATGCGGAGGCATGTCTCACTTTGTCCCTGGAGTCGATGAGGCGCTTCGGCTCGCTGAATCCGAAGGCCGTGCATCGGAACCTTGAAGGTGTAATTCCAAGTGAAGCCCGGCGCTTCTCTCATATAGGTGTGCTACCTGGTCATGATCCGAACCTGTAAACGATTCACGACATTGCACGATACAAGACAGACGTTTAGAATGTATAGTCCCAGCATCCGTTAGATATGTTGTTGTTAGCATTTGAAATCAGAATCATCAGCGGTTTTCTTCGATATTCGCTTGTCCGTGCAGATTCTCGTAGTCCGGATTCATTAGGGTTTCTGGTTCTCATCCTCGTTCATCTCAGCTCTGCGCAGTATATTGGAAAGCAACACCTCGCAAGCCCGTAATGCAAGATGATTGTTCCGACCAGCAGCGGTATCCGAATCGCCGTTGTCGCCAGCTGGTGTCGATGCAACCAGCTTTAGCTTCCCATCTCCACCGAGCACGAACCCCCCACAAGCGATTCGCGACAGGCGCACATGATCTTGCCCCTTAAGAGTGGGCCCCGCATTCCCACCGGTCAAATCAAACTTCATCGCCAAATGCTCCTCCAGGTACGCACTAAGCACAGCCAGAACGTCCGACTCACTTCCATCACCGTTATTTCCAGCATGAAGGAACCCGCCCAACGACTCTCGTGGCACCGTGATGTTCAAAGTACGCAAATCCGGCGCAGCAAAGGCAGGGAACGATAGTGTGAGGTGAAGCTCTTTGACAATCTCGACTGCGTTCATAGGCCCGGATCCATCTTCCAAGTTCAATGTGTTTATATATGTGTTCAATGCTGTGCCTATAAATCGCGAGGGAAGACGAAGCGGAGAACAGTACGTATCGAAGGTCGAAGAGAGAAAGGAGACGAAAGTTTGTCGGAGAGGAGCAGGAAAGCGGGTTAGAAGGAGTGGTAGGTGGGTAGCATGTGTTTGAGTCTGAGAGCGAGTTCGGGTGCGAGGTTTCGAAACGGTTTCGGTTTGGATTGCAGGGAGAGAGGACAAGCTAAGAAGAGCTGCTTTGTATGTTGCGTTCTCGTACTCTAGCTTCACGAGGATTCCACTTCCCTGTTGGGAGGGCGTATGTGAGGCTGGTGCTGAGCGTTGAGTCCGCGCGCGGGATCGAGGTCCGTTCGACGCCTGAGACCCATTTTCAGGGTCGCGTTCGTGTTCAATGTCTGAGAATGACAGACTGGGTATGGGTTCCCAGGTGCAGGATTGCAGCGCGCCGGTTCGGGAGAGGGTGTCGTCGTCGGTTGTGGGCAGTGGACCGGTAGATTGGAGGGCAATCGGGAAGGAGGCTGCGGTTACTTGATCTCGTAGTCGGGTCGCGTAGAACTTCAGAGCCGCGGGGTTGTTGACAAGGCTGTCAAAGTCTCTTCCGTGGTGGAGAGGGGAGAGACGGTGGAGTGTCCATGAGGTGTTTAGTAGGCTTGTTTGCGTCATTGTGGTATCGTGAGGCTGGTTGAAGGTGTTTGATGCATGCGAAGGAATGGTATATCACATTTATCCCATATGGTGTTAGTATAGCACAATTGGAAGAGATGCTCCCTTGGAGCTTGTCGATCAGTAAATGATGCGGCAGCTGTTTACTTAGTCGGGAGAGCAGAATGCCCGCGGCGCGACTATCTCTCTAATCGATGCATCTTATCAAACAAACAATACAAACATCTCACTCCCAGAAAGGAGCCTAGGGCATAGGGCTAGCTTACATGGGACTGAGGAATGCATTCTTGTTACAGATTGATGGACCGATACCAAGGTAATAGAAATCTCCATTCATTTGTAGTAGCCGCTGCTAATATTGTTATGTCAAAAGAGTAACACCCAAACGAGCAAAGAGCTCATGCCATGAAGATGGATATATTCTTCGCCATGGAGTACACCAAAACCCCTATGAAACGCCTCGCCTTGTGAATGCAAAGAATGCAATGCTTGCTAAACCAACAGAATGCATTATGCACGCCATCCATCTGGAATTCGACAGTCTTGGCAGCTGAATAGGACAGGCAACCCTGTCCAAACCATGACGCGCTCTGCATGATGCGGCGCCGCCTTTCTTAAAGCCAATTCCTCCTTCACAACATCGAACCAAACATCTTCCACGGAACCATGCAAATGCACGTTCGGGGCATTCTGGAAGACCAACATGTTGATGTCGTCCTTTTCATTTAGGGTGATATCGTTATGAAAATTGTGCATGAAGTCCTTTCGCTGCATCCGCTGATTGCCGCCATCTCCGATTTCAGCGGAGAAGTACTCCACTATTCGGAGGAATGGCGACACTGTAAGCAAGGATCCAATCCAACTGTCATCCGAAACTGTAGGCTCATCCGGTGGTACAGTATACCGCAAGTATGAGACTAGAAGTTGCATGCAGTGATGCGTGGCTATGAGGGTAGGGGTGTCAGTAAAAGGAGGTGATCTGATTATCTTTACTTGCAAGTCCCGGTACATGGCTCTACGGATGTGTGGGGGTACAGGAACTGGCAAGCGTCCAGCTTCCCAGTCACGCAGAAGAACATTAGTCTGCTCTCGCCTGGCAAGAGCATAGGTCTCAAGGAAGTATAGAGTATAATACCTGTATGAGAGGAATGCGTTAGAGATGCACTAAAGAGAACAACTGAGAGGCCAATACTTACATGAGCGGAGCGAGATGAAACCATAAGCGCGCAGTCGTCCTTTGCACGAAGACGCCGCGCTCGGCTTTGGAGGTAAACATGGATTTCATGAACGCCGGTTCGCTGTGCACAAACCGATCCATAACACGGTCCGCGAGGTAACAGCAAAGTCTTGTACAAAGCGTCTGCCGGCGACGCAGGCCGGATATATACTTGAAAGTGTATATGTGGCCACCCTTGGCGCTCTTCGCCGGTGGAAACAAATCGGATAGCAATACTGCATCATCCTCCGGATTCCGAGTATATGTCCTTTCGCTATCTATCGGGGAGGGGAGTGTTCCATGGCGACGTTGACGGAGGTATTGCCGGGTGATCCATTGTTCCTGCGAGTTAAGCAGTAGATAGAATGATTTGCAGACAAGCTTTAATGGCAGAAAGTCCGTGACACCGCAGTGGGCGAATATCTTGATCTGAATCTCGACTGGGAGGAGATCCCAGGGGGAAGACGTCGGAACTAGCTCCACACTATAAATGTACAACACGTAGGTTAGCGATGGACATGCTTTACGCTTTGAGCATAGAACACGGGATGCGATGAGGGGCACACGACGTACACTGACGAGGACACTGATGATGAGCCTGCAGCATGCTTGGACAGATTATTCTTCTTGGCATCCGACTTCCTTCCTCTGTAATTGATGACAGCGCGCGCCTTCTTTGCCTGTAGCACCAAGTTGTGGAACGAACTCATCGTCAATCTCCAAAAGGCATGGGGAGACCAGCTCCGGCTTGAGGAACAGGAGGGAAATGCTTGTCACCATGCAAATCCCCTGGTCAGTCTTCTCGTCGATCGATTTTAAGGGATTCTCCGCTTGCGCCTTTTCGGGTTCAGGGTAGATGACTAAGCAGGGCTGAGCAATTGTTGCTATTTTAGAAGAAACTCCAAGCATTGAAAGGTCAGATGCGGGGTTCCTGAAATGCCCAGAATAATTGGTTGTGTACAATGGCAAAGACAAAGGGGCGGGCGTCAAAATGGAGCAATAGTAGTGGGAGGAAGGAGGAGTGTGCTCATCTGAAACCGAATCGGGGCTATCAGTCTGCTAATTTGCGGCTGGCTTTGCTCTCATTCTGTTTTTAATGACATTGAGCTTCTGATGTATTACACTAGCTACGAAACCTTCTAAAGCTTCCATATTTCAAGCACGCGCCAGTTTACTACGGAATGAAGTAGAATAACTAAAGTATCTGGTGAAAGTTGTGTCACGCCAATTTTGATACATTCGTTTCAATGGGGACTGCAGAACTCGACCTTACGTCATCTTAAAACAGGGGTACTCCATTCTGTACCTGCTGGATTGGTTGAAGTGCGTACCCCGGGGCCCAGGCCATAGTGGCCTTAGGCCTGGATTCGCGACATTGTGCGACATGTCACTAATCGAAACGCCCCAGAGGGCTTTGAGTATTGACGCCAAAGAACTGGCGAGACCATGAACTTGAAAAAAATGCAAAAGGGAGACATTTGCCCAATTCTCTTTTCGCTACGTCAATAGTGAAGCTTCCATTGTATCTTATGAAATCTAAATGAGTTATGACGTCTACCCAAGTCAAGCGAACGCCCCTGTCTGAAAATGTGACCTCTAGAAACAAAAATCACTTGAAAGACCAACAAAGAAAGATGGGACAAACAAGGCTAAAAGGAAATTAAGAAGAAAGTGGCGGAAAAAAAAAGATGAAAAAAAGATGTGCATCATCCGTGAATCGAACACGGGCCTCATCGATGGCAACGATGAATTCTACCACTAGACCAATGATGCTGTTGTATGATAACGGCTTCCGATTTTAAGTCTATCAATAGCTGTCGCAGCTATATGTGTATCTTCTGCTTAGTTTTGCTGCGATCTTAGGCTCACAACTTTGATCAAGGGCATAGTTAGTCTAGTTGACCCTGTAGTACACCATAGTAAGACGTTGGAAAAGTCGCCTTTGTCCTAGCAATTGATAACTACTCTTGTGTAAACTACACAGTAAACAAGAACATGCATTATGCATGATCTAGTGCAAGCCATCGGGGCTTCCTATCTTCCGAAGAAGCGCCAACATTCAAGGACCCGCTCTTACCAATGGGCAATTACATTGTAAGTTGAATGACTATCACTGACGCAATATGTCAATCTCGTAGGAGAGAAGGATGAGTCCGCATACTGGACCCTGAGCCGAAACTCGGACTCAGCGTGTCTACACCAATTTCCTGTTGTGGTAATGATAACACTCCAACGGAAGTATGCGCGCCGACGGAGGTATGCAAATGACCCACCGGCTAATTTGAGGGTCCCTGGCGGAATTGCCTGATTTATCTGTGATTGACAGACATACTTGCTGTGTAGATAGTAGTACAGTAGTCACCACGCTTGAAGTTGTTGTTGTCCTTTACATAACGACAACAGCCTATGAATGAGATACTCTCATCCAGTAGTTCCTATGAGCTATTTATGGGTGGCCGGGTGGTGTAGTGGTAGTCAACCTGCATGACACTCCTACAGGTATCTGACAGAGGTTTCTCTGGTCGATGCTTAAGTAGATAGTGTGGTAGGTTTGATTCCCATGACTGTTGGATACTGACCATGCGAAAGAAGAGGTTTGTTAATTAGATATATGCCCAGTGCCCGGGAGGAGGGTAAGTATATTCAAATAAATTTAGGGAGACTACAAACAGCTTGATCCTTATATATATCATCACCCTTCGCTGTCTATATACTGAGTATGGTGAAAATTTTGTAGATTTCTATCTCTCTGAGGGGTTATTCTTTATAATCTTTACACTCACACATAATTCAGCCTACAAAACTGGGAAGGATAGGATTATAGTCCTATACTGGAACGTACATGAAGACATACCGCCCGTATCTAATTAGATAGATAACTGCTCGCGCGTTTTACGGAAGGAATCTCTCTTCTTCTGCTTGTTAGCAACTCAGCAAGAGCACCCTGGCCGTGCTGAGTTCGAGTATAAGTCCCTCTGTCTCTCTATGAGCAACTTGACTCATGAATCAGGTGTAAGAGACGATTCTCGGAAGTATGGTAACATGGTGATTGGCCTCCCTATCGATCGCCCAATGCCGGGTCAGTTGAGCCTTGGCCCACAATATGCAAAGGAAGCACTGCCTCAGTGCGCCCGATTACTTGGCGCTAAATACGTGGTGGGGAACCGTGAGCCCTTATCCTGCCCATAAGAGCCTCACTGTAGATCGAAGGAGGTGCCAATTAAAAGCAAGATTGTCACAAGCTCTTTGTCTATCGGATCATTTATGCCGAGCAGAAGTATAGCGCAAGTAGGGCGCATACTATATTTTACGGGTCAAGAGTGATGCTGTCATCCCCTGTGTAACGGTAAGCACCACCACTGTGTTTGGGGTGATTGCACAGCACAAACCTAATCCTTCGCCCGCTGATCTCAACACGAGATCGCCGACCGAAGTGTCGGAGAGGGCTGTGAGCTTTAGAGCCATGGGTCAACCCGGCGGGATATTGGTCACTAGAAACCAGATGGAAAGACCGAAGAGCTCACGTGGATGTTGACAGGACGGTACTACGATGCCGGGGCAACGACAGGGGGAGAGAAAGGTATGCTTGCCAGGTGATCAAAGCACATTGAATTTGATGAGTGGTCCCATCCATATGCTGCCCTATGGTGCTAGTAACCCCAATCCTTAGTATGGTTGGTGGAAGGAACTTGTGTGGTTCGCCTGCTTGCCGCATAGCCGTCTTCGTCTTCTAGAATGATGTAATTTGCATGATTAGCAGCGTAGCGTCGAAATATCAGAGGTGAGTTCCAATTCTTAGCGCGTTTAGTACTTCCTCTCTGGCACGCGCCTTTCGGCCTCGGGCACAGTCCAAGACATTGGCGCAGATTGGTCCGTCGTTGACCGTAAGCGTGGCAGAGTCTGGGATAAGTGAGAGAATCAGGAGTATCCTCAGCGACAAAACTGCACTATTTGGACGGATTGGGGCCTTCTAAGTTGCTCAGCCTTGGGAGGCGGAGTAAGAGCAGAGCTCCTGAATGGATCCAACAACAAGTAGTAAATTTACAGCTGGCGGGCGGGAAGCCTCAGGGATCAAGGACACGAGGCGTCCAGAAGGAATGGGCTAAGAAGAGGGTCCAACTTAGGAACCAAGCAGCCAAGACGCCCCCAAAAAGGTCCCATAGGACCAAAACTAGCGACCCACAGCCACCGCTGCGGAGAACATGTGAGTTGAGTTTACAGTAGATGTAGGATGTGAGTAGTTCATTGTGTTAGCTACCCTACGGGAAGCCTGCCGTCGAGTGGTTGAGTCGTGAAACTAAGGTTGCAGCTGGTCAGTGGTATTTAATTCCCCTCACTCCCCTCTTCCGATGTCATATTTCTAAATCTCTCTCGATCAGTTTATCATTCCGACTCTGCTAGTTTCTATCAATATTTGCCGTTGCAGCTGCGAACCCTTCTCAGCGCCCCCTGTTTATCTCTCTCGTTGGCTTCAAATAATTGCTATTCCGTTCCCCTACGAGCTTAGGTTACAGTTCTAGTCCGATTACCGCTACACACTGTACACTACTCCACGACCTGCAATTTCTCCTACCAGTAACTGAAAATGTCAGCCGAAAGAAGCGCAGATGTCAACGGCAAGGCGCCAGTCCAGCAACCTACTAACCCTGCCCGCGCACCTGGTGCGGGTCTGGTTAATGTGCAACCGGCTCGCTTGGACGATCTGCAACCCAAGTATGCGCAGCAAATCCAGCACGGTGAAGATAACCCCGATGCGCACGGATGGTACGCTTCATTCAGTAAGTTTCGACCTTGACCTATATTACTGTACACCGTCAAAGCTCTTTTGGTCTAACAAACCTTTGTCGCTATTAGTCCACGGACTTGGTGAATGTCTTGGTTGCCTGGGTGCCATTCCATGCTGTTTCTGCTGCCCCAACCCCTTCAAACCAGTCGCGCAGGGTGAAGTCGGCCTGATCACGAGATTCGGAAGGTTCGTGAACCCCCACGACGATCACTCTAGAATATATATCCTGATTGATGTTCTTCCAGATTCGAACGTTCCGTCGATCCCGGTCTGGTCAAAGTGAACCCACTGAGCGAGCATCTTACAGCGGTGGATGTTAAGATCCAGATCGTCGAAGTGCCCCGTCAGAGCTGCATGACCAAGGACAATGTCAACCTGAACCTCAGTTCCGTGATCTACTACCAGATCGTTTCTCCCCACAAAGCCGCGTTCGGTATTTCCAATGTCCGCCAGGCACTGGTGGAGCGTACTCAGACTACACTGCGTCATGTCATCGGCGCAAGAGTTCTGCAGGACGTTATTGAACGCCGTGAAGAGATCGCTCAGTCGACTTCAGAGATAATCGAGGACGTTGCTGGTGGATGGGGTGTCCAGGTTGAGTCCATGCTCATCAAGGACATCATCTTTAGCGAAGACTTGCAAGACTCTCTTTCCATGGCTGCGCAGTCGAAGCGTATCGGTGAAAGTAAGGTTATTGCAGCTCGTGCTGAAGTCGAGTCGGCCAAATTGATGCGTCAGGTAAATATTCATTTCATCAAAGTAGTCGACATGAGCTAACTTTCCATTCTAGGCCGCTGATATCTTGTCTTCTGCACCTGCGATGCAAATCCGCTATCTCGAGGCGATGCAAGCCATGGCCAAATCAGCCAACAGCAAAGTCATCTTTTTGCCGGCAATGAACCAGACTGTGCAGCAACAAATGGCTGCGGCAGAGAATGCTGGCGAAGGCCCAAGTCGATACCAACAGCCTGATGATGGATTCCAGCGTGCCATGAATGCGCGCGTGGTCGAAGACATCTAGGTGAGGTGTGCCACATGATTTAATGGCTTGATAGCGCTGGAGAGGACCATTGCCTGGTTTCTGATGAGAATATGCTAATGACGCTGAACAATATCTATGTATTTGGAGACACCACAAGGCCGGATAGCCTTGTGTCTTTCCACTCACTTGTTCCCCATTTTTGCTTGGGGTCCTATCTGGCTTTGACGATACCCACATTCTTTTGTTACATGCTTGTGTATTAAACGGGACGATTCTGCCTCTAATTCAATAATGACATTACCTTATGATTTCCCTTAGTAATTAAAAGAGACTAATGTGAAGGTATTGGTTTATTTGACCATCAATAGCTGTGTGTTTCTGCCTAGTCGCTTTAGGCAATATATGTATCTATCGCGGCAGATAAGCAGTAGATACTGCCGAGGGCGGTGTGCCTGGCTTCATCTCAACAGCAGTGGCCGAAAGTCGTAGACAAGCATGATCTTGTTGCTAGCTATCTGACGACTCACTGCATTGTACCTTGACCTTTACCGGCGGGCTGTCGATTTATGAAATAGCGCTGAAACAGGGCGTAATTGCCCATCTGTCCTCTCGATCAAGAAGACTGCTACCGAAACAATGGCTCCTTCGCCGACCCCCAGCCCGGCTCCTACAGCTGCGAAAGTACCAAGCTCACGTCCGTCTTTCGAAATGACACCCGACTTCACTGACCAGTCCTTTGATCCCGCCGAGTACCTCAACAATGCTCTTCCTGCGCTGACGCTGGCGTCATCTCAAACGAACCTCTCGCGGGCTCCTGCGGGGGCCTCTTCCCTGCCCGAACTGTCTACACAAGTCCAGACCGTCCTTTCACAAATAAACGCGCAGAATGCTCGACATTCCACAGCCCTTACACAACTTACCGATGAGATTCTACGAAGCGGAGGTCGATTAGCTTATGAAGTTGAATTGCTGCGTGGAGAGACTATTGGACTTTCGGACACGTTGACGGACGCACTACGGAGTGACATTGAGAGATTTGTCCCGGGCGCTGCGGACAATGACAAGATCGCCGGGGCGGAGGAATCGGAAGATACTGGAGAACAGGGAGAGCCAGCGGAGACAATCACAGTGCAGGACCCTGAATATATCACCAAGCTACGGACGTTGAACCAAGTCCGCGCACGACTGGAAGAAGTGGTGCAGACCTTCGGAGATGCCATGGAATGGCCCCTCCCGCCATCGGAGACGTCTATAACATCATCATTTATTTCGGTGTCGGCGCCGGAACCGGGGCCTGAGAGCCACAGTCGCGAGGAGAAGGGCCAAGAGGTGGCTAAGAAGCTGCGAAAGGAAGTAACGGAGCTTTTAGATAGCAACGGGGGCGGGCAGGAGGGGATTGAAGCTGCCTCGCGCCGTGTTGAGTCGCTACGTACATTGGCACTTGTCTGGAAGGGCACTGCGGAGGAGAAGGCCCGAACTCGGTTCGTAGACAGCCTGGCTAAGATCGTGGAGGACCGTCGCAAGGCCCTAGACAATCAGGGCCGATCCGACCAGTCCCAGCAGCCGTCCGGATCGTCTACGAAGGGACCAACAACGGGTCATCGGCGGCAAGAAAGCGAAGGCCCGGGGGGTGGCATCTTCCGCAATCTGCAACGGTTGCGAGAAGAGATATACCTGGAATGAGTTAGGGGTCTTCGAGGTGTCTATATTGTTGTATTGTTGATTTGTTCTGGGCCATTGATTGCATTATGGCGGCGTTGGCATTGTACATAAGGATTGCCAGTGTGCTTCTGGGTATTACTATAGTACCGTGCGCTTTTCCTCAGCCCCGGAAAATTATTTGATAGGCGGGCTTTTCCCGTAAAGATTCGGTAGTAGCTAACCGGCTCAACGGGCCTGGGGTTCATGCAGTTCATACTACTACCGTCTATCAGACGCCCTCGGAACTACAAAGTGGCTAGTCGAAGCGCCTGCTTCGTAATCGTCTGTTCTATTCATGCAATCCAAAGCCGTAGATGGAGCACGATTCGAGACGGCACTCGTCCGGGCTGCATGGCTTGTTATGGACGGGGGAATCTAGGTCCAAAGTAGAATGGGCAATGTGGAGTCATGCATAGGGAGACGTCAGTTTACAACGTAGGCCGAACACAGGGCCGGCGATGGACTAATAAGCAAGCAATCTGAAACCACCATCCGATTCGTGCCAAGAACTGGGAGGGCACGGGCAGTATGGGATGTGCAGTCTCGATGACGCGGCCAGATCCAACGATGGCGTTTCCCGCTGAGTAACCGACTTTCGTGGGCTGAGGCGAACAACTTCACTATGGAGGAGACTATGCACCTGAGGGTGGGATCAGTAGATCCCACAAGGAGATAAGCTTTCATGGCCCGGCTAAAGACCGACAAAGTACTGCAGAACAGGGGAAAAAAATAAAAAGGAAAAAGAAACAAAGATGCGGTGGGACATTAACGGGTGCAGGGAGCGATACTCGCACATCGCAATACCGACGGAGGCCAGGGCCGGGAACCAAAGGGGAAAAGCGAGGAGTCCATAATTCATGATCCATCCAGTCGATTGAAATCCGCAGAAAAGAAAGAGGAGGGCAGGCCAATGACCGGACAGCTACTTTCCCCCAGTCCCTGGCCCGGTTCCACACGCCGACGTAAATCCTCACCCAAATCGGTCACTTTTCTGTTGCTGAAGTGGTCTTCCGCCCGAGTCGACCTTGAACTACTTTCCCTCCTCCTCTTCGCGTTTTGTGTCCGCGTGGCATGGATCTCTTCCCCGACACTGGCTTCTTCTTCTTCATCTTGTTGCTGTCGTCACCATTGACTGTTGTCTTTTCTGCCTCAGCATGGCGCCTAGCAACCCCATTTATTTCTCTTAATCCGATATCCCCCCGTCAGCTTCGCTGCTCTTCCTGATCGCATGTCCCGCTCGCAGGAATGCTTATTGTTGGGAAGACCCTCTTCTACATTTGGATAAACCCAGCGGTTCTTGTCTAGTGACCACGATCTGACGTTCAGTCGGATCGTCCGTCCACCGCTGCTGAGCAGCGGTACTCTAATCTAGTGTCCAAGCAAAGTTTCCACTTCCACTGCTTTCAGGATGTCATTCCAGGGCATCCTAGACGGCCCATGGGCCGATCATTATCACACGGCGCGCTCGTCAATGACGATGCTATGGCAGCAACAGTTCCATCCTCGCCGTCTCAGAGCTCGTCCCGTTAGGACGCTGATGATCCTGGCCGCCACATGCTTCTTCACGCTGCTGTTGTTGTCGCGATCTAGTCAAGTATGTTTATTATGCGATCTACTGTCTCAATGAAGTGGTGGTACTGACGAAGTGCCTCTTTTCCTAGCCACATGTTAGCTACTGGTTGAGATACCCATCATATCCCCCCTCCCGTGAGCGCCCCGAAGACTTGCCGATGGTCTTCACTTCCCCGGGTCATGTTTTGCACCGAAATGATAGTCTTCCGCATAATCTGCAAAAGTCGACCCCGTCTTTTCACCTTCTTATACCTGCATCGCAAAAGTCCGCCTCACTCTGTCGCACGTTGACGTCGTCAATGATACTGAACTACCCACCGCCCACGTTGATTAGCTATGGCAAGTCGCCTTCAACGGGGTACACAGACTACGCTGCCATGGTGGACCGCATAGCCGGCATATACAATTACCTGGCGTATAACCCGCAAATAAAGGATGAAGATCTCGTTCTTATCGTTGATTCTCAGGACGTGTTTTTCCAATTACCCCCGGAGGTCCTGATCCAGAGGTTCCAAAATCTCCTCAGGGAGAACAATGAGAAATTGCTTCGGAAATATGGTACCGTGACTGTTGACAGGCCGTACCGTACAGGCTCGCAGGAAACGATACAGAAATACTCCCAGAGAGTCTTGTTTGCAGCGAGCAAAGAATGTTTCCCTGGGCTCACCCTAGATGCAGGGTGTGTGACAGTTCCAGAATCTAGCCTCCCCCCGGACGCTTATGGGTGGAAGACGGATATCCACCCACAAGGACATCTGAATCGGCCGCGCTGGCTTAAGCCTGGCGCAGTGGTTGGCCAGGCAGCTGATCTCAAGTTAATATACGCCGAGGTTCTGCGGTTCGTGCATCAACACCGCAACGCACGGGGAGATTACCTTGCTATGACGCAAATGTTTGGTCGACAGGAATATGTGCGGGAGTTAGAGAGGCGGGATTCTGCAAATGGATTCATGGAATGGCTCTACACCCTCATAGGCATCTCTGATGCTTCCAATATCACAGGAGCTACCCAACCGCGCCTCGAGTCTGGCACCCGCTATGAATATGGCATTGGAGTCGATTATGAATCCCGTCTGTTTTTCAACATGCGCAATGCTAAGATGGATGTCGAATGGCTTCACTACAATAATGTCACCAAGACTTCGGCAGTGCAGATGCAGCATGGCGTCCCCAGAGAAAAACGCCTCTTGATCCCTTCGGATATTACACCTGAGAGCATCGGTAACCCTTTCATCCAGCCCAAATTTGGCAAGGATGATTGGCTGAACCCGCCTTTCAATGAGACACTCGACAAACTTCCGAACCCGCGCAACCATACCTGGCATAACCTTCCCTTGATGACCAACATTCACTCGGCATCTGTACCGGCCCTGTTACATGTGGATGGGGATCATTCTGTCCTTGACAAGTGGTGGTCAGAGATGTGGTATCAACCATGGGCTCGTGCCCTTCTCCGCAAGTACATGCGCACCCCGAATGGGTTCGACGCCGCCCAATCTTCCCTCTTGGGAGGACAAGAATGGTGGGACATGCGCGGTGGCAGGGGAGGTCTCTGGACCGACAAAGGTGAATGGCTGGCTTACACTGAGGTTTGTGGAAGCTATGATAAAGAGCTGTTCGATGATGACTTCGGTCCCTTTGGCAAAGAAAGTGGCGAAGACGCTGACGAGCCGGTTTACAACCGATTCGGAAACGTCATCAAGGGTAAAGAAAAGCCAGGCATATGGTGATCTATCTCCGAGACTGGTTCTTGAGAGATGATCACCGCCTGCCGATCCACCTTTGGTGACATGGCTGGCGTGGGCCTTACTATTTATCCACAAATGTGGTCCATTGTTCATTCTGCATATTTCATTATAGTGTGAAGCTGCAAACTGCAGCAAGAACTTGCCATCAGCTATGGCCGTGCATATCTACATGGTGTTTGGGGTTCATGACATATCGATTTTGAGCGAAGTGGATCTGATGTGATGCGTTTGCATATGTGCTTGGCCTTACCCTCTTTGCTGTGCTGGTTTCATTGCAGTCAGGCGTAAAGGCTAATTGTTCTATTGTATGATATTCCTTCTTGAGTCGGGATGCCGGAGAGTATCTATGGGATACTTCATTATATACCAGGGTCTGTATAGAATAGATAGAATATGCTACAATTCGTTAGTACCATCACATGCAACGTAATAATCCACCTAAAAGAACTACCAAGTCTAGTAGTCAATAGCCATAGTTCATGGTATATATAGTAGTAGTACCGTCCGCACAGAAAAATCTATCCCTCCTCATCCATCCCCTCCCCCTCCGATCCCTTCATCCCCGACCCCAAGGTCTCCCGAATAATCGCCAAAACATTATTCACATCGTCATTACTCAATCTCTCCTCGCGCTCCTCAATCACCGTATCCAACAGCGCCAACGCCCCGTAATCCTCTTCTGGTATTTCCCCTTCCCCTCCCTGTCCTTCCTCGGCCCCATCCACCTCCATCATCCCATTCATATCCTCTCCACCATTGACTTGCTGTTCCGCATTCTCATCATCATATTCTTCTTCTTCCCCTCCTTCACCCGCCTCTTCACCATCCTCTCCTTCCGTCGCGGGTGCATGTAACCCCACCCCCAGGTTCACGATCATCAGCACCTCACCCTTGGTGAGCCCGTAGGGCTGTAACCTGGTGACGAGCTCCCGAAGCGCATGGTCGAGCGGCGTGGGCGCGTTGATCTGAGATGGTGGGATGGCTGTTGTTGTGGTGGACTGTGCCTGAGCTTGTATTTGGGCGGGGGTGAGGTTCGTGTATTTGGGGTAGTTGAGGAGATGGGGGGAGAGTCGGGTGACGTAGTTGTGTATCTTATAATGATTGATCAAGTGTCAGCTTTTCTGGTTTGTGCATGTGCTGCAAGAAAGAGTGTGTACTCCGCAGCTAGGTACGAGCCAGCCAGCCAGCCAGCTGGTCGATGTATCCAGCCCCGCATAGCTACTCGACAGAGAAACACATAGGGTGTGGAAATCAATTCAATAAGGGTATGCGCACCTCCTTAACAACGGTGTTATGGTCTCGTAGATCCGGACTGGGAACCCAGTTTCTGGAGTTCGGCGGCGGGTTCGGTGGTCGCCGTGGAGGGTTGGCCGTTAGATAGGCCAGGACCTCTATGTTGGTGAGGGTGGCGGATTGGGGATCGACGATCTGTTTTTTTTTGCTACTTAGTATGGTACTCTATAATAAAGGCCATTGGATCAAAATTTACCCTCATTGTGATGGTCTAATTGTGCAGTTGGAGTGATATTGGCCGATTGATAGGTGGATAATGCGACGCGGGAAAAAAAGTGCTGGAATGCGGGGCGGAGAAGGAATTGGGCTGATTCTGCCGGGCAATGATGGGAGGGCGGTGAGAGGAGTTTGCATACTGTAAATAGTGATATTGGTGCAATGCAATATTATTAAGTCCCTTGAGATAAGGATTCGAACTAGGTGAACCACATGCCTCACGCCATGTACATGCTCTTTTCCACTGGTCTTGGTTGTACATTTCGACAGGCCTCAAACGCGTACTTATTGCCCCAGTCCATCGCTTCTTTCTCTAGTGATTTGATGTCAACTCCATGTAGCACACCCATCTGCTCCTGTAGATCCCTCAATACATCCAGTAGCCACGTCCGGCATGTTCTGTTCTCGTTGTCGTTCAGATGTCCGTCGTAGTTTCGGCAGACACGGTCTAAAGTCTCCTGCGCTGAGGTAGTGGACGGTATGGTTGCAATCTGAATCAGTCCCACAAGGAGGAAGGCTTTCAGGATGCCGGTGCCTGATTCAGGACCATGTCCGGGAATCCAACCGTTGCCTTCGTTGGTGATATGGTACTTGATGCCGCTGTTGATGTGGTGGTAGAGCGCCCAGTGGTAATCGTTGGGTTTAGGAGGATCATCACGAATGAAGAGCGCAATGTAGAGCGCGTTGGGATCCATTTTGGGATTTAGAGTAGTATAGAAAGCACTGCGGAGATCAAACTGGATTGGGATAGGATGGATTACACCGGATCCATGATGCTATAGAAGTGGACATACCATATGCAGGGGGTTTAGCGGCTGGCTTGCTGCAGGCACGTGCAGGTGTCTGCAGGCAGTAAATGCAATGCAACCACTTCACCTCTTATCTATACTCATTACCGCGCTCAGATGGCACCACCACTATCTTAAATTGAGGTGCCGGATGCACATGAGAGTTGACTGCTTTCTCAACTATGATCAATCGAATATTGGCGGTTAAACCTTCACATTCAGATTAAGCTGAAACTAGGCTAGGTGAGTATGCATGAGATAAGGGGGAAAAGCTTAGCCAGACCAGCATGTTGTTCGGGCAGGATCCGGACTACTGGCTAGCTTGTTTAACATAAAGTCGCCGGCACTAATGCTAGGGCTGACTGCATCGACACAACAGAGCTGACTGCAAGTACAGACGTCGAGATAAGCTAGACAGGGAAAAGGTCAATCGATAGACTTGAATCATGAGTCCTGTGTCTGTCCACCATCCGTGTCTTCCGGCCTGTATCGTGTGCTCGACAACTACTGCTGTACGAATCAACTCCGTACGGCCCGGTGCAAGCGAGCCGTGAACCCTGAATCAACTTCCAGAAGAGACATGTCTACCGAGTTGGGGAGTGGGACAGCGAGACCCGGCATGGACGGTGAATAATCATTTGTCAACCCTCACTCATCTGTTTTCGCCTATTCAACCGCCAAGTTTTTCAACCGAATTTTATTAAGATATCCACTTCCATATTGTGCACCAAAGGCTCTCATATCCACTCTCCCCTAGAAACCTGGCTTTGTCAGGCTTTTGAAATCCGTCTTCTTCGCGCTAGAAGCGGCTGGCGCTTTCACGGGATCCACCGAACCCAAAGTTCGGTTGCCAATGATAAGGCAATGTCGCCGCTGGTTGTCTTCGCCTACCCACCTCATCGGTTCACCTGTGCAATAATGGCATCTACAACGATCAGATAACGGCGAATGAGGAAACGATCGCCATCAGGAGCCGGTCCACTGAAACGAGAATATTCTTCGACATACAGACTCAGGCGACATTTTCGAGTAATTGAGGGACCTGGGTAGTGGGACTTGCGAGTACATCGGAGGGATTTGGTACGGAGCTAGCGGAAGAGAGCCAAATTGGCTACTCTTATGACATGATCGGGTTCATTTTCCTGAGGAGCTAGCAAGTGTTTGACTAAGTGGAAACGAAGAAGGCAACTTGGTGCGTGCCAAAGAAGCGTTTTTCCGGGACCTTCGCGGACCCTATGGAAATATAAAGGGACCTGCCCGTTTCACCATGACTGAATGAGAATCTCTATCCTCACCCAAAATCATTCTCACCATGAAATCCTTCCTGCTTGCAGGCCTCATTGCCACTGGCTCTGCTCTTGGGGCCGTGGCCTCTCCCCGTGTCCACGCATCGCCGAAGGGTAGTTCGTATGACTACATCATCGTGGGTGGTGGACCGTCTGGTATCATCACTGCCGAACGCTTGATCGAGGCCAACAAGACCGTGTTGCTCTTGGAGAGAGGTTATGGACCTACCGTGGCTACTGGATCCAACGAAACCCTCGTCTGGAACAAGACCTTGACTGCGGTTGACCTGCCTGGACTGTCTGCCGACATTGGTGCCCTGCCTCAGTGGGAGGAATACCTCTGCTCTGATGTCGCCGGTTATGCCGGTTGCGTGCTGGGTGGTGGTGTGACCTTGAACTACATGGTCTTCGTTCACCCGCCGGACCGTGACTTCAACGACAAGTGGCCCAAGGGATGGAAATGGGACGACGTGAAGCCTGCTGCAGACAGGCTCTATGAGCGCAACCCCGGAACCATCTTGCCCTCCGCCGATGGCAAGCGCTACGACCAGGGTCTCTACACCGTCCTCTCCAACTTCTTCAACAAGATCGGCTGGAAGTCCGTTGACATGATTGCCGAGCCCAACGAGAAGCACGAGGTCTACAGCTACCCTGCCTGGAACATCAAGGACCAGATGCGTGCTGGTCCCGTCCGCACCTACCTGCCCTTGGCTGAGAAGAGCAAGAACTTCAACCTCCGTCTCGGCACCAAGGTGCTTCGCCTCCTGCGCGCCGGCAGCCAAGTGACTGGTGTGGAGGTCGAGAACTCTTTCGGCCGCCGGGAGAACATCACTCTGGGCTCCCACGGAAGAGTCGTCCTCTCTGCCGGTGCTCTCTCCACTCCTCGTATCCTCTTCAACTCCGGCATCGGACCCAGTTCTCAGATTGAGATCGCCCAGCAGAGCGGCGTGATCGTCCCCCCCAAGAAGGACTGGATCAACCTTCCCGTCGGTATCGGTGCTAAGGACCACCCTATCTTCTCCATCATCTTGAAGACCAACGGCACCAGCTATGGCCTTCCCGACTACGACGCCATCGTGAACGGCTCCGATGTCTCTGACATCAGCCTCTACGCCCAGGGCAGCGGTCTCCTCACCCAAGGAAAGCACCGCATGATCTTCTTCACCTCCAACGTCGTCGACGGCCAGACGCGCTACTACCAGGGCTCTTGTGCTCCCTCCGGCACCAACGAAGTCACCATTACCGCCTACATGACCCACGGTCTCACCTCTTCCGGTGTGCTCGGCCTGGAGACTGATGGCTCCACCGTCTGGGATAAGTCTCCCTACCTCACGACTGCCGGTGATCGCGCTGCCGCCACTGCCTTCCTCCAGCAGTTCGTCGGAGAGTTGACCGCCCCCTCTACCGGATTCCAGCTGGAGACCTACACCAACGTCTCCGCTATCCTCGGCAGCGTTAGCCCTGGCATGCACTACACCACCTCGGCCAAGATTGGCACGGACGATGGCCGCTACAACAACGGCACCTCGGTCGTTGACCTCAACACCAAGGTCTACGGCACTAACAACCTGGTATGTATATCCCCATCCCCACTGCTACCCTGCTCCGCACTGTTGAGACCCATCTTGCTGACTTTTATCTTGTACAGTTCATCGTCGATGGCAGTATCCACCCTGACCTTCCTACCGGTAACATCCAGGCTACTATCATGGTTGTTGCCGAGGCGGCTGTTGCTAAGATCCTTGCTCTGCACTGATCTTGTCATCGCTACCATGTCTTATAGAGCCTAGCTCCTGCGAGCTGTGGCATGAATTCTTTCATTGTATAACTAAGTTCATGAGATAGAATAACCTTAATGTTGATCGATAATGATGATGATCAATTAATGGAGCATTGTCATTCTTGTATCTTGTCTTTATTTCCTTTATTTACGTCTAATCGCTTTGGTATAGAACAGATAGACAGTAGTAGTTAGTGTCTTTAGCACTTAATTGGCTGTACATAAGGCGGAATGGAGTAGAGAGATGAGGCGAAATCGTTTCAACGTGAGGGTCAGAGATAGGTGTTAGTATTTGTAGCGTCGCGTATGCCGCTTGCTGTGCAGGAAAATAGGAAGTCATTTTCTGTCTGTGAAGTTCACTCGAATCCTTGCTACTAAAGATGAGAAAGAAGGGACTTTAAAACCATGCTGGCCTCGAATTACAGAATCTACCAAGGGACCTGAAACAAAACTCTAATGGAGTTGACTGTGTTGCAGTTATCATGGGCCAGTAATCATGGTCATTTATCAGTAAAAGGTACGTACAAGCCCAGCGGCAGAAGACTGGTCTAGATAATATCAACCATTGCAACTACAAACATTACTACTACCATGGGAAAATCCAACTCAGAAAGAACATTATTTCTGGAACTTGAACTGCCTTATACCAACAAGCACCTCTGCGCCAGGGGATGATAGTAAGATCCATCCATCAAATGCCACCCAAACATATAATCTTCAAGCAAAATAGCAACAGAGAGAGAGAAAAAAGGAAAAAGAGAAGAAATTCGGCCCACATGGTGTGATATCATACAGAAATTTGAAGCATTCCCATCAGGTGTGTTGATTGTGAAACTTTTTTGTTTGAGGACTTCATTCGAATTTACTCCTCACCCTTCTTCTTCTTCTTCTTTTTCTTCTCGGAGTTGTCGACTTCGCCGTCGTCTGACCGCTTGCGCTTCTTCTCCTCACCCTTGGCCGACTTCTTGGACTCCTTCTTGGCCTTCTTGATGTCCTTCTTGCTGACCGCGCTGGGGTTGCCCTCAGCGTCGAACTGGATTTCTCCACGCTCAAGCTTGCGCTTGTACCGCTTGAGGCTCAGACCGGCCTTCTCGGCCATCTTCTCGAGCTCAGAGTCCTTGCTCTTCTTGGACTTCTTGTCGGTCTCCTCGTCGGACGAGTCAGACTCCTCGTCGGAGTCAGCATCGGCCATCTCCTCGTCCTGAACCTCCTCTACGAGCTTCTTGCTCTTGCTCTTCTTAGCGGAAGCGGGCTCGTCGCCCGTAACAGCATCAGCATCGGCGTTGTATTTGCGGGCTTCGTTGATCTCGAACTTCTGGGCCTGAGGAGCGCCGTTGGGGGCAATGGCAGTACCACGGGGCTTGAGGGGCTTGCCCTCCATGGCGGCAAGCTTGCGCTCGAGGTTGTAGCGGGCTTCCGTACCGAGAGCAGCCTTGTCCTCCTCGGTGGCATCGTCGTCCCACTCAGCGAGAGCATCCACACGCAGACCAAGGGAAGCCTTGGCAGCCAGAACTCTGGCCATCTTACCCTTGTTCTTGCCGGTGGCCTGGCCGATCAGGGAAGCGTGGTAGATCAGACCGTACTTGGGAGTGTCGTGCTTAGTCTTAAGAGCACGGAACAGGGCCTTCTCGGCACCCAGAATCTGGATAGTACTGGCGGGGCTCTTGGACAGGTTGGTCAAGCTACCAGCGTGGGCGATAAGACGGGCACCGACCAGATCACCGACGAGGGCAGTCAGGTTGGGGGCGATGGCGTTCATACGGGCGGTAAGGTAGCCGGCCAGTTGTTGACGGTACTCAGCGAAGCCAACGACCTGCTCGGCCAAGGCTTGAATGTGTTCCAGATCCTCCTGGCTGATCTCGGTACCCATGGAGCGGTCCGCAGCAGCCTTGACGGCACCCTCAATCTCCTCGGGGAGGATCTCAGCGAGATCGGAAGACTCCCAGTTGGTGCGCATGCCCATCTTGAGGACGAGTCTGGCGTAGGCGATGTTGTCGTTCAGGATCTTCGCCAGCTCAGGGAAGTGCCATCCGTACCATTCCTTCACACGCATGGCGTAGTTGTTGAGCTCCTTGTCCAGGTCGTCAAGCAGACCAATGGCCTGCACAATCATGGTGTCGATCTTGTCGGGGGAGAACTTGAGCTTGTGTCTAGCGAGAGAGTGCGACAGACCAAGGGACATGGTGGACATGTCCTGAGGGAGAAGGCCGGGGATGAGGGTGGGCAGGTGTTCACGAATGGCACGGAAGACATCGGTGGTGGAAGAGTCGGCCACCAGCTCGATGGAGAGACCGGGGAGCTTGCCAATGGCATTGCCTATACCAATTCCAGTCAGTCACACGAAAATTTTATCCTGAGTTTTCGCACAAGTTTGCGCCACATACCGAGCTTGGGGTCGGCGACAGCCAGAGAAACCTTCTTCTCATCCTTGACTTCGTCCAAAAGGCTGGCCAGGCGAGGAGTGACCTTTCCTTCGACGAGGGAAGCAACCTCCTCCAGGGCGGTAGCAGCGCTGTCGAACTTCTGGAAGCTCTTCAACTTCAGACTACAATTGCGGCGGTTAGCCGGGGTCCAGACGCGGTGGGGGAAAATTTTTGCTTTTGAGACACCACGCGCAGATAATGGACAATCGGGGGTGAATAAAGTAAACGATGCATGAGAATGCACTTACAGGTTAGAAACACCCTCTGCGGTGGAAGCCTCAGTAGCCAGATCATCTCTCTTCAACAGCTTCTTGTCCTTGGCCTTGAGCAGGGCATAGCCCGCACTGGTTTCCGTAAGGATAAAGAGCGTCATGGTGCACGGCCTCGACTTCTAGCTGCAATAAAAAGACAGAGGAACAGCTAGAGGTGAGAAGGGAAAAGAAAAGGCCGGGGGGTGGGAGGGAATTGGCGTGCTGGACGGGATGGACTGAAATCCGCTGGGAATATTTTTTAACCTCAAGAAACTAAAAAGTGAAAAAAGCGAAAAGCGCCATCCGAGTGTGGCTGGTGGTGCCGCCGCCGTGGCTGGTGCAACGCCCAGATTATGTAAGCCCCACGGGATGCCGATGCGTCGACGAGTGGTCGTCAGTCTATCAACTGCGGAGAGCTTGTAAGTGGACATCTGGACTTCTGCCCATCTGCTAGCCCACCATGGAGGGTCTTTTTTTCAACGTCAACAGCGGGTATGTCTGTTTCACTGTCGCATTTTGTAATTTCTTCCCTTCAGGTCGCTGATTGAACGTTCATAGTTATATCGAGGGTATTGTCCGTGGTTATCGGAACAGCCTCCTAACCGGCCAACACTACTCCAACCTGACCCAATGCGAGACGATTGATGGTCCGTCAATCTGAAACTGCTCTCTTACTTCCTTGATAATTCTAACATTACCTTGCTTCTGGCAGATGTCAAACTGCAGCTCGCCCCCGCCTATGGCGACTTCCTCGCCTCCCTCCCTCCCAACCCTTCTACCTCTGCCCTTGCGGGCAAGATGACGGATAAGCTGGTCGCTGAGTTCCGCTACCTCCTCGCGCAGGCCACGGGGTCGACCGCCAAATTCTTGCAATACCTTACGTACGGGTACATGATCGACAACATCGCACTGCTCATCACCGGTACTCTGCACGAACGTGACACTCGCGAGCTCCTGGAGCGATGCCACCCCCTAGGCTGGTTCGAGACGCTGCCTGTTCTTTGCGTCGCCACGAACATCGAAGAACTCTACAACTCTGTGCTGGTTGAGACGCCGCTGGCCGGTTACTTCAAGAGCAGTCTGAGCCATCAAGATCTGGATGAACTGAACATTGAAATCGTGCGCAACACGCTCTACAAGAACTACTTGGAGGACTTCCACCAGTTCGTCACCACACACCCTGATTTCAAGGGCACTCCCACGCAAGAGGTCATGTCCGAGATCCTGCAGTTCGAGGCAGACCGTCGTGCCATCAACATCACTCTGAACTCGTTTGGAACGGAGCTGTCGAAGCAAGAGCGGAAGAAGCTGTACCCGGAGTTTGGCAAGCTGTATCCAGAGGGATCGCTGATGCTTTCGCGCGCTGATGATATTGAATCCGTGGCTCTGGCCGTGAGCATTTCTGCGGACTACAAGGCGTTCTTTGATGCTGTTGGTCTCACGCAGGGTGGTGGTGGCCTAGGTGGCATGGGTGGCTCGGATGGAAAGAGTCTGGAGGACCTGTTCTACCAGAAGGAGATGGAGCTGAGCAAGGTTGTGTTCACACGGCAGTTCACTCCGGCTGTGGTGTACGCATGGATGAGACTGAAGGAGCAGGTGAGTTACCCTTTTTCAAAGACCAATTTAGCATCTACTAACAATGGACCGCAGGAAATCCGTAACGTCACATGGATTGCCGAGTGCATTGCCCAAAACCAGAAGGAGAGAATTGGAAACTTCATTTCCGTTTTCTAGATACCATTTCTTGTTGTTACCCCATCATTGTCCTTTCTCTCTCTTAAATTATCCGCCAAAATATGTATTCTTTTCCCCGCACCCGTTGCACGTGTGACTCTAGGGCGCCTTTGTTTCCTCCCATATCCGCTGTGTCTAGTTAGTACCCAGTCCCTGTAATGAGCGCATAAATCGGCCCAGCCTGTCCATGCTAGTTGTTTTGGCTCCTCGATCTTTTCTATCCTTGACCCCACGGCGTTTTGGGATTTTCGCTTCTTGTGATATAGTATATAGATAACGCCGACATTATCTAACCTGAGTTTGTGGTTGTTATTGTTGTGGTATTATGAGTAGAATAAGAACAGACAACATTGATACTAGAGTAGCCAGCATTTCTTGAATGTATTTGTTCATGGACATGGACATGTGCTAAGCTCTGAGCCAATCTGTCTACAAAAACATCCAGACAGTCGCGATCCAAAGTGGAAACCCCAAAATTAAGGGCGACACACAAGGTGTCAGAAAAACGAAGCCCCGAGATTCTCATACAGCATTAAACGTGTAGAACATGAGCGAAGTCATGAGAAGATGGATCCAGGGAGTCATAACTGTGCATTGGGAACACATTGGGCGTGTCTTTATCCGTTCCTCTCAGGCTCCGTTGAGTAGGTTTCAGAAAAAGTGATAGATGGTATGCGATGGTATGCTTATGGAAACCAAAGTAGTATAGCAAATGTCAAAGACAATATAAAGAAAATTCATCAAGATATAACCTCAATTCGTCACTCCTTTTTCAAAAGGTGTCATCTATCCCTGCCATGGGAAAGAAAAGTCGCATGCAATAAAATCAATGATTTGGTTTGTTAGTCGTACTGGAAAAGAGTACTGATACTCTCACCGTGGTGGACACGGCGGATAGCCTACAGTTCGTTAGCTATGCTTCAGGGGCTTGAGCTCCGACGAACTTACCTCAGCGAAAACGTGACCGACTTCCAAAACCTCCAACTTGGGGCATCTGCGCAAGTGGTCTGCCTGGTCAACGCTGTTTGTAACCACCACCTTATCGAGTGCGCTAGCATTGATCCGATCAATGGCATCTCCACTCAAGATTCCGTGGGTGACCAGAGCATAAACCTGTGCAGCTCCTTCCTTCTTGAGGAGCTTCGCCGCTCGGGTAATGGTGTTCGACGTGTCCGCCAGGTCGTCAATCAGGATCGCCGTCCGATCCTTAACATCTCCCACCAGCATCATGGTAGCGTTCTGTCGATCCGTTATACGGGTAGGACGACGTTCCTGAAAGTGGTTAGTATCTCCATGTAAAGAAGTCAGTAGGCCGAATACTAACCTTGTGGATAAGGGCGAATTCAACTCCCATGCCATCGGCAATCGCCGTAGCACGCTTCGCGCCACCAGCATCGGGACTGACGATCACGGCCTGCTTGTAGTTGGGAATGTTCCGCTGGATGTAGCTCTTGAGGAGTGGGCGGCCGTACAGGTTGTCAACCGGAATGTCGAAGAATCCCTGGTACTGAGGGTCATGGAGATCCATGGTGATAATGTGGTCTGCACCAGCGCAGGTGAGCAGGTCCGCGACCAAGGTACCGGCCTGAGCCACCCACTGCTTGTAGCCGGGGCGGGGTTGGAAGTTGTTGATCTTCTCGTCGGCACCGTTGAGTGCGAACCTGTTACCTTCAGACTGCAGGGACTCCATGGTATCGCTGCGGGGAAGACCATTGACCGGGCGTTGCTTCTTCACAGGGCTGCCATTGCTGATATCTTCCAATTGAGCCTTAGCCAGGCTCTTCTGCAGGTTATCGACGCCGTTCAGACCGTTCAGAAGACCTCCAGTTTCGGACTTCCCAGGAAGTGGGGTAGGCGGGGTACTTTCAAAGGTGTAGTTATTGCCTTGCCTCCCCGCAAGGGATGACTTGACCAAAGGAGCTCCGGTCTTGTTGTAGGGAATGTCACTCTGACGCGAGTACGGGAAAAGCGGGAGGACCGCAGTGACTCTCTTGGCGGAGGCGGTCTTGCAAGCCGAGATGGTAATCAGAAGCTCCATGAGGAGATCGTTTACCTTTCCACCACCGGACTGAATGATATAGACATCCTTTCCACGGACGGATTCCTTGATCTCCACTCGGGTCTCACCCACGGAGAATTTCGACAGCAGAACATCTGCCGGCGGGATGCCCAGCACGTTGCAGATGGTCTGAGTCAATTGCGGGTGGGAAGTGCCCCCGATAACAACGATGTTCCGGACCATATTGGACTGTTCTTCAGACTTGGAAGGCTGTGGGAAGCTGGGAGGATAGAGAGTCACAGGAGAGGATGACCGATTCGGAAGCGGGGACAAAGGAGGAAAATCTGGTAAAACGGCGGATCTGGAGGGGCGGGAGGAATGGTGAGATTAGCACGATAAAAGACGAGCTTGGAGATAGCAAAAGAAGAATAAGTAATCTCGTGGCGAGGACAGACAGGCAACTACCTCATGGCGGGGATTCAGGAACGGGGTCCAAGCGAATGTATGGGGAAGACATTGAAACGGAGAGATCGAAGTCGTGTGAGTCCGCCATAGAGACGACCGAAAAAAAAAATGCCTCTCCCGCGAGTGGAACCGGCGTTGCTGCAGCCTCGGGTGTCTGCCGCTATGAGCCTCAGGCTGCAACTTGCCCTATCGGGCTAGGAATGTCTGGTCGCCATCGACGCATTCAACGGCCCCGCAGCCACACTAAAAATGACCCGGACTCGTTCTCCAGCCTTGTCCTTCCTGGAACCTGGGGATGCTCAAGTAATAGTCGATCGAGGGAATGAAGGGGTGATGCACACCACCATTCAAGCAGTCAACATTTGGTAGGTCGAGAAACAACGCAGTCGTTATTTTCCCTGTTTGCAAGAAAATTGAAAGATAGCAAAAAAAAAAAAAAAAGAAAAAAGATTTCAACTTTAGCCTTGTCCGTTACAGATGGCAGCTGGCGCATTACACCAAGATGAGTAGTCTCCATTTGCCGGTAGGTACATGGAAACTAAATATGATAGGAAAAAATATCCCAGAAGCAACAAGGAAACAGAAAAGGCTGGATTTCCATTCAGTCCTCCGTATTCCCATCGCTCAGGCCGAGATACCTCAGATGTAGGCAACCCGGAAGCCTGGAGTCTCACATAACAACAGAAGCCGTTTATTGGATTGTTTAAGCTACCTGTCAATTGTATGGTCAGCAACACATCTCCTTATGAGGTGCTTCGAGCTCGGTATGTGATTGAGCTTCATTCGAAGGGTTGGGGGGAATTTGCTCACAGTTTTACTTGTTGGGATGGCCATACTCACATGGTCACTGGATGAACAGCCGCAAGACTATCAAGCTAACTGTAAAAACTGGTAGTTAGCTAGTTTGTATGTTCATGTCAGTCGTAGTGTAAGTTGGTTGTTGAAGTACAGATGAAGACCGAGAGCAAGAGTGTGTAGTCTCTTCGTGGGCCAACTGTCACTGTTCTGCTGAGCACTGTTTAGTTTTGTTGTTACCCCTTAAAACCCCACTCTTTCTCATCAAAGACATCTCTGAAGCGGAGAGAGACTAACCTGTTTTTGACCCATGGACTGTGATCCCTACTCATCTATACCAAGACCCTCATGTTTCACTTCTTTTGGAGGGCCGGCCATGGAACTCCGGCTCTTGTCACCAAAGCACACTTCTGGGAGCCTGGTCCCGGAACGTTACAACGGCCACTGATAAGGCAACGAAGTTGGGCAATGCGTAGGACAAGCGTCTAAGATTAGGAGATGCAACAATAAACACGTGACGCCGTATCGCAGAGGCCCGACGATGGAGGTGAGACACCTAAGCCGTAAGGGGACTAGACTGAAGAACGCCGATATCCCGCGGAGAGAGAGTCCCGAAGCTACATGCCAGACATTATGGCTTCAGTGTTTGGAAACTTCTGCGTGTCTCTCAATTAGCGCGTATCAATGGGATATTTCTATGAGAATTGAACATCAATATCGCCTCAAATGCCGAGTCGCCTTATCTTACGGCGTCCGTCTCCGACGACCGTCTCCTTCACAGTGTCCAATGCCTCCAGACGCACGAGCACGCCAGCAAAGGCCTTCTTCTACCTACAAATTTTGTTGCGCGCAGTCATCTTTTTCTGTGTGCTCCTCCTTGATGCTGCGAAGTTCCGCCGTACATTTTTTATGGAAGATGGCTCATGGATACGTTGGACAACAATCTGGTCGAGTGCGCTGGGGATATCCGTCTGTCGCATCGCGGATGCGTACAGCTCTGCGGTGGTAGTTTTGGCCAGCGCAATAGTCTTCTACGGTGTTTTCAGGAAGGGATACACAGGTTCGCCCAGACAATCTCCAGAGAAAGGGATAGATTTGATACTGACTGCGCTTTGCTCCAAAACAGAAGAGTCGCTCCTGGTTATACGCGGTCTCGGTATTCAGACGTCTACCTCCTCCCAGACCTACCTGTCAAAGGCTTCGACGAGGTTCATACCTACTACACAGATTCAGGATATCGTGATACATGAAGCTTTCAAGGGATTTGAGGTTAGGTTCTACCTGGCAGTGATCGTCGAAGGTGAAAGCGAAGTGGTTGTGGTGTTCCCTGTGAGTACCTACCTATACCTATTCAGCACCTACCCGTAGGCCCTGCCATTTCGGTTGTCTAATGCGAGCCAGAAATTGTTACCAAATCGGCAAATACTAGAGGAGGTCTGGAGGGGTTCACGGAGCTGTCTGTATGATTCGAAGTCATAATGGAGCCCAGCTTCACGTCTTGAGAAGAAATCAATAGCTTTCTGCTTGAGAGGTAGGCCATCTTGCACATATATTCGAGAAGTGAGTATATACAATCTTCTGTCTACTGTTCCATTTTGGTGGCCTTTGCGCCATTCTCCATCTTGCGCTGCTTTGCCGCCAGCCACCTCGCATTCTGGACTTCCACGAGCTCGGTCTTTCGCTTCTGCATGACTGGAACATAGTACCCGCCGGTTCTGGCTTCATTAGACCCCACAAAGATTTTCTTACCCCGGTTCTTTCTCTCCCAGATTGGCTCGACTCCATCACCAATGGTGAGACTCTTGTCGCCCTGACTGACGGCCAAGTCTAGTAATGCGCCAGCCAAGATTTCCTCCATCTTGCGCTGCCTCCAAACAGACCAGAGCTCCTCTACGATTCCTCCAAGACCAAACTTTCCACCTCCCTTGCCGAGGTGAGACTTGATCTGTCGAACGTCACCCGCATAAACCCAATCCAGGCTATCAGCACGGCTGCCGCTCTTCTTATCGGGGTAGATGCAGTCCCAAAGCACCAAGGGGGCATCGGAAGCCATCTCGTAGGTTGGCTTTCGCGGGTTCTTAGTCACGTCAAGGAGATCCCGTACGATGGAGGGTTCCTCGAGCCCCTGACCGACAAGGAAAAGGACATTGACCATGTGTCGGACCTGATGCCACAGGAAAGCAGAACCCTCCAGATGGAAGACATATACCTGCGCTGCTGTTGGCAGAGGTGCCGCTGAAGACTCTGCGCTTTCATCCACACCCGATGCGGGTCTAGCCTGGAATTCTGGCTGAGTCACATAGCCCAGGGGATTGGTGCGAGCATCGAGAAGCTCAATGTCAGCACGGAAAATGTCTCGGTAGAAAGACTCGATCTGTTTCGTCACGTCCAATTTACAGAAGTTCCGGAAGTCGTGTGTACCTTCGAAATACTTCGCAGCTTTGCGCATCGCTTCAATGTCCAACCAACCCTCTCTCAGCTTCGGAGGCTTGCCTGATCCATCTCGCGGCACAAAGCCCGAAGCACCCGGCGTAGGAGAAAAGGCCGGCTGCGTGAAGAAGTACTTGTAATGGCGCTCCCCGCAAGAAAAGCGGGCATCGAACCCCTCAGGAGGACGTGGGCACCATGCCAATACACGAATATCTTCAGGAAGCACCTTGTTCAACATGCTCACGTAGGGTAGCTCATCTTTGACGTCATCCCAGCCATCGTCGGCCGACGCATTGGCCTCGTCCGTATTCTGCATGGTGGTATCGGCATTCTCGTCCGACTGAACGACCTCGTTGCGCTTCGGCCGTGCACTCCGCACTCTAATTCCAATCACCTGCCCAAAGGCACTGACACCCCGATCCGTACGCCCAGCTTTGGAATATTCACATCCATCCCAATTGATATAGTACGGCTTGGTCTCTCTCGGCGCATAGCTCTCCACAAACTCATCACCAGTTGTATCGGTCGGGAAAATCAACCGGGTCTTCCGTAAAGCCTTGTACATCTCCTCCTCAATCGTAGGCAGCGGCGTGGCATTCCCGTTCGCATGCTCAAGCCCATTGTACCGCTGTCCAAGATAGGCGAACTTCAACGCGATGAACCGTGTATTATATCTCGACGGATCGATCTCCCTGCGCGGTTTCGGGGGCTTCGGCGGCTTCACCTGCTTCTTCTTCTCCGCTCCCGCCGCAGGAGATGAAGGCTCCTTCTGGTTCACTTTCCCATCACTAGGTGCACTCTTGGCTGCGTCTTTGGCCGCGTCCTCGGGCTGCTTCGCAGGGGGTGTAGTATACTCCGCGGTGCGGGAGTGTAACTGGCGTTCTAATTCAGTGATTCGGGCGACGAGCCTCGACGTAGTCCATGTCGAGTAGTCGGCTTCATTGGTAGGGACTTGTTGGTCCTCGGCCATGTTCCCGGACATGGTACTTGTAGGTTGGGAATCGACTTGGGCGTGCGAGCGGGACAGGGATTGGAATGTGCGCCTCGTTGTTGAGGGTGTACGCTGTGCTGATGTGCGACTCAAGAAAGAACAAAGGTTTCCTTGGAACCTTCGCATCCCTATGAGCACGTTGTGTGTGTGTCCCACGCTGCTGGGTTGCCGCGGAGGGGAGATTTTTGCGGCAAAAATTTAGACTTCTGATAGTACTATTGGTGGTGATCGTGTAATGAGAGCGTATGGTATTGTTACATGGGTGGTTGTGGCAAGCTTCATGGGGTATCTTTTGTATTACATGGTAAGATGGCAGTTAGCATGGCTTTCATATTTTGCTTATCCGTCATTTGCATAATAAAAAGTCCATTTGTCGGGTTTTATCGAAGACATCTTCTTTGCAAAGGAGATTTGGGGGATCTTAACTCCAAAAGGCGTGAGCTGCAAATGTGCTGCAGTCAGGTTCCGCTTTATATCCGCAGATTATCATGAACGTTGCATACTCAAACGAACCCTGCTTTTATACCATTAAGCGTACTATGCGACACACTAGATGTGTCTGAATCGACGCCAATATATATCTCCTTGTCTGATATAAAGTCCAGAGTGTGCCAGAACATCGCGTCCAATGGCAGGAAGCAACCTCCCACAGGATGAACAGACAGTGACTATTCTGCTCCTCGGAGATCCGGGATGTGGTAAAACAACATTTCTATCGTAAGTGCAACAGCTCTTCAGCATGCAGTGCCTTCTATGACATGGTCCCCGTCTTCGAATCACTGTCATTTACTAATGAGTTATTAGGAGCTTGAAGTCCAATCTTCGTAGACACCAAGGACAGACAACTAGTCAAGGGAATATTGAGGAAACCCTTCTACGGGACAGTGACCAGCCGTTTATCTATGAAATTCGCTTCTCCAAGAAGTCATTTAAACTTGAAGTATATGACACCGCAAGTCCCAACCAACATTGGTCTACCTTGCAGCCTGATGTTATACTTCTGGCATTTGACATCTCGAATAGAGATACACTGAACAATCTTCGCAATGTAGGACATGCCCCATATCTTGCATGTTGTGTGGCTATCAATACTAACTTCTGTGCTATAGTGGCGAAATGATATCACCAGGTACTTCCAGAACGGTTATGGTGAACGCATACCCATTATGTTGATAGGGTTGAAGAGAGATCTTAGGGTGGAATGTGAGGGGATTATATATCCTCAAGAGGTGAGTAGACCCTCTTAATCATCGGGCTCGATTGTTCAAGTCTATCTGTGCTGTACGCAGGATCGGAGCTAACTGATATCATGTATAGTCGTATCGGATTGCGCAGGAACTCCGATGTGATCGGTATGCGGAGTGCTCTGCTGTCACTGGGGAACTCTTACGAGAGACGTTTGAAGATATTGCGCGGCTTGCTGGAATGACGACTACGGCGGCTGGGGGCCAAACTGCCGGCGCTTGTGTTATTCTTTAGTATATTTGATACCCTTATTGAGATTGTGGATCCATATTGTTTAGATATGTGATATATTTATTTTAATTTGTTGGCTTAGAATAATGGTACTTAATGCCTAACCGTTCCTATCGTCCTGGGTGATACGTGACGAGATTGGCACCACAGGTATCAACATGGGCTTCTACGCATTCTTTCTGAGCTACGTCTACTGTTGACTACTAGAGACCACACTTATACATGGAGAACAATGGTAGCTAGCATCACTTTTCGATTACGGCTATGATAAACATACAGGGAGAAACCAAGGTAACGATTAAGTCCACCTTGTGAAATTGACAGCACAGGGCTTTCCCCCAGAAGCTCACTGAGGCAAGAGAACAACTGGATATCTTTCCCTCATAAGCGCCAGTCAATCATTGACAATGCAATTCCTCCCCGATGCACCATAAGCGGAACGTGAAAACGGACTGCAGAAGGAGACTTCGCTGTAGCATACCACGCAAGAAGAAGTAGGAAGATGATGTTTTGAAGTAGTGAAGCTCCCGTTGATTCTTTTCCTCTTTTTTCTTCTTTGTCTTTTTTGGAATACCTGAACTGAAACTAGGATAGACACGACAAGGGATTTTTTGTTCTTTCATTGCAAGGAACCGCCGGGAAGACGTTCCTTGATGATTAAGGGGTCCTCGTCACCCTCAACCAATCGCCATTGTTTCGTCAATCCTCGTTGCGAAGTCCAGATGTTTACCACTTAGCCTCGGTGGGCTGGGCCTCAGCCCAGCTCTCACCAGCAGGAGCGGCAGAGCTGGCAGCCCAGTCGCCACCCTCAGCCTCCCAGCTGGCAGCACCAGCAGCAGCGCTAGCAGCAGCGAAAGCAGTGCCAGGAACACCGGCACCGGCACCGGCAACATCCCAGTTGTCACCAGCGAAGCCGGACTCGATGGCACCAGCACCGACCTCCTCAGCGCTGGCAACCTTCTCCTCGACGACCTCCTTGTTCTCCTCAGCCTCGGGGTCACGGTAGAAGTACAGGTCAACAACGACGTCCCAGTCAACCTCACGGGAAGCGAGGGTACCACGGAGGCGGAGGACCTCACGGGCAAGGAGCCACCAGACGAGACCGATGGCGTGGCGACCCTTGTTGTTGGTGGGGATGGCAACGTCGACGAAGTCGGTGGGGGAGTCAGTGTCGCAAAGGGCAATGACGGGGATGTTGACGTAGCTGGCCTCCTTGATGGCCTGGGCGTCGGTGCGAGGGTCGGTGACGATGATCAGGCGGGGCTCCTTGAAAGAGCGGGTGATGTAGTTGGTGAAGTTACCGGGGGTGAAACGACCAGCAATGGCGGTAGCACCGGTGTGGGAGGCGAACTTCAGGACAGCACGCTGGCCGTAGGGACGAGCGGAGATGACACAGATGTCGGCCGGGTTGTCGATGGCGGCGATGATACGGGCAGCGAGGAGGATCTTCTCCCTATAAGTTCGCGCGGCGTTAGGCAATGATTCTAGAGAACATGCGCGCATTAGATTGCCTGATAAACATACCAGGTCTTGCCAATGTTGATGACATTGACACCGTCGGGGCGAGTCTTCCAGAGGTAAGGCTCCATGTGAGACTGGAGGTTCTTGGACCCGAGGTGGCACTGAGCTGCGAGGAGCATCTCAATGTCCTGGGAGGTGGGGTTGAAGATCGGGGGGAGCTGAGAGGGGGCCATGGTGGGCGATTGATATTGCAAAGATCGATTTGAGTATATCAATCGTCTGGCACTTGTCGTGGTGGTGGTGACGGGGAGACGAACGCGAAGCTGAACTTTTGGCACCGCGCTTGAGATGGTCGATGAATTTCGCTTGCCCTTTGTGAATTTTAGGGCTAGGGTTACCTTGGAAGAGCCTCCGATCCGCCCGGGATATCACGTGCAACTCCAGGTCCCGATGCGGACTAGCGCAATTCGGGGCCTCGAGATTTTGGAGACTTCCAATCTGAGTCCGCGGCCTTTGATGCGAAGGCGCCCGGAAGTGCTATTTGTTAATCGTTGCGGTCACTCCCTCCCCAGCTCGTAAGAATGCCTCCCCGCATTCTACTTCAGCCCTCCCTGAGGGCCCTCACTGGTAAGTACTGTCTTGCTGCCTCCCCCTTCTGATTCACGCCGAGTAACTGACCGGGTTGTCGTCATTCCAGGCCCTTCCTCCGTGCAGCTTCCCTTTGCCGCATTGTCGCTCAATCCGGCCAAAACCTCCGTGAGAGCTGGGTCTACAGAGTCCCGAGAGCGCAGACGCCATGACCCTTTCCTAATGGCGCAGTCTCGCCAACGCAAGGCCGCCAACATCTCTCGCCAGAAAGCCCTGGCCAAAGAGCGCGAAGGGTCTGTCGGCGACCCCGTCCAAAGTGAACCGACGCCCTTCATCCAGGAACTCAGAAAGACGCAAGCGACTTTGCAGGACACAGACCTCAATTACTTCGTCACACCGGATGGTCTCAATGAGGCCTTGGAATACTCGAAGAACCTGACATCACCGATTCGGAACCCGGATCGCGACACTGCTGATCCTCAGCTCGAGAAAGAAGCCGCCGAAAAGCACCTTCAAGAACATCGGAATGCACAGGAAGCCATCCGTCGCATTGTCAGTGTCGCCAACGGAAACACAAAGGACCACATGCGTCTTCATATTCAGAAATGCATTGAGACCTTTGGCCGGCATAAGACCGACAGCGAATTGCCTCCCAAGCCTTCTGGCGTATCGCATGACTCTGCGACTGTTCATCTTGAGAAAACTCCCCGGGTTGGCCCGGATACTGGCTCTCCGGAAGTGCAGGTTGCTATTCTCACGGCAAAGATCATGAACTTGTCTAGACATCTCCAGACGACGAAAAAGGACCGACACAACAAGCGTAACCTGCGTCTACTTGTTCACAAGAGACAGAAGTTGCTTCGCTACTTGCGGAGGAAGGAGAGAGGTGGCCCCAGGTGGCAGAATCTGATGGAGAAGCTGGGTCTCTCGGAAGCTGCCTGGAAGGGTGAGATCTCCATGTAAATTAGCTCTTTGGCGCTTGTATTCTACATATTTTCTTTTCTTTGTATTTCCCCTGCTTAAGCTTAATCTCAGCGTGTAACCTTATGTATTGATCAATGGGCCCTTCCTATTTCATAGTGTCTATGACAAAGAACTTGTGGGTACTTCATGCCCATTGTTCATACTTCACCACTTCTGTGTTGTGATGCGCTGTAAAAAGGTCTGTTGTATGGCTTTTGTGATCCTTCTTGCGCCAAACCCTGAAGTGCCTCACCGGCATTTTTCACTCGCTTATTATCGATCTTATCGTTCCCATTCAGATGATACAAGTAGTTGTAGGAGTAGCAGGGTGTTACTACAGCCTACTAGTAGTACTGAATACTCTTGAAGTTGGCCAAGGGCGGCAACAGCAGTCATTGGGCGAAATCCCCACCGCCTGGTGTTCTGCCGAGACGTCACCCCCCGAGTCGCAAAATTCCCGCGCAAAAGTTCCCCCAAACTTCATCTTTCTATACGACGACCTTGCTCGCCGAGGTCAGTGAATATCGTCGACTGCCTCCGGGCGCTGATTTGACGCGTCATAATCAACATCGCCCAGCAACACGAGGTAACATTCACTGTAAGCCAGTGTTATGTCTTTCAACGAGTCAGTATAGTTTTTATCAACCTGCCTCTTCCCCCCTCTCACTCTCTTCTCCTTCATAATTCCCATCCCTCCGTATCTTCGTCGATATCGCACTTGCGCTACCGATTTACATTGCTTTGATCTCTCATTTGCACGATTCTTTATCCCACCGGATTATCTTCTCTCGCAGGTGCTAACTTGCCTTACAAGTTAGATTCAACTCTCCTCCATAACGTCCCTTTGCTCCGCGTTCTTCATGATCTCAAATCGCGACTAAGCGAGACGATCTTTCTTCTCATACCTTCCGATCAAGGTACCGCGTCGCCTCAAGATTACAGCAACCTATAGGGTAGCTGAATCGCCTTTTGTCAACCTGTCCTCACGCCTTTTTGTAAAGGTTTCTTACATTACGTTCCTGTCTTACCTCTTCTCATTATCCGCACCCTTCTAGTCACTCAGTTTGTTGGTGGCTTTGCCTCAGATTGCTGGATTTCACCAGCCTGAATTGAACACCTTTTGCTTTCACCTTCATCACAGTCAAGATGCGTACTCGTTCACAGCAAGCTTCGCCCGGTGGCTTCGTGTCACTCGAGGAAAATGCCCCACGTCGGACCAGGTCTGCGAGGAATGCTGCGCACCAGGAACCTGCAACGTCAGAGCAACCCCCGACCCGTGCAAAGTCTCAGCGCGCACCTAAGAAGACGAATACCACTACCACAAAAAAGCCCACAACCAAGACCCAGACACGGAAAGCTACTACAACGAAGCGCACGACGCGCCAGTCGACACGCAAAACCGACAAACCCATTTCAGACGAAGATACCCAGCCCACCCATACAGAGGAAGACCTCGCCACAGATACCACGGCTGCAGAGATGACTACCCCCAGGGAGGACCCGGAAATTGTCGATCCAACACCCGCAGCATCTGAGAACGAAAACGCTGATTGTGAGTACATTCCCTGTGTTTCTCACCCCCCTATGGTCCCCCAATCCCCCAAGAAGTCCCAGGAGATCGATTGTTTTGATGGCCCGGATCCCCGGGGTATCAGGGCTGCCTCGTATCTCGAATCCTTCATCGACGAGCTAAGTAGTGTCGGCTCGCCTCTCTCTGAGAGGTCGAAGACGCCATCCTGGACGTCGAAGGATGAGACCGAGGCAGCCCTGGCACCGCGTCCCGCGCAGGAGTCGGGCGCCACCAACTTTGAGACATCGGCAACCACAAAGAGAGTCTCACTCCCGACTCCTGCCGCGGAAGAGCGCACCTTTGAGCCACCTGCGGAACCAACCGTGGCGGAGCCAAGGGGAGTCACCGTCGTGACATCCCCTGAGCAGTTCAACACTGCCTCATTGGCTTCCGCTGCGGGCTCCGGAGGAGTGGTGGTCGTCGAGGACGAGCGGGTGGGCGCACTTATTGCGTCCTTTGCCAGATTGTCCTTGGATGATCTCGCGCCTCGCTTGTCCAATGAAGCGGCTGCCACTCTGAGGGAGTCGACTACCGCGTCGTTCGGAAAGCCTGTTGAGCCCGCCCGCGTCACTCGCCGAAGCCTTCGCGCTTCTCGACAAGAGTGGATTCGGGACTGGGCTCAACAGGTCCCTTCCACGGGCTTCTTTCATCCCATCACAGGGCAGCTCGTGGAAGGGCCGTCGGCGTCGGTTGAGTTGGCGGGGGATCTCGCGTCCAACCGTGAGCCCCCGACCCGTTGGTTTGGGGTCCTGGACTACATCCTGCGAAGGCGACGCCGTGAGGTTCAAGTGATGTCGCCGCTGCAGGAAGAATCGCAGAGTAGTCCCGGCCCCGGCTCAGGGGTTGTTGCTCTCAACGCGGTGGCTCCCCGGGAAATCCGGGCCAAAAGGCCACAAAAGAACAAGGGGCTAACAAACCCGCCAGTGACCCGGAAGCGTGCCCGGGCAGATTCTAGCGACGAAGAGACCCAAGGCCCGCAGACGCCTGCCGCAAACAAGCGGCGTAACCTTGGCCCCCCCGGCAGCACGCCGTATCGACCCGCAACCCGGCCGCGCTCCCTTACTGCGAACATTACTCCGTATTCTGAGAGACTTCGGAGACGGCAAGCCGAAAGAGATGGCCGTATCCACTCCACCTCGCTTCGCGTATCTCAATTGCTGGCCCAGCAAGAAGCTGACCGGCGCCGCCAGGCAGCAGAGTCTTCTGCGCCCCCATGCTCTGAGCTGCCGCGTACCACCTTTGATTTCTCTCTTGATAATGCTCAGGAAACCAGTCATGATCAAGAGCAGTCGCAAAGCTTACAGGAACAGTCTTCTACGCCCGAGCCGCCGGCCACTCCGGAGCGCCAGAGTGGTTGGAACCTCCGTGGTCTGCTCAACTCCGTACCTCGCACCTTCACAAGGATCCTACCCTCTTTCAGGAGGACCCCCGAACCTACTCAAGTGCAAGGTATGTTCTCTTTTGATCTGCATTGGGTCATATAATTGATGAGAATTTAGCGCCCCCCCAACCATCTTCGGAGCGTATTGGTCGGACGCAAACCTCTCAGGCGTCCTCTAGTGTTTCTCAGAGCCAAGCACAGAGTAGCCGCAGATCCAGCGAGGAGCCACCTCAAAAGCGCCGTCGCAAGTCTTGGTCTCTCTTTGCGCAACCCTTTGATAGGTCCCTCTACCTTGGGGACATCCCTAAAAAGGATTCAGCAGCCCCGTCTTCTGCTCCGTTACTGTCTCGCCCCGTTTCCAAGCCATCAACAGAAGAAACAACACCGCAAGAATCAGCCACGCCAGACGCCCAGAAAGATGTAGGCGTAGAAGGCCAAGATTCTCTGGGGCGCGAGGCAGAAGAACAGAAGCAAAAGAAGCGGAAGCGCTCCCCGTCGCCTGACGTGATTCCCAACCCTCCAGGGTGCAGTTATGGGCTGGACTTAGATTACTTCTGCTATAGCTCTGAAAGCGAGGATGAGCAAGAAATCCCGCTGCCACGAACTGAGCCAAACAAATCTGGTCGTTTAGCCAAGACAGCTGTCCGCGGCGCCTTGCGCTCAGAGCGGCATTCGTCGAAGAAAGTCCGCTTTGATGCGAGTCCAGAAGATACACCATCCAAACTCCGACTGCGTGCTCGTGCAACCGACCCATACCGTGGAAGACACTTCATTGGAATGGGTAATGATTCTGAGAATGTTGCCCCAGAGTCTCCCACCCCCGCTCCCCATGCCGCTGATGAGTCTTCAAGCCGCCGTCCTGGATTCGTCCCAAACGTTCAGGGAACTTTCCAGTTAGATTACGACGCCTTCTCAGACGATTCCGAATCCAGCGGGGCCTCTGCTTCAGCAAATGTCTCCGCCTCCGCACCTACCCCTGCACCTAGCTCACCCACCGCCACTCGGGATAGTATCTCCGAAAGGTATGACATATTTGTTCCTTGTTTCTCTAGACAAAGATTGGCTAACCAGCAATTCTCTTTAGTGTGCCACCTACAGAGTCCCGCCAGACTCCACGTCAAGCGGCCCCAGCCCCGTCAACCCCTGCGAAGATTGACGAAGAGGCTCTCGCCAGAGCTCGCTCACAGGCTGAGAAATACAAGCCTAAAACCCCTAGTGGCCTTCGTACTGCAAGCAGATACTCGAGTCCTATGACTGCTACACCCGACACAATCTCTGCAACTGCCATCGCACCCGCAGTCACATCAACACCTTCCACGTCCGAAAAGGCACTCGCACCTGCGCCTGAGCCCGAGCAGCAGACTATTGAAGATTTTGGAGATGACGAATTTGCCCGTGAGGCTCAGTGGCTCTATGAAAATTGCCCATCTGGAGACCTCAACGACCTTGTGTGGCCTCAGCCTGTAACATACGAAGAGCAAGGTTTCAGTCCCGAGGTGATCGATCTTGTCAATGAGATTTGGGACCCCTCAACTGTCGACTATGCTTATACCAACATCTGGAAGCCTGGCCTTGACGCGTTCAGGCGCGAATTAGAATCCGGCGCATCCGAAGCTACACAAGCATGAATCGCATTTCGCGGACAAAGGTTGAAGCAATAATTGCTCTTAGCCTTTCAAGATGGAATACGCTTTGTCTTCTGAATAAGCTGTCCAATTTCAGCTTTGATAAACGATCATTGCCGGCAGCAAACTATCTCAAAGCTAGTTGTCATAGGATGGGCGTATTCCTAGCCAACTACATTTTGAGTAGTTGCAGACTTTTTTCAAAAGTAGTGTCATTTACTACCCTTTTCTAACTCGAATGTCTCATCATAGGCATCGTTCAATGAGCGGTTTGAAAGTTCAGTATTCGGGGGAGTTTTTGTTTTGCCACGTTTATCTAGTGGTCTCACAATGCATGGGCATTTGTGTATTTGAAAGTTGCATTGCTTTTTGTATCATTAGCATCTTAGCGGTTGAATGCAACGAGGTTGCATTTATGTTTTTAGTTACACCGTCCAGTTATTCTCAATGTACCAGTTGAATTAGATCCCCATTGACTTCATCGTAGCAGAATCAGTTAACCTGCATAGAGATAATATGTATAGCAATACGAGCTACTTATCATCAACTAAAAGCAAGCAGGCCATACCCCATCGTTCAGCATTCGGCGAAATACTGCTGCCCTTTCAAACAGCAGCAGTAATTAGTCCAGAAAGAGATAGGTCATGAGAAAAAGCGATGTTCTAATGACTCTTTGCATTTGAAAGAATCTTGAGATACGGACGTGGTATCAGAGACAATATGCCAAAATATAACGTATATACTACATGCCAATCCAATCGGACATATCCATCAATCAATCAAACCCCTCGAACTCATCATCATCCCCACCAGTAGCTTTGGATTCCTTATCTTTAGCCGCACGCCTAAGCAGACGTTCTTCTTCATTCTTCACCCGAATCTGCTCAAGCATCTTCTCCGTCTCGAGCACCTTTTGACGCTCTTCCTCCGTCATCTTCTCCCATTTGTCCTTCTGCTGACGCGCCTGCTTGGCCTCCCGACGCTTCAGCTTCTTATTCCGGTTGTCGAGATTCCTGCTCCACGCGACACTCTCGCTGGAGCGCTTCTTGCCTGCAGCTTGGTCGTCCGCGACACCGTTCTCGGCATTCTCCTGTACTTGTTCCTTTCGGCGCTTCTCGCGCTGTTTGTCCTTGTATGCGTAGTTTTCCCAGTCTAGTTTCACGCCAAGTGTCCGGTCGCCCTGGAAGTTTCTCAGCTCGGGCATCTTGGGAAGCTTCAGCAGACCCCATGCATTGCCTAGTCCTTCCCAGTCTAGGTCTGCGACGCGGAATATACTGCTGGCTTGGTGCTTGCTGTAGCTTCGGAACCAGCTGACGAAGGCCTTCTGGCCGCGGTCGTGTAGCGCGCGGTCTGCGAGGACGGCTTTGCGTGCTGTTTCGGTCGCAGCGGCGGCGTCAGCGTCGGTTATGGTGAGGGTGTGAGGGTACGGTGCGACGGGGGTCTTGCGGACTTCGAGGAAGTTGACGTAGTCTTCCTCGCGTCCCGGGTGGAGAAGGACCACACTCAGACCCTTGCGGCCGGCACGTCCGGCACGGCCGCATCTGTGGATGAAGGTCTTTGGGTCCGAAGGGGGGTCGATCTGTATTACGACGTCGACTGAGGGGATATCTAGTCCACGAGAAGCAACGTCGGTGGTGAGGAGAATGGCGGGGGTGTGGGAGTTGACAAAGCGGTTGAAGTTCTTTTCGCGGACGTTTGCTTGGTGTTTACCGTGCAGGGGGATCAGCTGGAAGTCATCGCCGATGATTGAAGGAAGGATTGCGGAGAGGTAGTCGACACCCGAGCATGTTGAGACGAACATGATGGTCTTCTGAGGGGCGGGCTCGAGCGAGTAGAGGATGTGTTTGATGGCAGGGAATTTGTGAGTTGGGGGAGCTGTGAGGTACGTCATTTGCAAACTAGTATGTATGTCAGTCATATAATGCTTTGATGAAGTAGTAATAAGGGTACGAACCTAGCAGGTGTGCGTTTATCCTGAACACCTGAAGTGCCCTTTACCTTGACCAGGACTTTGACGGGGTTGCGCAGACCAACCCGAACAATCTGATCAACAGCTTCACTGACACTGGCACTGAACAACCCCGTGCGCCGTTGCTTGGGTAGACGGCGCAAGATGTTCTGTAGTGTATCCTTGAATCCGAGATCTAAAAGTCTGTCCGCTTCGTCCATAACAAGCATTTCGAAAGACGATTGAGGGCAGTGGACATGGGGCGAAGAGAGCAACTCCAACAGTCGTCCCGGTGTAGACACCAACAGGTTGGGAGACCGCTTCAAGAAGGTACTCAAATCCTCAGCTGGGGTGGTCGAACCGCCGAGAAGGAGCTGCGGGACAACTTTGAGGGTTGAGGAGGGGAATTTCTGACGAGGCGCATCGTCGTCCTCATCGGAGGGTTTGAGACCGGCAGCGGATGGAGGATGGAAGGCGAGCAACGATGTCAGGACGTTGTAGATCTGCGATGCGAGTTCTCTTGAGCGCAACTGTCAGCACTGTACCGCGATGTCTTCACAGAACGACCAACCTGGTTGGGGAGATGATGATGGCTCCGACATGGTGTTTCTTGAGTGGTTCTTCCAGGCGCAAAAGCTTCTCGACAACTGGAATCAAGAAAGACAAGGTCTTTCCACTTCCTGTGACTGCTTCAACCACAACATCCTTATGCGCCATGAACAAGGGAATCGCTGAAGCCTGGACGGGGGTCATGCGGGTGAAGCCCATAGAAGCAACGGCATCCAGTACCCATTCCGACAGGGCGGGGGTCACTCCATCCCATGCTCTGGCAGAGGTGCCCGGGGGTGGTTTGGGGGCCATTCTAAGTGTAGCTGTATCCTGTAGTCCTTCCGAGTCACAGCCTGGTCCCAGATCAATGCCAAATTGGGTAGAAGATGTTGCGCAGATCCGCCGTAGAATCTCGATCTTTTTTTGCTGATAATTTTTCCTTATCAGAAACGCGGCGATTAGATACCGGAGGCGGTGAGCTCATTCTGCAGGTGCACACGTGATGGACCGCGGATTCGGCGGAAGGAAATCCAGTCAGCTGAAAGTTCAGCTGAGCGTCAACAAGCATCAACTGTCAATCTGCACGCATCGGTCGCCGGTGCACCTAAAGATAGGAGCGGCGATTAGGGATCAATCCTCTTGACTCTATAACTTGCGCTTTTTTTGGTGGTTATGCCGATCCTCTGCTAAGCGTGGCGCGTCATCCGAGGCGGTGTTTCTGCCTGGTGCTACCATCATCATAGAGCCTTGCACTCATAATCTTCCTTATATTGTCAAGAAAATTCTCTGTCGCAATAATTGCCCAAGATTTCGTCGTCAACAGTGTTCAGTCTGCCCATACTCGGCGCCTGCTCCTCCAACCCCACCCTTATCTCTCCGCGACCGCTATCCGGGCTGATCCACGGCCCAATCCTCCCACCTTTCTCCATACCTGCAGCCGATATGCCTTCTGAACCCGGTTCCATACCGGAGACTCCTCGAGTCATTCCTCCTTCTCCCGCTTCGTCTGAGCGTCGATCAAGCTCGGGCGATTACTTTGGACCTACAACACGCTCCGCAGCACGACGGCAGCGACTTGGGGAGGTAACGGAAGAAACACCTGATACCTCAAACTCGGATTCGAAACGCTCACGAGCGCGGTCTCGCAGCCCAAAATCTCCTGAGTCTACAAGGCGCCGTACCCGAAAATCTAATCCGAAGTTGCCCGCTGGAAAGCCCAAGAAGCAGACGAATGGTCATGCAGAGTCCAACGGGTATCTATCACCTATCGCGAAACCCGGCGGCAGCTGGCACGACATCTCTCGATCGCCTTCTCCTCTCGGTCTCATACCTCTCCACAGCCGTTATCGCTCCTTTATACACCGTCATGAGATCCCGCGCAAACTTCTCCATGTATCGATCGGCTTCCTCACCCTCAACTTGTACAGTCGCGGCATTCAAACTCTCCAGATTACACCATGGCTCTTCGGAGCTCTCGTGCCGATAGCCACGGTAGATATCGTCCGTCACCATTCCACCAAGGTCAACAACATATATATCCGCTGCGTGGGGGCTTTGATGCGCGAGACAGAGGTTTCCGGCTACAACGGCGTGATCTGGTATCTTGTGGGCACATATGCAGTGCTGCGCTTCCTCCCCAAAGACGTCGGAGTTATGAGCGTACTGCTCCTCAGTTGGTGTGATACTGCAGCCTCCACATTCGGTCGTCTCTACGGCCGTTACACATTCCAGCTGCGCAAGGGCAAGAGTTTCGCCGGGACACTGGGAGCCTGGTTTGTGGGTGTCCTGACCGCAGCCGCATTCTGGGGATACTTCGTACCTTACATCGGAACCTTCCCCAATGACCCCGAGGGATCGTTCATGTTCACCGGTCAGCTCAACCTTCTTCCTAGCTCGATCAAGAACCTCATCGGCTGGACTGCGGACACCCCCAGCGCTGTCATTTCGGGCCCGTTGGCCCTTGGCGTCATGAGCGTCGTCTCCGGCTTAGTCGCCGCTGGAAGCGAGTTCGTGGACATCTTCGGCTGGGATGATAACCTTACTATCCCGATCTTGAGCGGTATCGGATTGTGGGGTTTCCTGAAGGTCTTTGGTTGAGCGAACTACTGCAGTTAATACCGTTATATCTCCCTTTTTTTGTTCATTGCCACAGCACTGCCATGGCTTGGATAGTCGCTGAAGCGCGCGACAAGCCGTGAGCCGCAGTGCCGACTCATCATTCATTTCAACCCTTTTTTCCTTTTCCTCTGTTCAATCACCTACCTGTCTATTTCTTATACATACACCCGATTACCCCATGACGAATTACATCACCACTCCTCTTCTCTTTGAGCTCTCACTCGATTACCCCCCTGTTTTGCACTACTCTGAAGGGGAAAGACTTTGGAAATAATCACTTTGGCCCGCAGAAGGACTTTTGTTTAATGATTACTTAGATAGATATCCTGGATCGGCGTGGCTTTGGCGCTTGCAAATCTATACAAACACACGGGCTACTATTCACTTTCTTTTAACGCTCTATAAATGTTGTAATGACGTGGAGTGACTGTATTCCTCATGTCCAGACTTTGATGTATATCATGACTTGTATGCCAGTGTACAAAGAAGATGCTTTACTCAAATTTGGGTCCCGAAAGCAATGCGCCTGTAATGCATTTCCAAGAGGTTAGGGTAAGGCAAGACTTGGATCAAATGTATTGGAAAAAACCATTGCACAATTCACTCATTGCTGCTCAGGTCAAGTCCAAGATGCTCACACGGGCGATCCGCTTCTTCTTGCCGCGACTGGTTCGAGTGTCGGTCGTACTTGCAACTTCTGCCAATCCAGTTTTTGAGCTAGTATCTGTCGTCCAGAACCCGTCATGTACAACAACAGATTCGACATGCGATGCTGTCGATGAACAGTCGTCTGGTTTTTCAGAAGGTTTGCTTTTTCGAGGCTTCAGCTCCGTGGGCTCGCTCACTGAGGACGATGCTTGTGTTCGACTCGAGGGATTCTCACGATCCCGAGGCTTTCTTGTATGTGCAGCATCGTCTTCTTCTATTGTCGAAACGGGCTTGCTGTTCTCCACAGAAGGCGAAGGGCGGGCCATGCGTTCAGCGGCCCTAGCAGGGCCAGACCTGGTGTTACATATCTTCTTCTGACGCGAGCTTCTTCGAGGCATGGGCCCAGTATCATCTAGGCATATGAGTTCTGTGGCGGTTTTGCGCGATTGCGCGTCATCCAACGCTATGGAAGATATCGCATGTTGTAGTTCATCAACCTCGCAAGAAGACTTCAGTTTGTCTCCTTTGCGCCGGGGTTTCGACACATTTTGGCGGCCTGCATGGTTAGGAGATATCGAACGAAGTGCAGGCTTCTTGTCGTCTGTCGCATCCCCCTTCCGCGTACAGCGTTTTGAATTTGATTGAGTATTCTCCTTTGTCGGCGAAAGAGCTGGAGAATTCTCTGCGGAAGACAATTTCTTTGTCTCCAAATCGGTGGCATCTGTTAAAGCAGGCTGTCTTCCAGCTCTGCCGCGTGCTCGGGTGGTTCTGGGTAACTGCTGTTTGATAGTTGTGTAGGACGGTACATGACTCAATGAAGAAAATTGGTCGATTAGATCATCAAGGCTCGGCGAATCGTCACTTGACTCAGTCAATGGCTGCTGCTGTATAGATATGTCAGACGCTGATGGCTTCCTTGAAGGATTAGGAGAATCGTGAGACTGACGGGAACTCGACAGGCTGGGTACAGCAGTTGCTTTGGCCGAGACTGCTGCCTCTAAGAGCTGCGCACTTTTGTGGCGGGATATTTCGGTTCGCTCCTTCGTGAGGGTACCATATTTCAAGATGCTACCTCGCTTCATGTTCGGGTCTATAGGCCCTTTTTTCCTAGGCCCTGTCTTTCGCGTCGCTGTTTTCTTCGGTGCCGACTTCTCAGCTTGCTCTCGTTCCCAATTTTTCACGACTTCTGGAAGTCCTATCGTGGCTAGGGTTTCGAATACCCACACCTTTTCAGAGGCATAAGGATCATAGCGCTTTACAACACGCTTCTTTACCGGGGATTGAGGCACCGATACCACATTATCCTCCAGTTCCTCTTCCTCGTCCCCTGAGACCGTCGACTCTTGAGAAGGAAGTGGAGGGTTTGGCTCGTCCGCAAGAATGTCCAAGCCAACAATGTCGACAGGAATCATATCCAGCTGAAACTCCGTCAAGCCGTCGGTACTATAGCTAGATCTGCTTTTATAGATCTTTTGCAGCATCGGCGTGTTGCTGTTCGACAAGGTAGGACAGTTCGCGGGAAATGCCGATGCTTGTCTTCCAAGGCGTAGTCGGTAGGACAGAAGCGGCTCAGAAAGTAATCTGGTCACTTTTCTAGCCCCAGAGCGGTAATTCCATTCAAAGGCGTCGGCAGCAAATCTCCTCAGTTCGACAACGTCTATGTCCTTGTCCCAAGCATTTGAGAGGTTGTGTTGAAGGGCTCTGATGTCGCCTGTCGAAGAAACCACAGGATTCGCATAATATGACAAAATCGTCCGATCAGGAAAAGTGTCGGGAATTCGGACAACCTTGTGCTTGGTCTGGAAGTAACCACTTTCGTTTTCTTCCAACTCATACTGGAGTCGCTCTCTCCAATCGCTTAGTCTGGCATCGAGCTCGGCGCCATCTGACTCAAGGATTTCAAGAAGATCTGCGCCAAAGCCAGCTTTGGCAATCTCGCCAGCGAGCTTGCTACCGCATTTAGGGACACCCGATGGCAAGTAATCACCCCCACTCAACATGGCAAACAAGATCATGCCTGCACGATCAAGCTTCACACTCGAAGGATCACCAGCGGTGTTCATACGGTAGCAGGTAACATGTGTTGCAGCCCCGGTGCTGCTGCCACTTTCCTTGGAAAAGCCCATGACGGTAAATGTTGAGCCAAACATAAGGGCGTCAACGTCATTAGTCATGACTGCATCAACAACTCCTGCTCTTTGCAGTCTTGCACACTCTGCTTCTGCCTCTCCTGGCGCCTCGTGACGCGGAAATTTGAACAGATCGACTAAGATCTTGGAGAGCCGAATGATTGGTGCACTTCCGTAACTGCGACTTGACACGGCTTTGCCTCTCTTGAAAGGCGGCTTATTCTTTCCATCATATACAAAAAGAGGATGGATTGGAAGCGCTAAAATCTTCAATAGTCTGTAAAACAACGTTCGTAGCTCGGGGTTTCGACCACCCCGGCCAGCTTGCACTTGGAACAGCCATATCGAGATGTCCACGGCAATACGAATAGGCCTAGCTGTGCGCTCCAAATGGGTTATGGCCAATCTTGACAAGGAGATACGTTCACCAGCGCCGATGGCATGGATCAGCCTTTGTGGTCAGTGGATTAGCCGTTGAACTACTTGAATGAATGCTGTTTGTGCACTGGAAAGGGATAATATATTTCTCTCCCAAGTAAAGTTCCACAAAACAGCACCTACAGAACTGGCTGACTTACCCCGGAATCCCCATTCGGACAGCCTCCCTTGTTCCCAGCTTTCAAAACCCAAAATACCAATAGAAAACAAAATTGCCCTGCAGCTCAGGTTCTCTCTGATGGCGAATACTAATGCAGCGATGAGTTGTTTGTTGACGGCGGCAACTGGGCGACGCGGCCCGATGTAGATCCGCCCGCCCAGAGCCTCCGCAGATTGTCGCGGCTTCCTTTTCGCGCTCGCCAATCGCCAAATGCCAATTGCCCCCAATTTGGGAGTCGTCATCTTAATTGGAAAAGTTGCTGGCAGAAGGTATGATCTAAGCCTTCTCATATCAAGCGCATCGGTTGAGAGGAAGTATGATCTGCGCGGGGTCCCTGAAGCAAGTTGACTTCTATCTCCGATCCTTCCCCGCGATTTCCATAGAGCAGCGACCCTTGCGACTGTCCCAGCAACTCATTCGGACGACGACATGACAAGTACATCCTCCACCTCCGCTTTCGACGATAGGCGACCCATATCCATGAGCTTTCGTCACAGCCAATCTGGGAGACCTGATTCGCCCCATACGCCCCAACATCACCTCCGTTCCAACAATTCTTCCTTTGCAAGCACCTCCTCCGCAAGCACATCATTTCGCGGAGAAGAAGATGCTATCATTTTCGAATTTGGGGCAAGATGGCTTCGGGCAGGGTTTGAGGGGGAAAGCACTCCAATGTGTGTGGTTGGGTGCGGTCCAGAGGAGTCGAGAAGGGTTGGCGATTACAGAGGGTGGTTGAGAAGCAACGAGACGGACTCATCACGCTCGCAACCAGTCAAAGCTGACGAATGGGCTGGTGCATATGAACTCTGGAAGATGGATGTACGCGATATGGATATGGCACTCATTGACGACAAGATTGAGCGCATGTTTCGCGAGACCTACAATAAATACCTGTTGACAGATGCGGGAACATCACGACTGGTTCTGGTTCTTCCGTCTATCATGCCACACCCTCTCCTATCATCGCTTTTGTCAACCCTGTTTAGCCGTTGGCGGTTTCCAAGCATCACCCTTTTAACCAGTGCTCCTATGGCCGTGGTCGCAGCTGGGCTGCGTTCAGGCTTGGTAGTGGATATTGGATGGGCGGAAACCGTTGTCAGCGGTATCTACGAATACAGAGAAATGGCCGTCAAGCGCAGCACGAGGGCTATGAAGTCCCTACTGCAGGAAACTGGACAGTTTCTGACACGACTCTCCGATGACAGCGGGGCCATGCAATCGGCGGACGAAATCTCCGTTCATTATGAGCTCTGCGAAGAAATTGCCAGTCGGTTCCTGTGGTGTAAGCCCAAGGCGGCTTCCCAGGGCTCCACGGCGACACCGCAGCAACAGCCATCCGAGGTACAAGAGGAGGATTCTGGAGCGGCTGACCAACACACTACTTCACACTCAGATGCAACGGTGTCGCTTCCCTCCCCGTCAGGTTCAGGTTCAGCATATATTGACCTTCCTTTCTCCAAGCTCGCGGAACCGGTAGAAAAGGTTCTCTTTGCGGAGGGCTTAGCCGATTGCGAGTTGGACGACGAGGAAAAGCCGTTGCCGTTGTTGGTGTATCATGCCCTGCTTAGCCTGCCTCCTGATGTCCGCGGCACGTGCATGTCGCGTATTATTTTCATTGGTGGAGGCTCTAATATCCCTGGCGTCCGACAGCGCATCCTCCAGGACGTGGCGTTCCTGGTGGAAAAGTATGGCTGGTCACCTGTCCGCGGCAAGGTTATCGAGCAGCAACGCCAAAAGCTTGAGGGCCTAAGACTCTCTCAACCAACCAAGCCAGCTGTCACAAAGCAGGAGGGTGAAAACGAGACCCCCGATGCTGCCGCCGCGCGATCAACGCCAGATGCACAAGCAGAAGAAGAGATAGACCCCATCGAGCAAAAGATCCGTCGTAATAACAAAGACAAGGATACACACCCGCCGGTCCAAGGTGTCCTGCGGGAGGTCGAATCCCTTGGACCCTGGGCAGGAGCCAGCCTTCTCACGAGTCTCAAGATCCGGGGCTTAGTCGAGATTGAGCGGGAAAAATACCTCCAACATGGCCTCGCAGGAGCTAGTCGGGATCTGGAGCATGGGCATGCTCCTGATAGGCGCTCGGGGTTACGCACGGGAGGCGACCGGTCTAGTTGGACTTTGGCTGGCTGGGGTTGAATCTAGTCTCTTTTTCCCCCGCATGGCCACGCTAATTTATGCGGCCTGGTCAGACAAGCATTACATATTGGGGATACGAATTTTTTTTCCCATTGTTGTCTATTTCCCCCCTCCCCCTACGGAGTAGTGCTGACCGCACCACCCTGAACTCACTCTGATTTTGTTCTCACTGAGATTGTCGAAGCAGTTAGCAGTAGAAACGATACCCGTTAGAGTCTTACAGCAAATTTATTAGCAATGTCATTTCTTCCCATTATTATTCCGTGAACGTTTGTAAGCACTCAGTAAACTTTCTTTGTACGTGCCATTGCTAGTCCAGATAAAGACAGATGGCGCATCAGATTATGTACACACGATCGTGGATTTCTAGAGCACGTAATCAAGTCCCCCTCAATCCTTCCCTCAAATCTTCCCCACTTACACAGTACCAAACTGGTAAGTAGCCCAGTTAACAGCGGGCCCCGTCTCAGGAGAATAGATCTGGTCCGACAATTGACCCCACTGAGGGTTGTTAATACCGTCAATCCAGCCCTCAGTCTCAATGACAATGCAACCATGCTGGTTGACGTATTCAGCGCCATCGACACCCTCGGCCTTGTTGCGCTGGACTTGCGATTGCTTGACGGGGATGGTGCCGTTCTGGCCGTTGCAAGAGTAGATCTGGAGAGCTTGCTGGTTGGTAGCGACGTCGAGGCTGATTCCGGTGGTGCTGGAGTTCATGTGGACAATCGGGACGATGGAGTTACGAGCTGCGTATTGAGGAGGGCGATCTACGATGAAGCAGTTGTCATAGCCGGTGCAGTCATCGCCGCAGAGTCCGTCGGCTTTCGCGATGTCTTGGCCGACGAGTTTGCCGGAGACGAAGTCCGGGGCGCTGTCGTAGACGCTGACGTCGAGGATGGTGCCGTTGGGGATTAGGATGCCGTCTGTGCCGATGAGGCGCTTGGAGAGTGGCAGCTGGAGCCAGGTGTCTTCGAGGACAGTCTCGTCCTTGAAGGCGTTCAGGTTCCAGTAGATGTGGTTGGCCAGCATTATTGGGGTTGTCTCGGTCAGGGCAAGGGAGACGAGTTTGGTGGTCAATTGAGGGAGACCCTGGGGGTTCTCGGGCGTGACTTTGGTTTGCACGCTGAATGTGGCATGGGTGATGACGTCTCCGGGGAAGTCTTCGAAGGCACGGTCAACCAGGGTGAATGTGATGGAGGAATTGCTGTACGCGGTTACGGTCCAGTTGCGCTGGTCGTAGCCTACGGTGCCTCCGTGGAGCGTGTCTTCACCGTCATTCTCGTTCTCGGGGATATGGTACACATCTGAACCGATTGAGAACGTGCCGTTCTTGATGCGGTTGGCGTATCGGCCGACGACTGCACCGAAGAAGGTGTGGTTGGTCTCGGAGTCCTTAAGATACTGCTTGGGGTCGTCGTAGCCTACGACAACATCCTGGAAGTTGCCGTCGCGGTCAGGGACGAGGAGAGAAGTCAAGCGTGCTCCGTAGGGGATGAGCTTGGCCGTGATGTTCTCTGCGCTGATGGTGTAGAGTTGGAAAGGGTCCCCTGTGGACTTGGCAGCAGCAACTTGGGTCAGTGCTGGCAGGCCGTACAGGACGGCAGACAGGTAGCTTCTAACGTGCATTCTGACGCCTAGGAGAATGGTAACGATGAGGAAGAAACAGCAATATATGACCAAGATACGAGGGGTGATCCGGGCAGGGCAGAGCAGAGAGCGGCAGCAGCCAAGAAGCTGGAGAGGTCCCTGGCCGGATCGGGTGGAAGGTCTCATAGTATTTATTTACAGTAAAATTGGACTTTTTTTTTTACCTCATGATGGCGCGCCTGACCAGCGGGCGGGGGAAACCAATGCGCAGGGACCGAGAAACTGGGGTAGGAATGCAGCTAATTCCTGGATTGATGTTTAGCTCATTCACAAAATACCCGAGCAAAGGCGTCATCTTACCAAGGCGTGGACTAAGGTAAGTGTGCCAGGGGTCCGGAGCCAAAAAGCATGGGTGACTTTGCCTCGTACTCCCTATAGTGTAGTAGCTGTCACAATTGCTTCTGGGGCTGGGCCAATGGAGTAGGGCGGGAGAAATTGGTCCGGGTCTGACCACAGTCTGAGCGCAAATGAAAAGATCGGATAAAGTGAGTGAATTGGGCCGAAGAAGCTAGGATCAACAGGTTTCTGGCCGAACGAGGGCGAGCGTGGTGGTGAGATGTAATCCCCTTAGTCTGGAGGCTAAACTATCAAGCTGGTAGTAGCGCAAAATGAAGCCACGGAGGACATTCCAAGCCCCAGGAATGGTGCTAGTCTTCTTCGGGAAAGTCCCGGCGGGGGAAAAGCTAGAGGTTGCGGGGAAGGCAACCGGCCTGTCGATCATCGATTTCTCTCTCTTTGCCTTTGCTCACTCTTACGAGGTGACATCCTGCTATGACTGGAGGTACCATTCAGACGTGGTTCAGTACATTATGGACAAAGTTAGAATAAACGTATCACTGACAGCAATATCACCAACATTCAGGCGGGGAGGAAACTGATTACTATATAGAGTTTATAATAAGGATGGTAATTATGGGTCCAGCTTGCTGTTTGGGTACTTCTGCCGCCCCGTACTCATTCGGCAAGGAACAACAATCCCGCCGGATAACCTAAGCATCTACCCTGCCGGTCGCTGGGGCTGCCTGATAGGGAGACTTGTTTATGTTATGCGACGATTTTATCGGATTTTCTACAGATTGAGAAACTGTTTTTGGTGGCCGAAACCGTGTCTGGGTAACCTGCTTCCAGACGCGACGACTAATCTTACCTTCAAGGACCGAATATGAAAGTGTCCGACTAGCAAAGCCGATTGAAGTGTTTGAATCCGGTGTCGTCCTTATGAGACGCGACGGGGGGTCACAAATCACCCCTCACATGCGTCGCATCGTCGTTTCCCTATCGATATGTCCTCCCGCACCTCCAGTTCTTCTCCGGACATTCTTGGGCCACCTGGCGACGCCGATTATTTGATCTCCTCCCCATTTGTCCCCTTCTCCGGTCGCCAAAGCTTCATGTCGCCCGCCAACTTCCGCCTCCTGCAAAGTCCGCGGACGGCGAAGGGCAAAAGGCGGTCGCGTGTGAGTTTGAGCCCTTCGAAAAACGCCCACTCCATAAAGTTCAATGACGTTGTGCTACCTGCCTCCCCGACGACGAAACTGAACGGCCAGCGCGGTGGAATGTCTCCCGATAAGGGTCCGGCCGACGGGAATGTCAGTCCGTGGAGGATCCGGGTAACGCTCGAAGCGACACAAGATGAAGAAACGAACCAAGGCAGCCTTTCGCGAAAACGGTTGAAGCCATCAACGACAACGATGAAAGTACCCCTCAAAGACGACACAGAACAGACTCCACGCAGACGCAGAGGTCGCCCAAGGAAGTCGGACATTTGGCTGCAGGATGCGACTCCACGCGGAGGTAGTCCAGGACATACCCCGGGTCCAGGAAATACACCAGGCCCTGGGCATACCCCGGGCCCAGGGCATACTCCGGGTCCTGGGGGGACAGGTCAGAAGAGAAAACGAGGCCGGCCGAGAAAAAGCGCACCGGCGCTCGATGTGGTAGAACCAAGCGAACAGCAGGTGGAGAACCAAGAGATTGAACAAGAGGCGCTGATAGAGCCCGAGCAGAGATGGAGTCCGTTGAATCTGGCAGCAGACCCGGGATCTGACGATGACATTGGGGGGGATCAAGGACTCGAGTTCAATGACGATTTTGGTTATGGCGACCGATTGGAACTACCTGATTCCGCTGTCCGCGATGGGACTGGTCCCCGAGTGACATTTGAGCAAACTTTTGAGACTCCAAATGTTGACCATGTCGACCAAGGATTTACGGAGAACGACGAGTATAACCTACATTCAACACCTTCCAAAATGCCATCCCCAACCCGCGATACCTCGATTATCTCGCCAGCGAACACATTGCATGCCGGCCGCACCCCGAGACCATCACGCCTTTACCCCACACCAACCTCATCATCTGCAGCAGAAGAAGATAAGGCAGAGCAGGCTCAGAAAACTAGTGCTACCTATGATAAGGATCACCTTGAGAGCGGGGCACGCCTCAGCGCAGATCCGACCGAGGAACACAGGGAATTTGACTCTATAATGGAAAGTGAAGGGTTCAGCATGGTCTCGCTGGATACATTGCCATCCGCTAAACAACATGAGATCAAGAGCGCGAGCCACTCCCAAGCCGCCAAGAGTTCTCTAAAGCCTTTCTTAGAACGGGAATCAAATGGCGTCTTGAAGCGAAGAGCCTCGGCGGCCCAGAATCAACAAGAGGACAACCTTGTTCGGAAGCCCCGGTCGGACTCTAAGCAGCGGAAACAGTCACCAGCTCAGCTGTTCCGCCAGTCAAGCGAGGCCAATGCCCACTTAGACCGTCCATCATCCCAAGACAGGCTCGAACCTTCCAGAGACATGCCCGGATCGACGGCGATATCATCTGAGTCGACTTTTACTGGACAAAAGCGGGGGCCGTTAACTAGGTTCGTCAGAATAGTTCGTGCAGGCTTAGCTCTCGAAGGGCCTCTAAGAAACTCAGAAGAGGGGCAATCTTCGTACCAGTCAAACCCAAGAAGGCTTAGCTTCTCGGGTGATCCAGATTATATGCTGGACACGTCTAGGAAAAGGCTGGAACATGTTTTTGGTGACTTGACCCCACAAGTACAACAAGAGCTGCAGGCAGGCTTGGCATTTGGGCAGGAACTCGCGAAGAGGCGGATCGAAAGAGAAATGGAACAACGCAGACAAATGGAGTTGGCGGAGGTGACTGCAAGAAACACTGTTCGGGAAACCAGGGAATGGAGTGGCTCCAGTTCACCACAACAAACACCGCCTAAGGCCACCGACTATGGCACACCGGGCACATTTATGAAACGGCGGATGGAAGAATGGCAACGGGAAAGGGAAGCTATCAGTCGAGAGATCCAGATGGCAAACTCTAGCCAGGTTATCGTCATTGACAGCGACGATAATGATCAGTCGAATATGCAAGATGGCATGTATGAAGACGGCAATGAGATAGAGTACGCGGCGGAACCCGTTCAAGACGATCAAGATGACGACGCCCACGTAGAGGCCGAGCGCCTAGATGGGGAAGACGAGGATGATGGCTACGAAGATATTTGGCAGCAAGAAGCTCGCAGTCAAGGCAACCAATCAGATCACTCTTCACTACTTGAGGATGACCAGGATGGGGAGCACCTTAGGCAGGGTGGGTCTAGCCCGTGGAAGAGTGGCTGGACTCCTGCTCGGAATCAGAATGGCAAGATCTTATCGCCGGCTCATTGGACAAACGAGCGGGAGACTGTGCCATTCTTGGGCCGGTCGAGGGTCAAACAGTTACAGGAGCAAGAAGTTGATTTGACGGCTCTGTACCGTGCCCAGGATACACCAAAGCGTCGCCACTACTACTATGGGAAAAGCAGTCCGCCGAGCAGTGCAATACGAGGCTCTGTAGGCCGTTCGCCAGCTTCTGTGGTACAAGAGGAGCACTATGAGCATGATTTCAACCAGGATCAACAGTCAGAGGGCTACGTGGAGTCCAGCCCTCGCCGGGACTCGGAGGATGAAACATTCCAGATCGATCCCACAACCAGATTGGAGATGGCTAGACAACGCCAAGACCCTGGGATGGAAGTCAACAAGATTGGGGGGATGTCAGATGCCGTTACTTCCGAGAGACAAACTGCTCCAGAGGTGGGAGACATCACGCCGGAACGTCCACGGCATGCAAGCCCTGGCAGTCAAGCATCATCCTGGTTCCAGAAAATCACTAATTTCACGCCTGGTTGGCTCAGAGCACCGAAGTTTGAACAGCAAGGGCGGGGTTTGGAAAATCCTTCGGGCGACGAAGATGAGGAACCGCCCGCCCTTGAGTCAGCGCATGATGGATATGATAATGAGGATTATGGCGATGATGAAGTCAACTGGGGAGACTTAGGGGAAACCCCACGACCTACTCGATCTCAAGAGCCAGAAGATGGGAAACAGAGTTTCGCTAGTTCCGATTCTTTCCAAGCGGACGATGATGCGCACGCTTCACTGGACGAGAAGGGTGACAGAGAAGAAGTAGTGGAGGGGCAGGCTTCACGAGAGCAATCACCCTCTTCCTTGTACTTTTCCGATGATCACTATCGCTTGCTGCATCGCCTCTATCGCTCGGCAAAACTGTATCCTGAACGCTTCCCTTACCATCCGGCGCCTGGTCGCTCCGATATGATTGGCGACTGGATCTGGACCTCGGATGGAGTCTACGGAGTGCCAGTCACAGAGCTTCAGTTTGGCATAGTTGATAGATTCGCGCAGCAGCTATCCCAAGCCGATTCAAAGGCCGGTGGAACGGGTCAGATTCCTTGGACGGAAGCTGACGTTCACAGAAGATTGATCAGTATCATTATCGGGGAACAGATCAGACAAGACCAGAGGGAGAGGAGGCTCCACGAGGATCAACTGAGGGAAGAGTATCCGCGAAGCAGGGACACAGGGTACGGGACGTGGCGCATATGACTTCTCTCAAACCTGCACGTCGCTTGGCTCCTGCCGCCTGAACTCGGCACACTACATCTATTTTTTGAGTACAGACTTTGTTGGCAC